CGTTCGAAAATCTTGGCAGAGAGAGTCACTTGTGGAGTTAAAATATTTTAAGCCATAGTATCTCCTCATTATTTTAGTTCCGTTCGCGTGTTCGCATCTCGTGGACGGGCAGAGCATTTTTTCCCTTTGCACTTTCAGCCATTCGAATAATTTGGCAGGCTACATGATAGTTTTTTTTCTTGCCAAACACTCGTGAATGGTATTAATCCACTTCTAATTATCTCATTTATGCTTTTCGTGTATGAAAATCAATTTCCGTTCGCGTGAAGCGATGTGGCTGATAATCAAAACTGTTTCTCTTGTCAATCCTCAACTGGTATATCATGCACGCTATCAACTCTACTTTCTTGCATTCCTTTGGCCAACAATTCACTTTTTTCTAACGCTCTACTATGGCTATACTACGAGTTACGATTAATTGTAGTCTTTCTGAATGTTTGTTTATCATTTGCCATCAGTTTGCTTGTGAATTTAGTTGTGATTCTGGCTTGGAACGACCGTTCCAAAAACGCGTATTTATCAAAAACTGAACGTTGTCGTTGCACCGAAAGTGAAAGATGTCAAGTGTAAACAAGCCTATAGCCATCGCGACACTAACACTTCACTAGCGAGCCGGAATTCATTAGGGTATCTTCTTCCTTTCTTTGTAATATATGATAGTTACAGTTTTCATTTTTTGTTTCTACCGGAATCTTATGACAATTTTACATAACTTTGATTCTTTCAACTTGTAAAGAAGCTTCCTTTCCAATTAGTTCTCGTATAATTATTAAACATCTCCGTTTCTTTGCCAAAATGTTATTTTCCCATGCACGTTGTATTCAGTTGGGAATTTGTAGCATATTTTCGTTTTTAAATATCATTCTGGGATTATCCTTGATTGAAGTTTGAGAGAGCCCGTACGTGCTTAGGAATTCATGATACGGCTTTTTTCAATGAAAAAATTTTTGCTGAATGAGCTTTTTATTCATGACGTCACAACGTCTCATATGTGACTCAATATATTGTCTGGATGCATGTCAGCTAGCGCTTTAGTCTAAATAAGAAAGCCTCGTTGTAAAAACATCTTTGATCTTTCCCGTCAACAGTTAATGCATGTATTCAATGTCTCAACCGTTCCCACTATAATTTATGTCACCGCAGAAATAAATAGCTAGTTTTTTATAGCCCACAACTCACGTTTTACATGTGCCAATGCATACCATAACATAGCGAAAATAGTTACAAATATATGCTTATAACTTAATTACTCAAAAACATTAACACCGGAAAATGAGACTTATAGATCCACGCACGCAACGCCTCGTTTGAAAAAGTTCCGTTTTTAAATTACAAGCGTTCAACAAGCTAGGAATCCTTTACGCCAAAACTCGCACGTTGGAGAATTCAAAGAATGCGAAAAATTCCCCAAATTTGGGACCCTCATTAGGATTCTATTGTGACGGAATTGAAAGCAACAAGCCGGCGATTTTTCTAGCCTCCACTTATGAGTTGTTGTATACAGTATATACACTAATACAGCGTCGGCTTTTCAAGACGTGCTTGCAAACATGCATCACAAAACAATGCTAAAGAGATTGTGAAATTGTAATTCACATTAAAATGAAAAATCCTACCGAAATTCCGGGCGAAAAGGAAGGAACCGTCCAGTAGAATATTATGTTTATATATATAGACTCATAATCTCCCATCCTATTTACTTTGTACCTTGTATTTAGTTATTAATCGCCCATTATTTCTGGGAAGGGCTAATGTGTTTACGATATAAATTCAGTGCAAGTATGCGTTTGACGTTTGTCTAATACTTGATGACTGAATGTCTAGAATTTTGAAAGTCTGCACTGTTTTAATCAGTTCTACTGATAATAGAAGTAGGCGATGAGCATATGATACAATCTGCTTCTAAAATCTTCTGTGTGAAATGGATCAGATTGAGACCAGCAATATATGGTTCGATTAATTACGGTTGACGGTTCTATGTCAGCCTCGCTACTATGGATGACATTTGATGAAGCAATTATAGCTTATACGTGGCTTTTTTTAAAACCTGCATGTGCATAAAACAACTGAATTAAGCCTGGTGATTGATCGATCAAAAGTGGTTCAAGCCTTCGAGGGCAATAATGTTCCTCCTGTCTTGTTATCATGTTCCTGTTCTACGAAAGATCATTTCGATATTCCTAAAACTCAATTTAGCTCTAATCGACGTCTGTCATTCACTGTGGCAAAAGGTAACGTCACATTTTTGTAAAAAACGCGTTTAACAAAACAAATCAGCTTTATATAGATATGAAGCCAGTATGGCTACGATGGCTTAATAGCAAATGACTATATAAAAAACATAATATCAATTTAAGCACCCGACGTCTTATTTTGAAGCTCAAATTTTTGGATTTCACCGCACAAGATTTCGTTCTTCAGAGCATGTTTTTCTTATATTATCAATGAGCAAACACATGTTTTAGCTCGCTTCTTTCGGCACTGGCATACAGTCAAGTATGGAGAAGCCCAGGCTAGCGTAATTAGGAACACTTGCTCTTGCATACATCCAAAAATAGTTGCTGTCTGGTCGCGGCCATCTGCATCCATTTAACCTTGTCTAAGCAGAGCAGCTTCGTGGTCTTATGCAAACAAACTAAGGCAGTATATGACAAAAACTAAAACAATCGAAATTCGGACGGTCTGTTAGAAAATGCTGGAAAAAATTATGAATGCTCAAAGATGAGGTCATAAGCGCATGCATGCAGATGTCTATCGTGTCAGAATCGAGGTAGATCACCATATAGGGTAATTCCTAATCAACAGTTTCAAGGTCCATCTTTGCTTTGTCCATAATTATACGACACGCATGAAAACTCAAGCGCACACTGGAGCTCAGTATATGCTCAGATAAGATCCAATGAACCTAAATTGACCTGATATAAAACAGTGTCTTCTAAATTCTCACAGCCTGAAGCACCGTTTGCACTACGAATGGTAACCCGCAGTTTCGACCTGGGGTGGCTCAGTCTATAAATTTCTCTACCGAACCAAGGTTATATTTTTCTCAATGTCAACACGTTCAAAATTATTAACCTGGGGTATTTTTAAGCCGAGATAAACCAATGCATGAATGGGGGCAATCAGTAATACATTGTAAAAACTGTCTTGGTTTCTTTATCTCAATTATTTTGCGTAATCCAAACCGGTCTTGTTTGTCTTTAAAAGATTTCTTTTACAAAATTACAAGTGTTTACGAAGCTATCGTCTGTCCTAATGGTATGTTAAATATTTGCCGTGTTTACACAACAAAACGAGCATCCTACAAACGCTTTTTGTTCTGACTCATGGGCTGTGGTTTCCTGCCTGTAATTAATCAAAAAGATTAACCGCGTTTCTGACGGTCGCAAAGGAAGGGTCGGCGTTAGACTTTAAGACAAACTATTGTCTAATTATAAAGTTTACACACACGAAGGATGACGCATCTTCCCAAATTACTGCATGCTGAAGGGCAAGTCGTGCTCGACCTTGCAGTCTAAACAACAATAACAAGCAAAACAAAGAAATCAGTATTGGCTTTAACGTCCAGTAAAGTTTGCCTCTTTGGAGGAAACCTAAACTAAACTAACTTTATTTATACTGGGTGGCTCTATCAGTTCTAAATTGTTCTTCCTAGAGGTCCAATAAGGATCATCTCTTATTGATCCAGTGTTACTACAGGAGGAAACCTAAACTAAACTAACTCTATTTATACTGGATAACTCTATCAGTTCTAAACTGTTCTTCCTAGAGGTCCAGTAAGTATCATCTCTTATTAATCCAGTGTTATTGCAGGAGGAAACCTAAACTAAACTAACTTTATTTATACTGGGTGGCTCTATCAGTTCTAAACTGTTCTTCCTAGAGGTCCTGTAGATTCATCCCAGCGGATGTAATGTTATCGCAAGAAGGAAACCTAAATTGATTAACAAAATTTATTCATATTGGATACGGTATATTACTATCGTTTTAATCATCTTCCTATGGGACAAATCTGAATTATCTCCTCGTATGAGCCAAAAATACTTCCATCGCGTGCTTGAGAACTAGACACTTTTACGGCTTTACACCTTTTACAATGCGATAATGACTTTTTAATAAAGGAAGCCAGAAAATTACCAACGGGATACCACATTTTTACACAGGATACTAGAGCAATAGTTACACTTCTATAATGTACTAGAATCCAAGAATGGAAATAATTCTAGAAATAGATACGGTTGATTAGAAGCTTTTGTTTCGTATCTTTCTCTATATTTTGTTCAAATCCAAACGCACGAAAGACACTCTGAGTATGAAAGTTGGTCCGTGAAACTATGCATGCAAAATGATTAGATGTTAAATTATACAAGGCTGTTTCTTTTAAGTGTTTACAACGATAGGTGAATATGAACACGTAACTGATTCATGATTTGTTGCATTTTAATTTGGGTTCATCTCGTTCTGCACATGGGGAAGTACACGCGTTGGACATACTTAATTAAGTCTCATTGTTCTTCAAACTTTGTTCGTAAATCCCCTATAGTTATTGGCACAAATGACTTGTTTATATACAACTAAATTTAGTAATGTATCGACTGACATTATTGCCCAGACCCGGGGCGAAATTCCTCGGATAAAATTTTCAAGTCTTGAAAGCTGGTCGTTTCGTCATCAAACCGAATTCACTTGGCGTACGATACGCAATTTCAAATTGCTCTTGCAATATTATGCTTTCTGGTGTGTTTTGATATTGTGGTTGGAATTCGTCAATAACGTGGGACCCTCTCTTTTGTTTAGGAATAGCGCATTTGGCAGCGTGTAAATTGTTCAAAATACGGGCGTATCATGTGGTGTCGACATCTGTCCATCGCTGGCACGCCTTGATCAAATATTACGCTTATTGAGCACTCGTAAATTCGATTAACAAGCTAAGGTGTTTAGTCATAGGCGCCCCGTTGCTTCGCCGTTTGCATAAAAATCCGCGATGTTTGCGACAAGTCCCATTTCTGAGTGTCGTAAGTTGCTCTAAGGACAAGCAAAGGCGTGCTCCCGTCTGCGTTCAAGAGAGAATATTGCTGTCAAACAAGAAATATTTCAGGACCAAGTAAGGACTAGATAGACGTCAACGAGTTGTGTTTTTTTTAAGACAAGTTGATTGAACTATTCAGCGCTATTATTCAGCTTGAAACATAGTTTAATTTAATAAAAGACACAGGCCTTTATAAAGACATTTCCTAGCGGTAATTCAAAACATTGCAGGAACAATCAACGCTAAATTCTACGATTCCCGAAAAGATATCAATAATTTATAAGGGGAAATGGACTAAATGGTATTGGTCATGATTCATGAGGAAATAGGGCATAAACCCAGGAAATTTTCGAGTGAATTTTTCCTTCGAAAGTGTACTGAACGAATGCAGATTATATTATTAGCTGGCAGGTTGACAAATAAAATGTGTCTGGCAACAAACGGAATACTAAAGTAGGCCGTTCTGAACACATTCCAAAGTTAATACTTGTGTTAAGAAGAGTCTGACAGCATATATAGTTCCTTCAACCGTTCCAATATATAGCAGTACATAATCGGAAAAAAAACTCAGTATACTATCATCTGACATAAACTAGAAGTAAGATATGAAGTATTTGCGTCCGTTCATATTTGTTAAATGCATGAAATACCCTCATGTGATTCCTGGAGCTTTTGGCGCAATTTTTTTATTGTCTTTTAGTTTCTGTTTCTCAGTAGCTACAACCCCGCCTTTTATTAACGGGATTTCACTTCTTATATCCTATTACTTTTAGTTACTCTGAGAGAATTATATTTTACTACAGGCATATACATATGACTTAGATTATGTGATGGTATTTTTAAACCAGGACTTCCATTCAATTTTTTTTATAAACCTAAAACGTCAATGACATTCGGGAGTTCACGTATATATTCATCCAACCCTGAAGTTTAATTTTGGAAACATTTGTGAGAGGAATTTGCATAAATGTATGCACTTTAAAACCTTTAATGCTAAGCCTGAGATTTCGACCATTTATAGGCAATGAATGTAAGATTTCTCAACAGTGAACATTATCTAACAATGAACTTAAGTAGCACGTTTCAGCAAAAGTACTTTTTGAAGGGTTGTTAATGAAAATAAGATATAAAATCCAGGTTTATTAAATATTTGAGTTAAGATATGCCATTTAATATCGCCGGTAAATGTTTTCATTTCAGTCAATCAAACAAACCTCGATTCGCGTTGTTCGAATTAGTGGAGTGGTTTACATAACTGAGTCATGACAGCGTTTCCTCGATACTTTCAACGTCAAATAACTTGCGAGCATGGTTTCCATAGAGTTCAAGGCGCGGTTCGGTGCATTCTGAAGGGGCTTTTTTGAAGTGCGTATTATGGCAAATCGCGACCTAATATATTCACTTGGCTGACGCATAAGGATAGCAATACACTTATCTTAATTGGCTTCCGTTAGTACAAAGGTCTCCTTCCGACCAAATTTGTCTTCATTCGTTTATAAATCAAATCGAGGAACATGAGCTCCGATCATAAGGAACTACTATCCTAGATAGGAGGCATTCAATTTTCGGTACGAATGTCAAACATGAAGCAATATTTGTGCATTCAAGTCTATCGTTTCGTTGCTAATATATTACCTTGTTTTTCTTCTCATTAGCAGCCACAAAGTTAAATACGCAGAAAGAGAGGTTTTATCGTAATGGCGCGTACCAATTACATCGTTTTTGCTCTGTCCATATGCTGAGTGTGGATCTATTCCAAGAGGCGCATGCTATGGTGACACAAGGTAAGCTGAAGTCAGAATTAGCGTGTCCATGACTGCTCGTAATATAAATGATTGCTGTTTGTTTTCATTTTAAGCCAGTAATGCACCAGTGCAGGTTATAGTACTATTCTGCAGTATGCTTTCTCGCGTTCAGGGTTAAGGACCCGTCTGAGCTGAGTTGAAAAGCCAAACACAAACACTGCATTTGAACGCTAGCTTAATCATTCGCTTGTCATATTAAATTGTAATTTCCAAGTAGCTTTTTCAGACAAATCCACGGTTATATTGCATACTATTCCAGTAGGATTAAAGTACATTATATATATCTGTGACGTCGAGTTCGTAATTAGTGGTATTATTGCCAAAGAATTAGAGAAATAAAGTCTAGAATATTACGTACGTGATTTAGAACAGAACACATGCCTAAGCACCGTGCCACAAGTAGAATAGAAACGCGCATTACGGGCTATCTAGAAAACAATGCGACAGGATGTTTTGTGTACAAGGAGTAACTTATGCAATGAAAGGGAGAACAAGATCTAGCTGAGTATATCAAATCTTGCAATGGTTATTTTTGAATCATAGCAAATTTAAACAAAGTTAAAAGAGGCACCGGAAAACTAAAATAATATTGACAATAATATTTCGTTGTAGTTCCCATAGTAATATTAACTGTTGTCTGCATACTTTTAAAGTCAGGAAAAAGTCTTTACCCTTGATATGTTCGGCATCCTATATACTTTCTTCGCTAAGAGCGACTCTTTCGGAAAAGTGCGCTCGCGCTATTCCGCAAGCATTTGGTCGCTGTTTACCGGCCGCAGTACCCATGCAGTATCATTTAAATCAACGACCCTCTCAATCCTTGAAATCAAGTTGAGAAATCAAACAGAAGCCACTCTGTTTTTTGCCGTCGTAATCAAAGTTTTCGCGTGCTTGAAAATCGTAAATGATATTCCTTCAAATTTTATGTAACCTAATAATCTATTAAGAATGATAGCTTTTATCTACGTCTAATACGCCTGATTGCATGCACGGACGACTGAAACATGCCCAAGTTCAATATACTTCAACAAAAACGCGGTAGCTTCGCGTCTGGAAAGGCGGAAAGTACAAATTACTAAACATGCTTACGTACACGGAATATATACATAAAGTCATAAACCACACGACGAATTGTGGCATACCAAAAATATATTGCTTCCTGTGGTAAATGCATGGAAAGCCTCGCGGGCTTTAAGATTGCCACTTTTCCCCTAAAAATCGTGTGAATTTCCTGCCCATTTTAAGCAAGAGACAGTACGTGCTGCCTGGTCAGTATAATCCAATTGCGCCTATTTGAAGCTGCATGTGGGAATTTGTTGATCTTCTTGTAAACGCGGCAAGGCGCTTATCATCCAATATGCATGAATATAGCCGTTATTCCAGATTTTGAGAGAATGCCAACAGATTTTAAAAACAGTTTTTTAGCTAAGCATCGACGTTTTTTTTCTTCCTCTAAATACAAGAATCTTTTTGTTGGTCGCAAATTCGACAACAAACTTAGTTCTCATGCTTTGGATCGGCAAATCTTAAAATCACAACTATGCCGGAATAGTTACTTAAAGAGAGCTCTCAGCTTTTCAAAAGCCAATGTCCAATCAAGGAACATTGTACACTATCATTGTACACCGTTGACGTCTTTGTAAAACCGCGTCCCTCGTTGTAAGACGGGAGTTGAATCGATCATTATTCGTAATGACAGTGTGTCTGGCAGCGAGCTTGTCATTTTGAAGAAACGGTTGCTAAAAAATCGCCGGTTTTTTGCGACGAAAATTGCTATGCGATATTTCAAGCAAAGACTGTCTTTGTTTATGCGTTTTGACGTTTTTCAACGTCAAAATAAGGTGCATAATATTGTTGGATATTGTTATGCAATCTAGTGGTCGATAACACAAGACAGTTATGATGATAATAACAGGGTTCTCGTTTTTAAGCATCTTTGAAGGCAGGAATCCTGACGTCTGCATAAACATCCCGCGCTTTTGAATTGGTTCAAGTTGATCTTGTGTACGCATTATTTCTGAAGCCTTCAGGCTATATGATAAAAGACATCGGGAAACTTCTGCAATTACGTATGTACCGTCACAGAACGTGCCCTTACTGTACGAGTATGCGCATTTGACCATGGCTATAGCCGCTTGCCTTCAACAGCGCTAAAAATCACTGCCAACGCTTGTAATTGGTTAAACCGATGCGTGGACTTTGATTGGTTAATGTTTCCTTGATAACTGTACGCAGAATATTTCAAATCTTCCCGAATTTCTATTACTACGATAAAGAATACACACTGCAAATTATGTTGTTCCATTTTGCTCGTTGTTCAACGGGTAAAATATATAATTGATTTCAAGACTTCCTCGCGTACAATCCCGTATAAAAAAGCTGATCGCAGGATGCTTAATTCTTCTCAATGATAACAACTCAATTTATATCCTTGAATTCTTGAAATGCCATAGGGTAACTATGCTGCGTCAATTGTTTTAGGGTAACTTTTAACAACCGTAGTAGCGTTTTAATTGCTCCAAACATTCATTCGTGAAATGCTTCGTCCTCATAACGATAACTCCTTTATTTTTATCTAAATTCTTAAAATACCGGATTTAAACTGCGTAGTTTTGATTGTCTGAACGAATTTCAGCTATCTTAACAACCACTCTCTGCATGCATTGATATTGCCGTTGGAGAAAACCTTATAAAATAGCTTTACCATCGCATTTGTTGTCGCCTTTCATATATTGTCACTTGGTGGGCGTGAAAAGTCCTATTTGACAGTGTCGTAAGAACGACAACAGTGTCGAGACGATTCACTGGTGCAGCGACCACAAGTTATCCATGACGCAATATGCAAAGACACGTTTTGCAGCTTATTAATCTCCGCCATTATCAAAAATCGGGGTGAAATCATTATGACATATATTTCCTCGACAATGAACACGCATCGTGGTGAATTATACCCTTTGTTCATAGGAAATTTATATACAACATCGTCATGGAGAACTTCAGAATTGAAATTGAATGGAAAGACCGAATCATCTCAGCATCAGAGATGAAGTACTTCATTAACTGAAGAGTTCTTGACTGAGTATCTCCTTCATATATTAAAACTACAGATGAGGTGCATGCATACTTTCTCTTTGAGCTGTCATTAAAACTAAGGTGTGATTTCATTAATAGGCTTTTCTTTCGAAATTGTTTTATTTATAGCGATAACGGAACTGCTTCGAACCTTAGAAATATTGAACTCGTTTCCCTCATGAGTTGCAGAGACAGCCTGAAAAGAATTGAACAATATCTCAAGGTTTTCATTATTCGTACACTTTCAACAGTTTGGCAAAGGCAAAGTGTGTTTAACAATCTCCCTTTTATTTAGCCAGTATGATTTGGTTTAGAGATGCGAGCTTTCCTAAGCAAACATAGACTATTATTGCTTTTTGAATGATTTCTCTCATATTATAGTTTCTGTTCACAAAGTTTCCATTAGCATCGCGTGCATATGTGATTGTGAGAGATATTCAGATATCTGTTTGTAGAAGCGAGACAAAGGTTTCCTCTTAAGGAAACTTAATACAGGACAATTTAAAGGTCTAGTGAATTAGTGATAAAACACTGGGCTCCAACGGACGTGTATGCATTAACGCACAAACATCTTTACGATCGTATTTAAACTTTTGAGGCGTTTTGGTCGAACTTTCGAGACTTTTCTTACACATTTCCGTGATGCGAAACTGATTTCCCGGCTTGTTAAATATTACCCATAATTATCTTATATAGATTCTCTGTTTTATATAAAAACGTTTACATCGGCATCGACATCAGTGAATAAATCATTATCCTTGCTTTATTTGTCACGGGAAATAACTCAATATAAAAGTTCAAAAACTATTTTTAAAACCTGATGATCAGACACGATGTAAGTCCCTCAAGATACTGAAACAGGCATTTTTGAACGAAAAGATTTAATGTTCCGCCCTTTCGTATTCAAGTCGATATGTTTGTTGTGCAAATGTTATAATTATTTCCGTTAATTTTACTAATAGGTTTTAGTCTAATTGTAGCTTATTACTTTTTATCGTAATTAATGTAGTGCAATGTGATTGTTCAAGATCAGATAGTGCCTTTTGATAAAGCTGTGATGATAGAGTTGGTCTGTGTCGCCCTCGCAACTTTAACGCACTTTCAACTGAAAGCTCTCTTAGTAGCTAGATCTAGCTTGTATTGTAGCTTAACGTACAACTTTTATGGCAATCGATATAGTTTAAAGCGACGTAGTTTAAAGTTTCTGCTGATTTGCACTTTCAAATTTACCTCTGAAAACTTAGGAATTTGACTAATTTGTGTATTGTAACTCTCGGGTTTTTTTGTGAAACTTGTGGGGCTTTAAAAACCACGACCAGACGACAATTTAAAAAAGTAAAGAAAAAAACATATTCCGAATAAGTAGGACATCTTGAGAGTCAAAATATGAATCAAGCAAGACACAGGTCGAAACTGTAAATTTTCGACTTAATTTCAAAGTCATCTTCAGAGAGAATCTCAATTGATTGTGCATTTGTGGGGCTTTCTCGGCTATAAATGCCGTCTCATTTCTAAGGAACACTGTAGCGAATCCTAAAGATTTCCTTGTGCAGAACATCCACTGCATTTACAGAAACTTTGGCAGAATACACAGAGCTTTTGTTTACTTCATTTGACATTGTATTTTGTTTCCTCTTTAATTTGTAGTTTGCGAAGAACAGCCGAGGGACTTGTTTCTTGTTGTGGATGACTCCGCAAGCATAGGAGGAAGGGATATTAAAAAAGTTCGAAAGTTTCTCACAAAGCTTGTGTCTTCTGTTCACGTCAGCCGCGATATGACACGAATTGGTTTCTTGCAATTCAGCGACGAAAAAAACACAGCGATAAGATTCAATCTCGACAATAAGTTCGACGCTGAGACGATCCGTGAAAGATTCGTGAACATGGAGTACTATGGCGGTCCAAGAACAAGAACTGACCTTGCTTTAAAGATTGTCGTGGACGAGGTGAGAACAGTCGTCGTTTTTTGACTGCATGCATAGGGTTGGTGTACTTCGTGTAAATGAGTTATTGCATGAATGGCTATAAGTATAAGGTTCATTCTGGGCTTCTAGGAAGAAGCCCTTACTGGGCCTCTAGGAAGAACAGTTTAGAACTGATAGAGCTATCCAGTATAAATAAAGTTAGTTTATTTTAGGTTTCCTCCTGTAGTAACACTGGATCAATAAGAGATGATCCTTACTGGACCTCTAGGAAGAACAGTTTAGAACTGATAGAGTTATCTAGTATAAATAAAGTTAGTTTAGTGTAGGGTTGCTCCTGTAGTAACAATCTTAAAACATCATATTTCAGGTTTTCACAAAAACAGGAGGTGATCGTCCCGACGTTCCAGATATCACGATTGTCGTCACTGACGGGAAATCTCGTGACCCCGACCTCACCGCTCTGCAGGCAAAGCGCTTGAAAGATAAGGGAGTTCGTGTAATTGCGATTGGCGCCGGGGAAGATGTTCAAAAAGTCGAAAATGATATGAAAGATGAATTACAGACTATCGCCTCGAGCCCTGATGATGTGAAAATGGTGGACTTTGCAAACCTTGAGAGTATAGCAGTCGATATTGTGAATAAAGTTTGTACACCAATTACGACGACGAGACCACGTAAGTAAAATAAATCATTGCATTCATCTTGTTTTTTATTCAGAATGACTTTCGTGTTCAAATTCATGCCCCACCCCACCCTTCCTAAAACGAAGTCGTTGAAATCGTTTTCGTATCTGAAAGTAAGCGTCAATCAAATTTCAATGCAACAGTAGGTTGGGGGGGGGAGGGGTAGTAGGACTTGTACACAACCACATAAAACGTACTACTGTCCGTTTTTCAAAATATGGCATAGTTTTGTACTGCACAAAGCCGAACCATTTGTGTTGGATTGTAGCCAATGTTAATACTGAGTATGTCCATTTTAAAGCTGGTTCATTAGTGCTTGGCAGACAGTTTGGCTTTGCCGATGATAGCTGATGAGTTTAATGGGGGAAAAAATCTCCACCATGCGAGTGACTCTTGTCAAATCAATAGCTCGCGACCGGCGCATCACATTAAAATTCCTGCTAATTTTGGCCTAGTTTAGAGCACTTTAAATAAATGAAGGCCCTTCATTTACATATGCTCACACCTAGAAACACGATATGAAATTTTGTCGTGAGAAATTGAAAATCATACGACTATATAGCTTCATGAAGTTTACATATATTGAAAGAGCGGTAAATGCAAGGTGTTTATATTGACAACACTAGAACATGTTTACACTGGAATTTATTTTTTATTTCCTACGAAGGTCACTTGTATATAGACATTGTGTCGGCCATTGTTTCTGTCCAATATTCACGCTTCCATGAGCGCTTTACTTGGTAAAAACCGAAATTACGGCGAGGATTTTCTAACCTTTTTTGGCCAGCCAGCCACTGTCTCATCGTAAAATACTTAAAGTCCTTTTTGCCTTGTAAATTTCATACGGTCTCGTAAGTATTTTGAAGAACACTGACCTTTGAGGAATTCGGCGATGAGTTTTCGATAAATTGTTCACATTGTCATTGATAAAGCTCTGTCGAAATGCATTAATTTGTCGTAACAAATTTCACACCATTTTAAACGGGCAAGAACTACTCGTAACATGAAATCAGTGTCAAAATGAATTTCCTCATGTATAAAGAAAGCCTAAAATTAATCAAATTTCTGACGAGAATCGTTTACAAAAACGCTATTTCAATTCGCTTTTCCGTATCAAAACATGTTTCAGGTGGTCTGGAAGTTTAAACAAATATCACAGGAAGTGAAAACTGTTTACATCGCGCGAGATTGTATTATGGCGCAAACAGATGAGTACATCCTAGGCAGGACAGTCAATCTTACAAAAACATTCATTTAAAGCTATGTTGGACAAGTGGAACAAACTAAAGCATGCTTTATAAGCGTTCAACAGCCTATCTATGGACCAAACATAGCAATAAAGTAAACATATATGATTATGAGGCGGGGAACAAATCAGTTTCAATACGAACTGGTCTAATATTATCATGGGAAACTTTTTTGTTTACATTTTCAACTTGCACTTTTACTTTGAGGTAACCGGCATTCTGCCAGTTTTATTATATCTGCGTGTCTGTCCACGTGATAGAGTTCCCTTTCGAACTAGAATCATTCCCACAATGCACAAGTATCGCGCAGTGGGTGGGCGCGATATGCTGATACTCACGCACGCCATAAATGCTAGCAGGTTGTTGGGCGATGATCTTGACAAGTACAGTTCTAGACTTGTGTACCAAACATGGGCGACATACACCCATGGGTATTGGCAGTTGTACATATTTTACAATGAAAAAAATTTCTAGACCGTTTCAAAGTGCCCTTAAAATGCTTGCGGGCCAAGGTTATTGCCAGTTTGTGGGAAAAGAAACACGTCATGCAATGTCGAAACAAAATCTCCTAAAGGTAATACGAAATTTAACCTGAGGTCCGTTCTGTTTTTCCCCCAAAATATAATTGCTACACACTAGACAGTAATATTACCACTGATACAGAATTACTCATATCAGTTTATATTAATTATCACAGACAGAATCTGATAAAGGAACTTTAGGTGGAAGATAACACTGATAGGATCGATTTAATTGGCTATTATCTATTTATCCATTTAGGCACCATTATCAATTCATCTCAATTAATTCTTTCTCGCGACAGACATGCAAATCTGTAATTTGATAAAGTACATGCATTTATTGTTTTATATTAAGACACGGCTGAAACACTATCAGTATACTAAGAATGTTTAGTAACCTTTATTTTATAAGTAAAATACAGGGCTACTCGTTGCTGAATGAACATGCTGATTTCAAACTGCTTTCACATAAGATCAAGAATGACGATAAGCTAAATTATCTCATTTTTGTCAGTCTATTCCGGAAGAAACATTCTGTTGTAGCCACATAGGAGATACTTCTTGGTTTTGAATGATTATATTGTGATACCCTTACAGGTTTAGGAAAAACGAACTTGTCATAAGAATTCCTATAAGACAATACTGCCACATTCTGCCTCTAAGCATTGTCTTGTAAATATTGGGGTTTTGAAGCTTTATATACACAAGCATAGCTATCCGTATATCATTGGCTGGGTTCTATACCTGGTCTGACAATGAAATTTAAAGTTGCGAGTACGGAAAAGTCCGGCACTGAACTAATGCACTTGGTCTATTTTCATTTTAGCGACTACGCGGCCAACCACAGAGTTGAAACCACAGACAGAGAAGCCAGCGACGAGGATTCGTGCCCTGGCACCCAGTCTACCCAGTCTAACGACCGAGCATCTGACAACAGAAGTGAGCACAACAGCAACAGAAGTGAGCACAACCTCACCGCCGCTCGGCTGCTCTGGGAGCGAGGGAAAAGACATTCTTTTCGTGGTCGATGGTTCGGTTAACTTCCAACTTTCTTACGATCTCTCCCACAAATATTTCAGAAAAGTCAAGGGGTTTATCAAGTCGGTTATTCGTGATATTGACGATGATAGATTCAGGGTTGGTGTGATGCAATACACTGAAAAAGGCTCCGCAAAAATGGAAATAGATTTCATGAACCCAAAGGAGTATAGGGAGATTAAAGTACGATTGGGGACCATTGTTCAACAGAGGGGATACAAACGGTTCACCGGGGATGCGTTGGTCGCAGCTAATCATAAGGTTGGTATCTTAAGCTTTGTTTGTCCAAAATATAAGACAAGAATGAATGATATAAACTCCGATTAACATTAACATGTTGAGGTGATTCTCCTATGAATTGTGATATAGCTGTTAGCACACTCATGTAAACTCTCGCATGCTAACTCTCATCAACTCTTATTCTCGTTTGATCAGGACATGATAGTTGAGAAAACACTCATGTGATAAAACTCTCGCTTGGTAACTTTCATTAAACTCTCATTCTCGTTTGATCAGGACATGATAGTTAAGAAAACACTCATGTAAACTCTCGCTTGCTAACTCTCATCAACTCTCATTCTCGTTTGATCAGGACATGATAGTTGAGAAAACACTCATGTAAACTCTCGCGTGCTAACTCTCATCAACTCTCATTCTCTGTCAAGAACGTGAAAGTTTATATATAATTATTATAATATAAAAACGTTGGATACTTGCTAAGTCTAATCACTCCTTGTTTAAGCAAAATCTCAAGTTGTATTTACTTCTAATCATAGTTCTACGAGCTTGATGCAGTGAGACAGCGAGAACGCAATCCAAATGTGATCGTTCTCATCACGCGAGGAATACCAAACGACAAAGAGGATACTCGTAGTGCAGCTAGACTGTTAGGATTAAGACAAGTCCAACTCATTACTGTTGGAGTTCGTTCAACACCATCATCAAAATTTCTTGCATCGTTCTTGGAAGAGATAACCGAGAAGAGCAACGTCATTCTTTCAAAGTACAGAGGCCTAAAGAAACAGCGTTTTCAAGCAATAGAAACGATCTGTTCAGAATTCGAAAAACCTGTTAAACCTGGCAGTAAGTATCTTTTAAAAAGAGAACAATAAGTGATGATCCTTAGTTTAGTTTTAACTTTAAGTTTCCTCCTGTAGTAACACTGGATCAATACGAGATGATCCTTACTGGACCTCCAGGAAGAACAGTTTAGAACTGATAGAGCTATCTAGTATAAATAAAGTTAGTTTAGCTTAGATTTCCTCCTGTAGTAACACTGGATCAATAAAGATGATCCTTACTGGACCTCCAGGAAGAACATTTTAGAACTGATAGAGCTATCCAGTATAAATAAAGTTAGTTTAGTTTAGATTTCCTCCTGTAGTAACACTGGATCAATAAGAGATGATCCTTACTTGACCTTTAGAAGGAACAGCTTGATAAAGGTAGTCAATACGACAGCTATTTTTATTTGCAATAACATCGAAATCTTTCGAAAATTCAAGGGGCCCTAAGTCCATCTCTGTGCCGTCGTGATCCACAAGATATCTACTTCGTAATCGACGGATCAGCGAGCATCAAAACCCCCAACTTCGCCAAAGTCCAGATCTTTTTGATGGATTTCATCTCACTACTAAGAGTGGAGTCGTCCAACATTCACACTGGACTCATGCAGTACAGCGAGGAACGTCTCACTTCGGTGGTCTGGGACTTAGGTGCGTACACGGAGTTCGAGACGATCATAAATATTCGTAACATGAATTACCAAGCTGGGACGCGCACAGCAACTGGCGATGCGCTGACTCGTGTTAACAACGAGGTGAGTGGCTTATTATCAATTTAAACACAAATTCAAGCCATAACTATAACCTAATCTATCTTTAATGCTACCAATTATCCCAATTTGAACCTTTCATGGCGAGAACCTTTCATTTCAACGCCTAATGCGTGCATATTTTTGATAAACACAGGTTTTCACGGGACTTTACGGCGATCGTCCGTACATCCCCGATATGTTGATTATATTCACCGACGGCAATGCCCACGACTTGAGAATAGCCCGCAGACAGGCTGCGTTTTTGAAGGAAAAAGGCATTTTCATCATTACCATTGGGGCTGGAACCGAGCGATCAATCCAAAAATTCAAACAGGAATTAATCGACATGGCCTCTGGACCTGAATATGCGTTTACTGTTGATTTTGAACAGCTCGAATTCTTCGCCGAAAAAGCGTTCCCGCTCGTCTGCCGACTCTTAGGATTAATGAGAAAAAAGCGCCTTTGAAATCGGCAAGGAAACTGAGAGTAGATTGGCAAAAAAATAACCAGAAATATACTCACTTAAAGGTAAAATACACACAAAACCGTTACAGAAGAAAGGAGGCCGTAAGATCACGCCAAGAATATAGTAGAATACCATAAATAACTCAATGTAGAGTTTAAGAGTCGAGAGGATAGTGTACGGGTTCTAGGAACCCATACAAAAAAACATATTTATTAATCTGAAGAACTTTAGGCTTGTTTAGAAGCAAAGGCGACATACACAATCTTGTTGTGAAAATATTTATAATAATACAGTGTGATTGTAACATAATAAAATCAGTAAAAATACGAGTGTGTTATAGGTTCAATATTTTACCACATATATGCCCTTCGTCTTCTTTTTTACCAGATTTCATGAACTTGAACTTGAAGCCGCATGGGTTAGATTCTAAGGATGTTTACCAGGGCATCTTACCGTTTGTCGACAGGAAATTTGAATCGGCACATATGACCCTTGCGATCTTTTTGGCTTAAACATTGGGTTGGTCGGATTCCTGTGAAATTAAATTACTCTTCGCATGTGCATAATATCTCGTTGATCCCAATCGCGTGAGCCTCGTTCTAGTTTGACTGAAACACGAGAGTTGATAGTGACTATTTTAGGCATGACGAATGCGGGAACTACTTGCCTGAACTAACAACCTGGCGACATATGCCACCTCAGCAGGTCTCGCTTGTGTTTAGATAGTTTTTGTGAGGAATTCATTGGCTTAATTGCGAGACAAGTTCCTCTCGTGCGCGGTGGATAATCATTCGCGTTAAGTTAATCGTCTCTTGAGCTATTTAGCTCAGCAAAGTATAAAAAGCCACGATTTCACTGAGACCACTTCGCAGGCTTGCAGAAATTTTTTTCATCTAATCAAAAACATATTGTGTGTTGATACACGATCTCACAGTCATGCACAGCGAGCCTTCGATTGCCGTTTTCGTCGATTAGAAGCGATATAGGCAACTGTCTTTTTCCCAAGTTTGATTTTAAAAAATATCAGTTGATGCACTCTCGCCTGAATGACTCGTATCTTGTTTTCCCCGTTGCGAAAACATGGTTATTCATCCATGTACTCGGGACAATCTTTTCCCAATCCGAAGTGGTGGAACAACAAGATTACTAGCATGACCTTGGAAAGATGAAAAAGAACTAGAGTCGAATATTAAAGCCTGTCATCTTCCACTTTTTCTAGTTATGTGATAGCCGTTAATCGTAGCCCTAGAACGTCATCATGTTCTTTAAAAGTACTTCAGATGTTTAATTATGTTTCAAAATAAATCTCTCAATCCAGAGTGTTGAAAGAGGTATCCAAAATTGGTCAGAGTAAAGAAGGATACACATTGGTCAGACGGCATAAGTCAGTATTAAACGTTTGCAGTCGATGGTAGCTCAATCTATCGAAGAATAGCTTCCCAAAAACACAATTGTAAGGAGAGGAAACAGAAGCTGCTTTAAAAGCTGGTTGTTTTAAAGGTGGGTAACGGGTTTCTTTGTTAGGCAATATAATATATAAGACTCTAACTTCAGCTTAAAATAATTTTATCTGCGGTGAATATAAACATTTGCTTACCTTCATGATACGATGCATGCGATTAACTTCGATATATCAGATTATGTAGTGAATATATCGCATTATGTATTTATCAAGAACAATTCTCCATTCAGGTTTGGGCTGCCCTCTGTTTTATTTCCTTCAGCTTCGCGTGACAAATTGTACGCGTTTAGCTTTCGTTCGCACGAAAAGTGACGCGGATTTTTGCCGTGAAATTTTTTTTAAACACACGCAGTGTAGTGTGGTTCAAACGACGCAACATTTCGTACGTGTTCACAAACGGTGCGATTAAATGTTCTTTGGGTTCCCGCGTGATATTTCTCCTCTTGATAAATGCTTGCCTTGCTCCGAATCTACTGGAAGGGAAGATACATAAACTTGTCTGTTCACAAAGCGATGAAATTCGTGACCTCATGCCATACGTTAGTTAGCTAATGCGTTTCAAATGTGCACGTTGCTTGAAATTCAATCCTTACGATCCTCTTAGTTTTAAAGTCAAGATTTTACCTATAAACAAACTATCATCGTTGCTTTGTAATACGATTAGAAGATTGGAAGCCCTACGATGAAATAAAAATAAGTGATTGTTTCAATGTTGGGAAGTGAGTACTTAAATATCGCGCGTAACAACTTCTATGGTGTTTTGAATCGATAGATATATGATTCGTAAAATACGAATGATGCAAGTGGTTACAATAGGATGATGGGACGAATCGAGTGGCTCAACCAACCAAACAAACTAGTCAACAATTGGCTAGAGTCCAGTTGATGTAGATAAATAACAGGTTAAAAAACATCTGCAATGCATTTCTCAACCCTCAAACATGTTCATAAACACTTTTCTAAATGCAATCTTTTATCACTCCGACCTTTGTTAGAAGGCAATAGCCTCGCATCTTTTACCAAAGCGATAGATTTCGGGTTAATGAAGATTAAGTAGTTGATTTCTCGGAATCTGCAACACATTTTATGCTTGGTATTTGAGCTCTTGATAATAAGCCTGATGTAGTTCTCAAGTAGTCCAGCGAGATAATCTTCAATGTGCTTCAACATGCTGTGGCGTCCCACTGAGGTATCATTAGGACACGAGACTATCAGACAAGACTGTCACTCGTTAGTATACAGTGAAAGTCCAACATGACGTTAAGGATGTCTGGAACCCAATCACTGCACATGCGCCTAGCCAGCTCTGGGGCCGGTTGTTCGAAAGGCGTTTAGCTTAAACAGTGGATAAGCCAAAGTTTAAAAGTCTTCTCATACATCTTGTGAATGACTGAAGCTGCATTTCATGCATTAAATATGTACTTTCATTGAAAATTAAGCTATTTACATCGAAATATTTCGGCTAATTTGTCCAATAAAGACATGATTTTGTTTTCAATTTCGAACTTATCCAACGTTTAGGCTAAACGCCTTTCGAACAACCGGCCCCTGAACTGTCAGTATAATGGATGGGTCACCAAAACCTCCTAATTTATACTGGATCTGCTTATAATAGTTATTCAATATGGTTTTTAGTAACGCATTATGTTTATTTAAAAGTGCTGGCTGGTCAATAGGTGCAGCCTGCCCTTGCCTTTAATCGTCGCGTGAATCGATAATGTTACATTTGCACCTTAGTGCAAATTGCATCTTCGGGGCTAGCCACCTTTACTGTCATCCAGTGGATAAATTTCGAGAGACAAACTCTAGGTATAGCAACGGCTGCAACGCACATTCCTGTGGCATGGCTTTACTCGGTTTTACAAACAAGCAATCATATATATTTAGCAATTTACCATTCTGTATTGATCGAATTAATTTGTGATCATTTTTCTTTGAAGGTTCTCACAAAATGGCCGCTCTGGTATGTATAATGTTCGTAGTTTTTGCTTCGTTGAATGCTCATGTTGTCAACGGGCTGCCACGCAGAAAGCGTGATATTTCATCAGGTAAAAGCCGATTGCTAAATGCAGGCGGTTGCCATTGCTGTTTATCGTGTTTTCTTGTCAATTTTCAATGTATTCAAAACATTCGCCATGCCTTCTTCTTTAGTTGAATGCAATTACGAAAGATTTCACGATATCTATTTCATCGTCGATGGATCTCTAAGCATCACACCAAGCAATTTTAAAAAGCTCAAAAATTTCCTCATCAACTTCATCAGTTATGTACAAGTTGGTAATGACACGAACCACATCGGCCTCATTCAGTTCAGCGAAGAACAGCTCACGAGTGTCGAGTTTGACTTCAAGGACAGACAGGAGAAGTCAGCCATATTGAAACGAATCAGCGACATGCGCTATCACAGCGGTCAGAAAACGTTTACTGGTCAAGCTTTAAAGATAGTCCTCGACTCGGTAAGACTTGCTTCAGACGTGAAATAGAGGAATCGTTGGGGAGGGGGGGGGTTAACCTTAAATAAACCTTAGGATTCTTAAATTGGGATCCTTTTTAATAATTATCAGCTCCAAAGCTGCAACGTTATTGTTTTCAAGCATTTTTGCAATGGTTGAAAAAATCACCATCCAGTGTATATATATCCAGGCTTCGTGCAACCAGACAAACTTTTATCCATCCAGCAGTTAGCAATCAGCTCAGTCCCTAGAATAGAAATCTGTGTCAAAATCGTCCTTTAACAAACGTTGCCTTTAAATCAGGTGTCTCCTGGAAGAGGTTATCACCGACCGAATGCGAACGATCTGATAATCATATTCACAGACGGTCAGGCACACGATAGTTACGAAGCGAAAAATTACGCCGGCACCTTGAAGAAGAATGGTATCCGAATTATCGGGGTTGGAATAGGGCCTTATCTTTCTCGCTTTATTAAAGATCTTGAAGAAATGGCCTCTGGTCCACGAAATGTATATACTTTCACTTTTGCGAACCTTACACAAGATGTGGCTAAGAAGACTGCCCTGGATGTTGCAAATGAAATTTGTCTGGCGTTAGAGACGCCTACTGTATCAACTCGCCCAGCGACAACCACCGAAGTACCAACGACTACCGAAGCATTCACGACCACTGAAGCTCCGACGCCCACCGAGATACCGACGACTACCGAAGCATTAACGACCACAGAAACTCCAACAACTACCGAAGTAACAACGACCACTGAAGCTCCGACAACCACTGAAATGCGAACGACTACCGAAGCATTAACGACCACTAAAGCTCCGACAACCACCGAAATACCCACAACTACTAAAACATTAACGACCACTGAAGCTCCGACAACCACCGAGATACCGACGACTACCGAAGCATCAACGACCACAGAAACTCCGACAACCACCGAAATAACAACAACCACCGAAGCTCCGACAACAACCAGAATTCCGACAACTACAGAAGCTCTCACAACCACCAAGGCCCTGACGACTAAACGATCAACTACAGAAGCATTAGCGACAACAAGTAGGTGATTCCCAATTTATAAATGAACACGCGTAATTATGATGTTTACTATAGTCTATAACTACTGTGATTTCCTTTTTTAGAAAGCTGTGGCGGTGAGTCGTATGATATCTTCCTAATGGTAGACGGTTCGGTCGCGGACAATGTTGATTTTGCCAAAGTTAAAGAGTTTTTGACAAATTTTGTAAACGACTCGAATGTCAGCCCGTCACAGACCCACATTGGTCTGCTACAATTCAGCTTACCTCACTTAGCATCTTTGGAAATTATGTTTCAAGACTTGCAAGTCAAGAGTTCCCTTGTGGAAAGGATACGTTCGCTGTACTATCAGGAAGGTGAAGGCAGATATACTGGACAGGCGTTACAAGCTGTCGAAGGCTCGGTTCGTGACAATTGTCATATATCACGAATATTTCACTCTTCTATTTCAGTCCAAAAGTGTAGCGTAACTTCTTTTTGGACTTTGCACGAGTTATTCCTTTTCACGGTTAAACTGTTTCTTTTCTAATAGGTATTCACGGGACGCAATGGTGATCGACGAAACGTTAAGGACGTTGTAATTTTACTTAATTTTGGTCCATCCAGTGATATTATAAAAGCACAGTTTGAGGCTTCTTTTTTGAAAGCAAGGAACATCAGAATTATACCTATTGGAATTGGAAAAATGACACAGGCGAGAATGATAGAACTACGAAGACTAGCCACAAGTCCAGGAGATTTATTGACAACGTCCTTTGAAAATTTGCCTCGAACTTCTAGAAATTTGTTGAACAAGCTTTGCATAGCTCATGAAACGGAACCTACACAGAAACCAACAACAACACTTGAACTAACACCAACAACAACATTTGAACCAACAACAACACCAGAACCAACAACAACACCAGAACCAACAACAACACCAGAACCAACAACAACACCAGAACCAACAACAACACCTGAACCAACAACAACACCTGAACCAACAACAACACCTGAACCAACAACAACACCTGAACCAACAACAACACCAGAACCAACAACACCAGAACCAACAACAACACCTGAACCAACAACAACACCTGAACCAACAACAACACCTGAACCAAAAACAACACCTGAACCAACAACAACACCTGAACCAACAACAACACCTGAACCAACAACAACACCAGAACCAACAACAACACCTGAACCAACAACAACACCTGAACCAACAACAACACCTGAACCAACAACAACACCAGAACCAACAACAACACCTGAACCAACAACAACACCTGAACCAACAACAACACCTGAACAACAACAACACCAGAACCAACAACAACACCTGAACCAACAACAACACCTGAACCAACAACAACACCTGAACCAACAACAACACCTGAACCAACAACAACACCTGAACCAACAACAACACCAGAACCAACAACAACACCTGAACCAACAACAACACCAGAACCAACAACAACACTAGAACCAACAACAACACCAGAACCAACAACAACACCTGAACCAACAACAACACCTGAACCAACAACAACACCTGAACCAACAACAACACCAACTAATGCTCCTACGACCTCTGATAGAATCCCAGCTGGTCCACCTGTTAAAATGCGAGTTGAAGGTAATCTTGTTTTAAGGCATTCTCTTATTTGAAGACACCAATACTCTAAACAGTATATTACACGTCTTGCCTCTTTTAGAGTGCAACGAACGCGATATTTTCTTCCTTATTGATGGCGGCGCTAGTGTAGGGCCGGAAAATTTCAAAAGACAAGTGGAATTCTTAGCAAGGTTCGTGAGAAAAGTTGATCTGGATTCTAGGAAGATACGTCTTGGAGTAATAGAAGTTAGCAACAAGGAGAGAACAAAAGTAATATTTAGTTTTGAGTCCTCGCAAAATCCGCTTGATATTGAATATTTACTCAAGGATATGCCGTTTTACAACAAACCAGATAGATACGTTGGAGAAGCACTGAAGAAAGTCTATACTTCGGTGAGTACCGTAATACAATCGACAGTAACATAAGCCACTTTTTCATGGCTTAAAGTGAACTTTTTTTTTCTAATCAAAGAAATTTTGCGAGAGAAATGACTTCATGGTTTGTCGTTTTCAAACCTGATCGTGCATGCTTTCTAATGATGTTTTCCATCTAAATTTTTCAACTTGTTTCTGATAAACACTCTTTCAGGTATTTACGGGCTCTGACGGAGACCGTCCGGAGGTTGGCGACACCCTGGTGATCCTTATGAACGGCCGAATGAAAGACGCAGCAGTCGCCAGCGAATATTCGGAAAAACTGAAAGTTCGTGGAGTGCGGATAATCGCTGCCGCGGTGGGAACCGAAACGGAATTATTTGAAGATCAGATCGAGCTGATGGCTTCGAGCTTGCAAGACATGCTTAGGTCGAATTTTGATTATCTTGACCAAGTCGGTAATCACATTTTGAACAAAATTTGTACATTGGTGCCAGTGACTCGAGAGCCAGGTATATTGTGAATTCATTAGCATATTGTGCGTATAGTGCGTGTCCAAATCAATAAATGACTGGGAAAAGTTTGATGACTGCAGATGTTCATTTTACACGAAATTAATAAAATAATAAGAAAAAACGAATTTTGATCAAAAACACAATATCTTCAATAGCTGACTTGCATTGTGATAACAATTTGCGGACACTGTTTTTCAGTAGTCGTGTTCGAGATTAAATGTCAAAATTTGTTGCATTTTAAATTGTTAAATTTCAAATTGTTTCGAAATTTGTTACATCTGTTGCTGATAGTGCTTGATTTCAATTCAATAGAAATCCAAGCTCCTAATAGGATCATAACTCTTCCGACTTCAACACGTCCAACGACCGTCGAGACAACGATACCAACCACCCGTCCTACAAAGCGACCCCCGCCAGAAGCGTGTACCACCACACAACCGAGGGACATCCTCTACATGGTCGACACCACGGCGAACGTGACTGAGTCTGAATTAGAAAAGGCCAAACAGTTCATCAGCTACTCCATTGCACGTTTCAATCAGATTGATGAATCATTCATGATGGGTGTGATGCAGTTCAGCGACAAAAACACGGCCAGAATGGTTAGAGATATCACAAAGTACAAAAGTAGAAATGACCTCGAGAATGATTTGGATAAAATGGAACTACAAGGTCATTCAAAAAGATTCACAGGGGAAGCGCTTGTAGAAGTTGGAAAAACGGTTAGAAATCTGTTAAACGCTTTCCTTTTCTATACACATGAGTAGTTTTATCCTTTCATTCCTTTCATTTACTAAAATAGCTGTTTCTTCTGGTATCTTATTGAACAATCACATACAGTGCTATACCGAACAAATATTTTCCGTTGCAAGATGAGCGTACGTTGAGATACTATGTGGTTCATCCTAGTTAAGCTAAATATATTTATACGAAAATGATACGGTCCGCAAGGGGATGCTTTTCGATTAGATATCTCATTTAAGACGTCTGGGACGTTGAAATGACAACTTGAATCTAACAGGGAGATGCTTCCATCTATCGATAAACACCATGTACTGCTTTTCGTTGCTATAGTTCTACGAGTTCAACACAAAACATGACCGGCACGAAGTTCAAGGTATCATCATTTTGCTGACAAACGGCTTTGCTAGCGACCAAGCGAAGGTCGTGTCTGAGATTGACTTGCTCAAGGCAAGATACATCAAAATCATCGTCATCTCCTTCGGCGATTTGCGATACTTAGTGGATCAAAAGTGGAACGAGATTGTGAATGTTACATATTTGTTTACATCAACACTGTCGCCTCCATCCCATTTTCGCGAGCTGTTTGATTTCATTTGGGAGCCCATATGTTCTGAGTTTTACTACAGGAAGAATTGTAAGTGCGATGAAGAACTCCCTTATACAATGAAGGAGGTCCTGGGATTATTTGTGCTTTATATTTAAGGAACAATTTTCACTCAGAGGAAACAGTTAGAACTGATAGAGCTATTCAGTATAAGTAAAGTTAGTTTAGTTTAGGTTTCCTCCTGTAGTAACACTGGATCAATAAGAGATGATTCTTACTTGACCTTAAGGAAGAACAGTTTAAAACTGATAGAGCTATCCAGTATAAATAAAGTTAGTTCAGTTTAGGTTTCCTCCTGTAGTAACACTGGATCAATAGGAGATTATCCTTCCTGGACCTCTAGGAAGAACACTTTAGAACTGATAGAGCTATCCAGTATAAATAAAGTTAGTTTCGTTTGGGTTTCCTCCTGTAGTAACACTGGATCAATAAGAGATGATCCTTACTGGACCTCTAGGAAGAACAGTTTAGAACTGATAAAGTTACCCAAGGCTCTTGGGAGAATTGTTTATTTATAACAATGCCAAAATATTTTGATTATTTCAGACCCACCAGCTTCTTTTCAATGCGATGGTCGCCCACATGATATCTACTTTGTAATTGACGGATCAGCCAGCATCAAGCACACGAACTTCAGAAATGTGCGAAAACTTCTACAAGATCTTGTCATTCTGCTGACCAGGCAGAATGATAACCTGCATATTGGAATGATGCAATACAGCGAGGCGAAAAGAACTGAAAAAAATTTAAGGCTCGACAAACACTCCACGGAGGAGATCATTGACGTCATACAATCTATGACGTATCACGCTGGACGCCAAACGAGGACTGGGGACGCGCTGAGTAGGGTCAGCACAGAGGTTAGTTGTTTGAAGAATTTTGAGCGAAAGCTTGAATTTGAATGACATTTTTAGGCGGAGAGAAATTTAGTTTATTCAAGACTGGATGTTTCTGACTTAATCAAGATTTACATTCAACCAGGATTTAGGTCTTATGTTTACGATTAGAATTTAGATAAATGCCTCTCATTTGTTCCAATTGAAGTTCATAAATTTAGTTGTCATTTCAACTGAAGACATCGTCAAACATGCAGCAATTTCCAGCGCGGTGATTATATTGAAATGTTTTTCAGGTCTTCAACAAATATGGCAACGACCGACCTTTGGTCGATGACATTTTGATTCTGTTCACAGACGGTAATGCGCATGACCTAAAGCTTGCTCACCAGATGGCTGACGCAATGAAGTCACGTGATATTAAAATTGTTGGCGTTGCCGCGGGAAAAGAGGAGGAGGTGAAGAAATTTAGGGGCGAACTCGAGAAAATTGTTACCAACAAAGACGACATCATTAGTGTCGATTTTCCAGATTTGGCCAGCTTTGCTACGAAGTTATTGCGACTAACCTGTGATTAGCGTTTATAGACAGGTTTCAATTTTTACGCTTGTAATATAAGAGGGGGGTTACAGTAGTACATTTTTACCTAAGCGGTATTCTTCCAAATGGCCGTAGTGATGTTAACGGCTCTTTGAATTTGGCGCAAGAAGCTGTATCCTAATTTATGGTTATGATGTCAAATATTTTGACATGCATCATCACGCTGTTTTAGGCCCCTTACAGACGAGTACGTTTTCTATGACAAGTTTTTATGTGACAAGTTTTAATTGTTCGTCTGTACACCCAACTTTGCCGGACAATTTTTTCTATGACAAGTACACTTGTTCAAAAATCGAGTATACTTGAATCAAGTAAACCACGCTGTTTTACTGATGGTCTAATTCTGGTCCTATATATGTAAAATTTCAGGCATGTTTTGTGCTCATATACAAACATTAAACAATAAAACCATGTTTTGGTTATGATGTCAAATATTTTGATATGGATAACCACGCTGTTTTAATGGTCAATTGCTTGTCCTATGTAACTTTGCAAGCATGGATATATGCTTGATTTCAAATTTGTAAGTGGAAGCACTGGTTTTCTTAGCATTTTGAACACTCTTTACAAGGTTAAGGTTTAGAGTTAATCTTAATCTTAAGACCTGACCTGATCTCAAGGATTAAATTCGTGTATTTCTATCAGCCGCATGTCATCATCGCCATGGATTCTCGCATTAATGTCGCATTGTTTGGCCTTGGTCGGGCTGGAAAAATTCACTTTAAAAACCTCTTTAATAACGTGCGCGTCGACTTGAGGTACTTGGTCGAGGAATACACAAGCGAGGCAGAGACGTTTGTGTCCGAATATGGATTAAATACCAAAATTATTCACGCCAGCGAATACAAGAGCGTTCTTAGTGATGACTCACTTCATGCCTGTGTTATTGCAACTCCGACGCAAAGCCACGAAGAGTTGGTGCTCGCCAGTTTAGGGGCGAACAAAGCTGTGTTTTGCGAGAAGCCTTTGGCAAACAGCGTAGAAAAAATTGGTATGAAATGATCTAATGTCAAGCAAGTTTACTATTCACAAATACGACACAGACACAGAGAACTTAGGGCAGAATAGGGCCGAATTCCACGGGCGCTTTTTCTCGGCGAAATGCGGAATATTTCGCCTGTTTCTTTTGAATTTCGACCGCTTGAATTGATTAATTCTGTTCCATTGCTCACATTCAAAAGAAGCAGGCGAAATATTTCGCATATCTCTTGAAAATTTAGCCCGTGAAATAAGGACTTTAGGTTATTTGTTGGGGATTTAGTTACTCACTGTTGCACAGAAACCGTGTTTCTCTATCGACCTGTTCAGATTTCGCTCGCTATAAGATCGATCAGGCAAGATCTATGCGAAGTTGAAAGCGCGGGTCCGTAAGAGCTCAGAGTTTCTCAGACAAGCTATCATTGCGGACATTGCCTAAATATTTCGCAATCGATACAGTATAAGCTGTCACAACACGCGACAGAGATATGTCATCGTCATACACGTAAGCCTCTAGATTTGAACACTGTCATTTGAATGAAACACTAAGTAAATAGCAATAGACACTTGACACTTGACACTTCCCGAATTTGCTTGCTTGAGTGCACACAGAAAAATAGCTTAGAAACGAAGCAGGCAATGAAATCTATTGTTAGTGGGAAGGTTTAAGGTTTTCATTGCCCGCGAAGAAATTCGTGAAGTGTCTATTAAACGCTGTTTAAATTACTAAAGGCGTTGTTACACTATGCAACTTTCCTTGCAATTCGCATTGCAATTCCACTTGTGAGGCATCCAAAGTTGTCAAATGCAAACCATTCCTTCGATTGATGACGTATAGCATTTTGAACACTGTTTACAAATTAACACCCTCAAAATTAGAATTGGATTGCAAGTTGCAAGGAAAGTTGGATGGCGTAACAGCGCCTTAAATACATCGTCTTTTCTAGCCAAATGTTATGACGAGGCGAAGAAGAGAAATCTACCTTTAATATGCAGTTTCAACCGGCGTTTTGACCCCGGAGTCCGGGAGATATACGACCGAACTAAGTCTGGCGAGGTGGGGCAAGTGCAAATGGCCAAACTCACAAGTCGTGATTCACCTCTGCCACCCATGGAATTCCTGAGACGAACAAACGGCACTGCACGTGCGCAGTGCACGATCTCGACGTGCTGGCGTGGATCTTTGGAGAGAGACCGCTGAGCGTATATACGACGGCTCATTGCTTCATCGACGAAATTAGAGCGATGAATGACGTGGATACCTTAGCGATTGTCTTGAAGTTCCCAAGCGGAGGGATAGGGCTGGTTGATATATCCAGGCGTGCCGTCTTCGGTTACGATCAACGCTTTGAGGTATTTGGTGACAAAGGCATGTTGATCCAGCCCAATTACAAGCCATCTAATGTCGAATTCTCCGGCAAAGACGGATCCTCGACTGGCCGAATTTATCACTCGTTTCCAGGTCGCTATTCAGAATCGTACGTCAAGTCTCTGGATCATTTCCTTGATGTCATCCAAGGAAAATGTCCACCGGCTATTACCAAGGAGTCGACATTACTCGCTTGCGAGATTGTCGAAGCCTGCGAACAGTCGCTAAAATCCGGTCAAGCGGTTATGTTGCCGCAATAAACTTCATTTAGGTAGTGTTAAACTCTAGTTATGTAGCGTTTAAATTATACGTTTATGTGGATATTAAATTGCCAATTAACAATATGACACCTCATCTTTTGTCCTCGTTTCAGTTCAGTTTATTATCATAGGCAAGTTGAACGAGTTTTTTGAACAGTGTTTATGATTCGTTCTTTCAGAAATCATTTTCTATAGTTCATTGTGTTTTATTGTTATCATCAGCCAATAGCAAAGCTTGTTCATATAGATACGTACCGACCCAGGAAAATATGAAAACGAAAATGAAAAGTCATAAGCCATTGTAAGTCTACACCTTGCTTTCGACAAACTTTATAAATAATTTACCATAGACGAACACGACGTCTCTACTTTAATTTCAAACCTAATTATTAACAATTCCCGAATACACATGCATTATTAACTCAGAAATGTCGTGTAATTCTCATATTGCTTGAAGCACTTTATATCAAATATCGTTCACCTAAGGCTAAGCTAAATTCTGGTCTGAAGGCAAGCAAAGAGCTCTAGTTTTTCTCGTGATTCTACACCCATATCATCACACCTCTCACTGCTAATCTGTCGTGGTCTTTTGATTGAGATTTCCGTTATATGATGTAACGGATTACCGATTGCATATGAGATCTTACGTGTATATTGTAACTTCAGTTAGTCTGATGATGATTTTGTAATAAATTCGAAATATCACGAATTTATTTTTTGTCTTGTTTTATCCTATATTTTGGGTTTCAAGATGTTAATCTTTGGATTATGTTTTGTTTTGTATTTCTTGAAATTGTCGGCTAGTATTGGCTTTTTATTCTTAACTAATCTAAAGCTATCCTAACACCAAATCTGATACATCGTCATCGACTAGTTCCAGTTTTGAGTTTTCAATCCTAAATTCATCATCTGACCATCGTCGCTTCTGCACCCATTGCTTTTTTTGCTTCGTAAAGTTTGTTTACTCGGGAGCTCGACACAACTGATATACATCGTTGGCAAAGCGGTAATATGATATCTCATCTAGAAGACACTCGGTTCATTCTTACTATGGAGTCTCGCATCAACATTGCCGTGTTTGGTTTGGGTCGTATTGGGAAAGTTCATTTCAAAGATCTCTACAATAGCTCGCGGGTCAAGATAAAATATGTAGTCGAAGAATTACACAGGGAAGCCGAGAAATATGTTGCGGACTATCAGGTTGACACGAAGGTAGCTCACACAAGCGACATGCAATCTGTGCTGAGCGATGAAACACTCCACGCATGTGTTATATCGACTCCAAATCATACTCATGCGTCTTTGGTACTAGCCAGTATAGCTGCAGGAAAGGCTGTTTTTTGTGAGAAGCCTCTGGCTGACACTGTCGAGGAAATCGGTTAGTTTATAGTGTAATACAAACAACTTAACTACAGGGATTGTAGCTAGTGGTGTTGTTTATATGCCAACGAGTATTTTGTTATAAATAAAGCGGTGAAACTGCATTTCCCGTGCTAGGCAGATGTAAATAACGATTTACTTGAATGGGCCCGGGAGCTCTTGAGACACTCTAAAATACCCGTAATCTGAAACTGCACTGTTGACCTAAATGAATTTTCATGAGGCTAACTTTACAATCTGTTGCAGAAAAGTGTTACGACGAAGCGAAGAAAAAGGGAGTCCCATTGATTTGTGGTTTCAACCGTCGTTTCGATCCAGGGCTTCGCGAAATCTACACACGTACAAGAGCTGGCGATGTTGGACAGGTTCAAATGGTGAAGATTACCAGTCGTGATTCGCCGATGTCGCCCATAGACTACTTCAAGTCAACGAAAGGAATCTACCACGACTGCGCAATACACGACATCGATTTGCTGACGTGGATCTACGGAGAGAGACCGCTGAGCGTGTATACGGCGGCTCATAGCTTTATCAAAGAAATAGGGGAGTTAAACGACGTCGATACAGTGGCGATCGTGTTGAAGTTTCCTAGCGGAGGTATCGGGATCATAGACCTCTCACGTTTTGCTTGTTTTGGTCATGACCAACGCGTTGAGGTGTTTGGCAATAAAGGAATGCTTGTTCAAAACAACTACAAGGCTACGAACGTCGAATTCTCCGGGAAAGAAGGCTCGTCGACTGGACGAATTTTGAATTCTTTCATGGAGAGATTTGCGAAATCGTATAAGAATGTTATCGAACATTTCCTGGACGTAATCCAAGGGAAATGTGCGACGGATATAACGAAGGAATCAATCTTGCTTGTTAGTGAAATTGTAGAGGCATGCGAGAAGTCTCGTGCATCAGCACAAGCGGTTAGGCTTCCTCAGGAGTAAAACACATTTCATACCAATAGTATAGTTTTCCGAAAAATATGACCGAACAGGCAATGACTGAGCCATGCCCAAATTGCTGTCTTTTAATGTCCACAGGAGCTTTAAACAGTACTTTTAATTTTGGGAATTTACTACAACTAAACTCAGTAAGTCATTGTGGAGGTGAAGGATAGAATACGACTTTTTTACAATCGGTTACGAACTTACGACTTTTATACAAACTATTATACAATAGCTAACTTTTCACAATCGTTTTTCGTGTACTGTAGAAAATTAAAGTCAAAATTGAAATGAATGATTGTACTCTGTACTTTCTAAAATACCCAACATGCGTATGTGGTCGTATCTACGTATATAGTTTTTCTGCAAAAAAAACAAGCCTTTAGTGATTTCCAGGACCTGCAGCATGGTTGACTTCTGACGAAGCGGGAAGCCTAGGTAGATTTTCTAGGCACTTTTGACCTAAAAAGATACAGAACTGAGATGCCCAGCACCGAGAGGGGGGGGGGGGTAGGGCGCATTTTGCTCCGGGCCCCAAACCTGAAGGGGCCATTTTTCGAATACGCCATTTTCCGACGGAATCGACCATGGTCGTGTTTATCATTTTCCGGTGAATGGCAAAATGGCAAATACGACCATGCAAATATGGCAAATAGACGCCGGAAAATGGCAAATACGACCATGGTCATATTCGCCGGAAAATGGCAAATACGACCATGGTCATATTTGCCAGAAAATGGCAAATACGACCATGGTCATATTTGCCGGAAAATGGCAAATACGACCATGGTCATATATTCGCCGGAAAATGGCAAAATTCTCTCGGCGGCCCAGGAGATGCTATCATTAGGGACATATCAGGCTAATTTGAGTGTGATATAAGTGAATAAATTCATATTAATTATATTCAGTAAAATACAAATAAAAGGTTTTACCTTTTTCGGAAACGCTCTACAAAGATGAAAAAAGGAAAAGAAAGGTAAATTCTAAGCCCTTTTAAGATGTCACAGCTTTCCTGTGTTTAAATTTGCGATAGTGGGAAGTCAGAAGTGCGATTGAGAATTCAAACCAGGTCTCTTTAGGATTAAATCCAAGGCTGAGATTTTGGGTTGGTGATATTACAAAAGGTTTTGTTGCTATCTTCATGGAATTTGCAGAAGTTTCATACCTGGACAGCCTGATTGCCCTGGTCCCTGGGCTGGTGTTTTTCCGTCAGGGCAGCAACCCCATCGTGTTGTAGCACAAGATCCTCCCGACGCGCTGGCAATGTTGTTGAATGTTGAAACTAAAACAATAAATAGTTGAGTTGTGTATTAGGACCCTTGAATTGATCTGTTTAGTGGTGGTATTGCACCTCGTTGTGAGATTGGCTAACGAAGTATTGATGCAAACCATGGTGGCACCCGAATGAGCCCAATTCCCCATAAGTGCCCCACCTTCCCACAAGTGCCCCACCTCTCCATGTGGCAATGCTTGGACAACATTTTATCCAAAATGCGTCTCCCAATTTACGGCGATATCTATGGATTTGCCAGTGCTTATGGTGTTTTTTTCAGGACTTTCAGGGATTGTTATGGATGATCTGGGATCGATCGAAAAAGACGCGCGTATTAAATGGCGGGGAATACAAATTTAACGTTTACTTTTGCCACATTCAAATGCCATTTAAAGTTTAAATATCCAAGAAGTAAACAAAGACTTGAAAGGATTTCAATAAAGGTGGGTTTTAGATTAATATTTAGGGTTTTCTTGTTGGAATTGCACTTTCTTTTGAAGGATTTTTGTTATTGTGTATTTGAATTTCACGTGGCGAGATTTTAAAATAGCTTTTAGATGGCTTTAAAATATTATAAAAATATAATCAAATCAATATATGAGTCAATATATGATTGAAGCATTAGACACAGGTTGAGACTTGTGATTTTAAAGTCATCTTCGGGATGATTGGTCGTATATTTGCCCTCAAGATGTCTTCGCTATAATTTCGGAATTTGTTTTTTACTTTAGATGTTCAGCATAGCTGGTGTTAGTTTTACGTTAGTTCAGGTTAGATATATATCGTGATTGCGGCAGTTCTATAGTGCTGTAGTATTGGGATGTATTAGGATTGGAACTTCAAAAACAAAAATCTTGATGTTGAATTAAGAAAATAAAAAAAAATTAAGGCAGAAAAATAGTATTGTAACCAAATCTTAATCTTCTTTCATTCTGAAAATTTTAGCTTTCTCAGCCACAAGGGTTTAAAGTTATAGGTGTAGAAGAACCTCTCTATCTCGTCCCCTATGGCCTGCGGTGGTTCAATTAGGAATTACATTGATTCTAATTCTTACTTTCACAGGTTTTTCCCATCCAATCAGCAGGACAATGACAGATGTAATTATTGATTCTTGAGATACAAATTCCGCCATGGTCACATGGGTTAGGACGGCAACGATCCTTGTCTGTTTTATCATGGTTAGTGAGGTTAGTTATTAATCAATTAGTTAGTTTCACTGATTAATTAATTAGATACAATTTTTGTTGCAATTTGTGACATGTAACATATTTATCTGGGTGAATGATTTAGTTCGAATTAATAGGATTAGTTATCAATTATCACAATGCCATTAGGGATTGTTAGTAATATAATACAAGTTAATTAATAATTCATCAATTAGGTGATTCCTGTAGGGTTATACCAGTGAGTTGTCCCCTCAGAAAAGGTTCCGCGTTCCCACATAACTTATCATGACTAAATTGATATTAGTGACAAAAATTTTGTCATCCTATGGCATTTTTGTGAAGATCTTTGCTGTTTACTGAATGGGGGACCAACCTCCTTTAATTGTGGCCTTAAAAGTAGCAAATATCTCGGGCGCAGTTTGGTCTATGGTTAGCCTTACCTTCGCAGGTGTCACCGGTCCAACCAGAGGAGCACGTACACACATAATCTAGTCCTTCAGTTTCACATATTCCATCATGGTGGCAAGGGTTTGGATGGCATTTATCTCGTGCTAAACGATCCAGAGAATTACATTAAACTATTGTTCTATATAGACCTTTCTTGCATGCTTTGTGATCAAGGTGTATAAGGGTATTCACCCCTGTGTACACCCCTGTGCTTACCTTCACATGTCTTTCCTCTGAAACCACTTGGGCACGTGCAGGTGAACTCCATGTCATTTTCGAAACACGTTCCACCATTGGTGCAAGGGTTGGGGTGACATTTTGAGCGGACTAGAGAGATTAAGATAGAGAAATGTAAACTTGGGCTGTTGTGCTCCTAATGTCTCCAATAGGGTCACACCCAAATATTTAATGTTTCAGTACTGTGAGTTAATGTACTGAAATCTATAAATGAATTTTGATCTTTTTTGCAATTCATTGCAATCCCTCCCCCCCCTAGCCTTTAAAGCTCGTCCGTCGTACCGTCACAAGTAGGACCGCTGAATCCCGCTAAGCATGTACAGCTGTCGCCGTTAGTTCCCGGGGAACACGTTCCACCATTTCGACATATCGTTGAGCGACAGTGCTCCTCTTCTGAAAGCAAGAAGAACGAATTAGCTTCACACGGGTCAAACTGTGTCTGACATAACTGTATATACTGACTTCTCTTCTTCTTCTATTGTTCTTCATACTTTACCTTCGCAATGTTGTCCTTTGTATCCCGAAGCGCAGATACATTTAGTTTGAAGCCCAAATGATGTCGTACATGTTCCCCCGTTAAGACACGGGCTGTTTTCACATGCGTTGATATGATCTAAATGCATATTGAATGATATGTTTCACGACTAAAAACGACTCCAAAATTGAAATGCAAAAAGGTTTTTGTCTTCAGTCGAGTCATCTTCAGGTAAATTACAACATGTTTCGACTTTGAGTGATGGTCGTATTGGAGTTACATCATGCAGATTATTTGAGGTGGAAAACGTTTTGTATTCTGTATTTTCAACCAATTTCGTAGGGTAAAAATAACATTAAAGTTGAAAGAAAACGTGGTGACAAAGCGATAGATATTCCGGTTGAAATATTGAGGACGTTCTTGTTGATGTATGTAGAAAACTGGAAGTATATTATCGATGTCATATATGAAGATGTCACGACTTGCCTTCACAGTTGGTTCCTTTGTAAGGTTTTGGACATTCGCATCTGTAGTCACCCGTGGTGAAACTTTCGTGACAAAATCCACCATTTTGACACGGATTAGGCTCGCATCTTTTCTCCACTACAGTAAAAGAAGTCTTGTGAAATCGTCATAGCACTTATAAAGGATTTAGGATAGTATGTGTAGTTTCTTCGTAGAAAATAGAGAGAGTATTTAGTTCGTTTTATAAAGGACGAAAGTTATGATAGGATTTAGTTTGTATCTTTGTATATGTTCTCAAATCTTACTTTCACATGTTCTGCCTCTAAAACCTCTAGCACATGCGCATTTGAAGACCATTGGCCCGAGATTAATGCAGGAGCCATCATTCAGACAAGGCTCTGAATCACACGGATTCATCACAGCTAGAAAACGATGTCACCATTTAATATAAAAATTACACACAAACTCTTTCCTCCATGATTAAAATGTGACTCTTATGTCTTTCTCACCTTCACAGCTCACTCCAGTGAAACCTTGAGGACAGAGGCACTGAAATGCTCCCTGATTATCAAGACATGTCCCACCGTTTCGACATGGACTTGTGTGACATCGACTTTCAACTGAACAAGAAAGGTTGGTTACAAATAGTTATGTACTTTGTTTATTTACTTCATTTACACTTCATTTACACTTCATTTACACTTCATTTACACTTTATTTACACTTCATTTACACTTCATTTACACTTCATTTACATAGCTCGATCTATGCTAAAGCCTAAAATCAGTTATCCTAAAGCTTGAATCGTGTGACTTTAAAACTTACGTTCACAATGAATGCCATTGTATCCGGAAGGGCACAAACATGATACCGAGGCAGGTCCCTCGCCTCCCATGCATGTCCCACCGTTCATACAAGGACTAAGATGACAGTGATCGATCTCTACGAAGTAATAAAACAGTTTTGAGGCGCCAAAATACATATCGGTCCAAATACATGTCAAATCCATTATTGTATTCAAGCGCGTGATTCAAAATGGACAGTTTGTAAAAGGTTTGGTTGGGGAACAAGCGTATTCAAGTGTATTCAGAATGGACAGTTTGTGAAAGGTTTTGTTGGGAAACAAGCGCGAGGTGTTTCGCTTACCTTCGCAGGTGGGACCTCTGTATTCTGCCCCACAACTGCATTCAAATCCTGCGTTAATTTCGGTGCATGATCCACCATTTTTGCAAGGGTTAGGTTGACACTTGTTGTGTTCTGTAGACGAAAATTAGGGTAATGTCAAATATATGAAAATAATAGGCTAAAGAACGAGATGAAGGAATGCGGTTCATCTGTCGTGTTTAAACGGAATGCATGGGGATGATTAGGAGTAAATAAGGATAGTTAGGTAAAGAGGTGGATCATGGTATCGTACCTTCACAGTTTACTCCTTTGAATCCCTCACTGCAAGTGCAGACGAAAGCGCCGTCGGCTTCAGTACAAACTCCAGCGTTTCTACATGGATTGGGATGGCAATGATTCTCCTCTGAAAATGAAAAGGAGGTGGATTGTATGTGAGCCATTATCCTGAATGCTATTACCCGGATTATCGGAGTACTCATGATAATGTACATAAATTGTCAGATTCCTATGTAGTCTACCCGTAAACTCTCGTACTTTGAACACCTTCCTATTGATCTCCAGCTGTAAGTTAGTCCAACTTGACTGTTCTCAATACACCTTTCTTATAATGACGTCAAACGCGGAAAGTCTGATGTTACACAAAATTTGATTGGGCAGCTCCACTAAACTATCGAGCCAATCAAACTTCGTGTAACATCAGACTTTCCGCGTTTGACGTCATTATGAAAAAGGTCTATTCGAAAGAAAATATGCAAATATTTCGCTAGCGAACTATTTCTCTGCAAGTGAAAATCTAGACCCACCTTCGCAGTCGGATCCTTTGAACCCAGAGGAACAGATACACTCATATCCCTCTTTGATCTCGTTGCACGTTCCTCCATTCTGACATGGATTCGGCTCGCAGCGTTCTAAGAAAGACGCAGATCCACTTTTGTCGATTAGGTCGACCAGTGCTAATACAAGGCTGGGCCTCCTTGGGGGAAATATGGTTGATCTGTGGATCTTATTGTGCCCTAGTTGATACTTTGATAGATGACGAAGTGGAAAAGTGAAAATAATTAAGAATTTTAATTTTTTTTTTGGTCTTCGATGAGGAGCGAAATGCAGGCACTGAGGTAGTGCATGGTTCAAATAGTTCAGATTAAGGTTTGAAGCGCATTATATTGAGATTAAACATTACAAACAAACCACTCGATTTGGATCTATAAGATAAGTACATTTAGGAAACAAATCTTGCAGGTTTTGCTAGGGTTTCCCATGGAAGCTGATTCCTACCTTGACAGAGCTTTGGGTCGAATCCTCAAAGCATCTGTCATGTTTTATCCCGGTAAATTGAGACCTGAATGCCTGAAGCTTGTTGTTTCAACTGACTACCTACCATCATCTACTTCCTCGTCTTCTAATCCGTGCGATACCGCCGTTCCATCCAAGCCAGCTCCAAGCAGCGAACTCTGAGGCAATCCTCCGGCATATCCGGCAAATCCCTGCGACAGAGCCTGCCTGTTATTGTACAAGGACGGATACCTACTTGCCAGCAAATGCATCACACGTGCGGAATAAGGCAAGGCTAATGGCGGCCTTGGTATGTGTGTTGTCACAATCGTTCTTTGCGTTAACGGAGACGGTTTCATCCATATGTAAGGACGGTTTCCGAAATATCTAATCCTCGGCCTGTTTATAAACTGCCTTTTTGTCGTATTATTCTTGGTCACTCCATTCTTATTCGAATGCTTTAAAACGCTTTTTCCATTGCTTTTAGTAATATGTGGCTTTTTCTTTCCGCGCGACTTGGCAGAAACGTCAGCGATTAAAATCACAACGATTGCAACAGCGACCAAAACAAAGCAAGCCCTTTTCATGATCCCAAATTCATTAGGGCTTTTTGTCGGAATTTTTTACAGAGTTCGCCTTTATCTTTGACTTGTTTCAATCTCCCTCTCCGACCGAGGAAATTTAGCGATCTTTCCGAAGCGTATTGCCACCCCACAAGTACCTGTTCCACTTTGAACAAATTGTATTTTCTCGCTTGTGGTCAATTGAACTGTGATTGATTGGTTTTTGATAAATTAGGGACTTATCATTTCGGATTTGAAGGCACTGTTTGATATATTGACTTCCACTGAAAACACAAGAAGAATTAATGGGATCTTTTATTGAAATATCTGGTTTTTCATATCAAAATTGTTATCTTAAATTGTCGCTATGGCTGTCAAAATATCGCGTTGTTGTGATGATGTTTAAGTCAGAGCGTAAAGACTTCCATTGACAAGTAAAATCGAGTTAAAATATCTGGCATTTGAGAGTAAAGATTAGGGCTCATTATACCTCAGTATAGTTCAACAAGGAACACTGGAAGAATTTTTCTTTTGTCAGGAAAACTTTCTTGGGTTTAGCCGAGTAAATTGGGGCAATTTTGTCGAAGATTAATGCCCTTTTACTCAGTTTATTTTTATCACGAAACAAGTTTTGATAGTCCATCGTAGTAAACTCGATACTTAGAAGTAAACGTATGTTATCTATCAAAATGATTCACTTTGAAATCTTTTTTTTCCGGTCAATTTTATTGCATTTAAACATAAATGAACTACCGTATTTTTAGCTATTTACATCCAGGGTCATTTTGGGATCGACTTCCGATGCCGTTTGGTATACCACGATGACGTCACATTTCCACGATGACGTCACTATTGACTAAAGGTCAACTGATTTTTTCATTCCATTGATATTTCATCGTGGAAGTGGATGCCGGTTGCATCATGACTCCAGAAATATTCCGTGATCAGCGTTCCCTTCGTACCCGTACGAGCTGCATTCCTTGTGGTAAGCGGACAATCTGACCACGTCTTGAGCCACCAGGCAGTGCTGACTGCGGTATGCCCATTGCCTGAGCTTCAAGTTCCTCGTCCGTTGGCTGATTGTTTGCCGAATAATCTTCTGTTTTTGTTGCCGAATTTCCTATCGTGTATTCTGGGTTGCCTGTGTTAATATTGTTTTGTTCCTGTGTGTCATAGGTTCGTCTTACTAAGGGGAAAAAGGAAAATTTACTGTGTTGAGTGTGTTTCTCTTTCAACCTTCCTAAATGTCAGTTGATCATTGCAGTACTGCTAGTCTGACTGTGTGATGACTGTTGCTGGTAATACTAGCCTGACTAGTCTAGAACTTACTGCTTTTCAATGTTTTATTCAGTGTTTCACTGCCTCGATGTCAGTTGATCATCGCAGTGCTGGTAGTCTGACTAAGTGTTGAGTACTCCTACCAATCTAATGAAAGAATTTCTTCCAAGAGTCCTACCCGCCCCATACGATCTCACCTGTAGGAAAAGTTGGTGGTCCCGGAGTTGGAACGGGAACATTGCCATTATTGCTCTGTCTCGGATCAATAGGGCTACTGTATCGTGATATGAGGTTTGGTTTGGGCACTGGCACGTAGCCCTGTCTGTCATACCCTTGGGTGAGCGATGATATCAGATCTGATGTTCCACGATCCACATTGCCAAGATTCACTGGAATATAAAATGTCAACATGGCAGATTTCTTCTTCACATTTCTGTGGATGTGGGATTTTTTAAAATGCATGTCTGTGCACCATGCCTGCTGGAAAGGCACCCTAGCTTATTGGAAGGTCGATTCTCTTTCAGAGAGATCTTTATTGAAGAGTTTACTTGAAATGGAGAGAAATTTTAGTACTGAATCTACTTTTTAAGAAGTGCAGAAAACTGGTGAATTCCATTTGATGCAGCTTTCCCTCCAAAATCACCATCATATGGTTTTATTTCATTTATACTCACTTTGACAATTTCGCCCTGAGAAACCATAGGGACAGAGACATTTGTAGCCTATTGAATCGAAGGCGATATCAGAGAACTTATGTGCGTCCATGCACGTGGCACCGTGCTGACAGGGCTGTGAATAACACGCGAACTGAGGCACTTCGCAATTTTTTCCACTGTAGCCGTTAATGCAGAAGCATTTGTAGGCGTCTTGGTTGTTCAGTCTGACCAGGTTGCTTTGGCTGTTTCTCTGGTCGTAACAAGTACCATGGTTTAAACACGGGTGCAGTGCACAAGGGTTTGTCTCATCGTGAGCTGGAAAAAAATGATAACACATTTAGCGCGCTATCCCTGATATTCCTGTTTGATATATGACCTCACATCGGTTGTGATTAGTGCACTCTGTGTCCTCAGCTTATCGAAGTATCCTGGTTTATCCCCTCTGAAATTCTAACCCCATATCACTAACCACTAACTCAAGGCAGAATTCTAGTCCATGCACTAAGCTCTTTACAGTTCTCCGCGATTACATTCATCTAACTAAAGTTAATCGTTTAGAAGCATTGAGGTTCCTTCGAGTTTGTTTTGCAATGCTTTGTTACTTATCTTCATCAATTTGTTGTTGTATATGGTAGCCGTTTATGACAGTATTAGTATGAGAACTTGTCCACCTCTCTTTTACCGGCTGGATTTGATCATTTGGTGAACACATACCTTGACATTTCTGTCCTTTGTAACCGAGCTTGCATTTGCAGACGAAACCAACATGAGTGCTGAAACACGTCGCTCCATTCAAACAGGGGTTCTGTGGGTAGCAATAATCGTTGTCTGCGAAGAAAAATGGTTATTAATACAGTGAAAATTGTAGCAGGGGTCCTGTGGGGGGGGGGGGCGTGTTCGTTGCTCAGGTGTGCTCTTGTTCATATTTTCTTTTGGGTATCGAAGCTGACCCAGTTACTGTGCGACTTGTTTAGTTAGTTTGAAATGCAATCTGAGGACGATCTAGAAAGGTTTTAGCACTTTACATCGAGTTTTGATGAATGGGAAATCTAAAAACATTATTGTGTGAAAGAAGAGAATACTTTGTACATGCACTTACGTTCGCAATGAAGACCTCGTTTTCCCGCAGCACAAATGCAATGATATCCAAGACGATTATCTGCTAGGAAACATTTTCCTGCATTCTGACAGGGGTTTGGAACGCATGCGTCCTTTCCTGTGAAGCAACATAGGAAGTTTTAAATACAAATTACTATTATTAATACTCCGTATCTTCCATAACCATTCCGTCATCTGTTAGTATCAGCGAAGCTCAAATTCAAATACAGTTTGGCGCTCGTGATTGGTTAACCTGATGCAGTTATCGCATTTGATTGGTTCATGTTCCCTCAACGGTTCAAGTCAAAGCTATTTTCAAAAACAACGGAGAGTTTCTTACTCTGGCACTGGTTTCCAGCAAAGCCTCGTTTGCAAACACACATGTAGCCGTGCTGATTTGCTTTGTCTTCAGCGCAAAATCCATCGTTGAGACAGGGATTGGGCATGCAAGGAGAACTGTAACCTTGAAGAGAAATGACAAGATTTTGTTAAAAGAATGCTGAGTGCGATATTCTCTTCCGTGTTCGTACAAGCGATACTCAAACTAACTCAAGTCTGTTAAAAACTTGATTCGGATCATCTTTACTCTTGATGTATGGGATGTACAACAGCAACTATACTTTTTATCAAGTATCGGCAAATCTGCTTTCAACGAATCCAATAGCACGCTCTATACTCTATGTCTGAGGGGAGACAATGAAGAGTATTCCTACCATCACAATTTTTGCCGCCAAAACCTTCAGGGCAATCACACTCATACCCAGACTTCGTGTTGTAACATTTGCCACCGTTCTTACAGACATGTCTGTGACAATAGTTCACTTCTGCAGGAAAAAAGTACGTTTGATAAGTTTGATAACCAAACTTATCTTGACGAAAACATGTACAATTCCATCTGTTTACCTTCACAGTGATCCCCCAGGAACCCTGGATGACACTTGCAGACAACATTATGCCCGTCGCTTTTACAAACGCCGTTGTTCTCGCAGGGATTGTCGGGAAAGCATAGGTTGTGTTCTGAAAAAAATATTGATGTGACGAGTTAGATTGTTGTGTACTGATCTGACCTGCTGTCTATGGTGGGGGGCATCAAAAAAGACCGCATTTTGTCTTTCCTCCCATAAGTGTCATTGGGTCAAGGGGCTATACCCAACTCTCTTCTCACCTTGGCAGTGATGTCCTCCCCACTCCAGTGGACAGTGGCAAATGTAAGTGTTGTGGAAGGTCTCGCATCGTCCTCCGTTTAAACATGGATTGTGGTAGCAATGGCTGCGAACTAAATTGATTAAAAACGATATGAGCCACAGTTTGCAATGAACTGGTGTGAGTCTCAGTCATGAAAGACTAATAAGAAATATTTCACAACTCTTCCCGACTAGTTTTTAACTTTGAAGAGTTGCCTTGATTTGCTGCTCACAGTCTGGGTTTTAAAGTGCGGCTCTTCAACCGTGTAAGATTTGGTTAAGGCTTTGGCGTTTGGCGTTTTACCTGCACACAGGCGCCACCCAAATTGAGCATACTTACGATGGCACAGGGATCCCGTGTAGCCTGGCTCACATTCACAGCGATAGCTTCCATCATCTTGCGTCTTGCATTCTGAATTGTGCTGGCAGGGATTGGGGAGACATGGGTCTGAATCTACAATGAAAAATATAAACATTCAAGGATGTTGTTTTGAAATCAACGAGGATGACATCATTCATCTGCTCACGTTCGCAAAGTTTTCCCACAAAGCCTTTCGGGCATTTGCACTGTGCGTTGCTCCTGATCGTTATACATTCACCGCCGTTGGTACAAGGGTTCCGCTTGCATGGGTTTTCATCTGTCGAGAGATGAGAAAGAGACGAATGACATTCTGTGCAGTCAAGCAAGCAATCAATCAGCGATATCAATGACTTCATAGTTTGCTGAAGTTGGCTCAGTGGAGGTCTGTGAACTCCATAAAGACTGGAACGATAGCGGTTGTTGGGCCGCCATCTTTGAAATCAATTTGAAGCCAAATTGTGCAACGGTGTCAATAACGTGAAGACGAAAACATTAGAAAGGGATTAGCGTTGTCGTGTCAAGTTATCGATCGTAGTTGTCGATTGAAGTTATCGTTTCAGTTGAGATAGAGTTCACTGGTGGAGGTAGATCAATTGATATTTCCAGCAATAAGCTCTATAAACACTAGTTTTATTTATCAACTATAATTTATCATCTTACTTTCACAATGAACTCCAACAAATTCATTTACACAGTCACATCGATAACCCCCAGCGCTGTTTGAACATCGACCTCCGTTTTGGCAGGGGTCTGGATCACAATTATCGTTATCTTTAGTAAAGATATCATAAATTAATACGGTTGTCATGCTGTCGATAGCCTTGATCAGGAACGTCTACAGTTATCAATCCAATGCCTGAGTCTGATATACAAGATTGTGTCCAAACCTACCTTTACAGTTCACTCCAGTAAAACCACGAGAACAGCGGCATTGAAATGAGACTCCGTTTGTCTTGCAAGCTCCGTGATTAGCGCACGGGTTTGGTTCGCATAAATCTTTCACTAAATATCGAGAGAAATACATGTATGCCTTGTTTGTGAATGAAAATGTACATGCTGCTCGTGTTCAAGAATTCTTTAAACAGTTTCTTACGTTCGCAGTGCAGTCCAGTAAATCCTGTGGGACAAATACAGGATATGACACCTTTTGAAGAACGGCATTTACCAGCGTTCTTGCAGGGACTTTGCAGAAAACATAGATCTTGCTCTGAAAGTTTTTGAAAATGGATGAGTATGGATAGGAACACCTTCTATCCAGTCTGTATAAAAAATTGATCAGTTGCATCGCAACAAGTTTGGGTTACCTTGGCATCGGGGACCAGTGAATCCATTTGCGCAGTGGCAGACGTGTTTTGTTCCGTATCTCTTGCAGGCTCCCATGTTCACGCAAGGGTTAGGAATGCAGGGATTCTTAGCTTTAAACGAACCAAAATAAGAGAGTCAACTCGCTTCTTTTTGTTTGAGCCCGGAACTCTTTACAAGTGACATTATGAAAGTAGAAAGAAGGTTTACCTTCGCAGTTTAGACCAATGAACTGTGGAAGACATCTACACTTGTACCCAACGTCTCGGATGACGCACACGCCGCTGTGAAGACATGGATTTGGGTTGCAAAAGTCGGTCGCTACAGAAGAGACGATAAAAAGTCATGATGTGACATTTTATAGATTTAAAAGCGCAGAGGTTTTTAAAAAGAACGAAGAAACTTTATGACATCTTGCGAAAGCTAACGATACACGTTTAGTTATGTTCTTTTTCTAAGTACAAATTCAGGTAGTACAAAGCTAAGAACTTTTGTTTGGAGGCGAGCGAGGTAAATTTGGATTTCTGACTGATTGCTTCCACTTACATTCGCACGTCTTTCCTTTGAAGCCAGGCTTACAACGACACAGGAATTCCCCGCCACCTTCAATGCATAATCCACCGTTCATACAAGGAGCTTCTGCACAGAAATCTTGTGCTTTGGAAGAGTAAAAATGAAGGAATGGAAACATTAGGTTGGTGACGGAAATGGGGTTGGGAATTATCATGCGAGCGTAGATATCACCCCAAATATCTAATCACACCTACCTTCACAGGTGTCTCCCTTGTAGCCATCCTCACAGTAACACGTGTACCCTGAGGGGGTGGGTGAGCATGTTCCCCCATGAGAACAAGGATTTGGTTGACATTCATCCACTGGGGGTTTGAATAGTTGTAACGTCCTTACTTTGGCCTCCTCCACTTCAACTGAAATAATTAATGATTGAGTATCATCCCTCACAGCACAGCAAAACTCGATTCTTGTTTGTTTCCTGGACAATTTAACACGAATTATCGATCATTTGCATTACCTTTACAACTGCAATCATTACATCTCCATCCAGTTCTGCAAACACACGAGTATCGTCCAGCGGCCTCGACACATCTCCCGCCATTTTGACAAGGATTCACAAGACAAGGATTTTCAACTAGAATAAACAATCCGTTTATTATCCACTGATAATCTTTATAATGTGATGTTTTATTGATAAACATTGTACATACGTTGACACGTCTTTCCTCGGTATCCTCTCGCGCATGTGCAGACGAAACCATTATCCAGCTCAGTACAAGTCCCTCCATTTTGACACGGCTCATTTTCACATTGGAGCTCCTCTGAAGAAAAGAAAAAACAAAAAACCTCGGTTAAATATGCTCTGTATTTGAAATGGAAAGCTCTGTGCTTCTTATTAAAGTACTATGTCAACCGACCAACCTTACCCAGTGAGCTTCACTTTTAGCAACCAAGTTACTGCTCCATATATATATAGAGCTCACTGACCTTACCTTGGCATGTTCGCCCGCGATATCCAGCGGCGCACGAACACTCGTATCCAGTCACTACTTGCGTACACACGCCATCATTCATACAAGGGTTCGGCGTGCACGCTCGATGCTGTGCTGCAGAGTAATGAAATGAATTTGACTGACTTTAGTTGATCCGGGTGGATATAGTTCCTCTCATATTGACACTGGTCTAATCCTGGATTAATACCTATCAATCCTAATATAATTCTTACCATATTCATACCTAAATCAATCCTAATATAATTCTTACCATAATGATTGATACTAATCTTGAACTAATCTAATCCTGATATAATCCTTACCATATTGACACCGTAGTCCAGTATACCCAGGCTTACATGAACATTTATATCGACCCCTGCCTGTTGATATGCAGTGCCCGTGTTGACACGTGTGGATCTGACAGGGGTGAAGATGAAGGTGTCTGTATGCTTGCTCTAAAAGGGAAAACTATGGATGACCCTCGATGAAAGAAGACTCATTTTTACACTGCATGCGCGTGGTAATACACATTCAGATCTCATGCAAATCTTCTCCCCTCTTCACCTCAGAATAGTTTTGATAAAACGCTTTACGTTAACGACGTTGAAATTCCAACACCATGCACTGACCTCTCAATTCTTCAAGCTCTCTTAGTTTTTCCATCTCAACCAGCTTCTCGATCTGCGAATCCTCATTCGTCAGCAGCGGCTGACTCGCATCTCCTCCATTGCCAACAAGAGAGCTTTCTTGCGACGAATACGGCGAATATCCTGAACCAAACCACCTCCTCCGATTGAACTGCGGTAGTCTTCATGAGGTAGCACAACATGACTTGCCGGCAACACGTCTTTGTGTAGTAATTCAAGCCGATCATTTTGGAGGCGTATTTTTTGTTTACATCCAAGGCATCATTCAACTGATTATCGTTTACGAGTTCAGCCGAATTCTCATAATGCTTGTCCTTGAAGTCCGGCATATCTCCCTGCAGTATCGGGGCATCTATGTCCGATCGTCTTTTCGAATACAACTTTGTCAAATATTGCCGGTAGTTTGCTAGCTGAGCTAAGTGTTGCTTTTGGGCCATTAACGACGAAGCAATGTTGTTTCGCTGGCTAGCCGCTGTCTGTTGAATGTTTGTTGTTTGGACGCGAGGTCGATCCGTTACAAAGTTATAAAGTACATTTCGCTTTCCTTTATTTTGAATGCTATTGCCAAAGCTTGATCTTTTACTTCGCTGCTTTTCTTTAAAGGCTGTGTTTAGTTCAACGTTTACTAATACCAATAAAAGTAAACAAACTGCTTTCTTCTTGTTCAATCCACTCAGAATGTTGCCTCTAATGAAGCCCATATTTATCCAGTTTTTTTTTACATTTTCCTTTAGATTGACATCATTATATTGCTATTAAAAATCCTAAATTTAACTCCAGTATATTCGAGCTATATCTTCATATCACGCTGATGAAGTCCACCTGTAAAATTCATTGTTTTTTAAAGCAGTTTGACGGGTGCTATATTGGGGACTTTGAAATCTAGCTGACCGCTTTTCGTGCTTTGCTGAACGGCCGTGCTTTGTGTCTGAACAGAGTAATTTTTAAACGAAGTTTCTTTTTTTATGCGACGGAACAGTGTATTTGTACAAATGAACGAGTGAATTATAGCGACGTTTCTAAATCATGTTGATTTTAAACCATGCATGGGTTTTAACCGTTTACCATGGGTAGTGAAGTTCAACTCCATGGTCAAACTAGTACCCAGGTCATGCCTCGAGATTGTTCTATACAAGTCCAGCTTCCAATGCCGTTCAGACATAAACCACGACAGCTAGTTGTAGAATATTACCTACACTAGACCACCACGTTTGAAATATCTTTCTCAGGTAGTTCAGACACAAACCACGACAGCTTATTGTAGAATACTGCCTACACTAGACCACCACGTTTGAGATATCTTTTTCAGGTAGTTCAAACACAAACCACGACAGCTTATTAGTAGAATACTACCTACACTGAACCACCACGTTTGAGATATCTTTCTCAGGTAGTTCAGACACAGTCTATACGGTAGAACAACTTTGTGTGAGATATAATTTCAGATAGTTCACTCACAAACCACTTAATATAAGTGGTTAAACAACTTGGAAAATGATCGACATTGCTTAATTGGTACCCACGTCAGGAAAGTTAAATTGATCACAATCGCAGGCGATAATAAGATTCAAAAAACCCTCACAACTAATTGCTTAAGGATCTCCGATATTAAAAAATGAAGACGAAATTAAGATATTAATACAGGTTGATAATTTCAAAGGTGCTACACTCTAGATTTCATTGTACACTACAATTCACTACCCGCAAAAACAACCGGTGGTGCCTTTCAAATTCTTTCCTGTAGAAAAAAATACTCCGACGGACAAGAACTAACTGCTTTCAAATAAACAAGGATTTTTTTCGTGTTTCAGGTTGTTTATCGAGTAAGAACGTTTAACAGAATATTAAGATATCATTTGTTTTGTTTTTGCTATGAACGGCCACTATATACGCGTGATTTACTTCAGCAAACTAAAATCAATTCTTCATTAATATATTAACAAGCCGTGGAGGAAGCCAGCTCAGAGCATTTTTGCTTTCTATATTTTTTCAGGATTTCAATGTGATTTTCTGACGGAATCTGGGTCTAGAGAAGACCTCGCTATGAATTTATTGCTGGCGTTTTATGGATTTTGTTTGATACTGCTCGTGAACGGTAAAGTCCACGGGAGGCAAGGTCTTCATGGGGCCAACAAGAAGCATAGTAAACATCAAAAGAAACGGGATGGTTTGAAAAGAAACGATTTCAAGAAGACGCATTTGAGTTCAAAGGATAAAAAGGCAGACATTACTAAACGACAGTTTATGTTCAGACCTTATGGGCCTCCCAATTACCCAATCCTAAAACCTCCACCGATACGCCATTTTGTAGTTCATCACCACGCAAGTAAGTTGAATTCCCTGGTGCGATTTGTGGAAGTATAAATGACTCTTATCAAACGAGCCATATTCTTCCAAAATGCCTGGTTTAATCATCTTAAAAACACTTCATCAGGCAATATTTAGTTTGTTTGAAAAAAAGGTCAACCTATAAGAGTTGTTTACATTGACTGTTGATCTTCTGTTAATATAATTTGTAATAATATTTATGTGGAGACAAGTTTGCCGAGATTTAAAGCTAAGACAAAAGATTCAAGTGCATTGCTTGTGATGTATTTCAGCAATCTTGTATCATTTTGATTCTTCGGTTGTAAAATTATAACTTCTCTCAAAAAACTACGAGGTACCTGTTGGGCAGTGTGACTATGTATGCAAATTTTTTGAACCAAAGCTGCTCAAATCTAGTTAAACTGGCCTCCCGGGAGCCTCCTGGTCGAAATGTGGTAATTATCAAATTCACCAGATTTGGTCAAACTGCTGCAGGGAGGCCTTGTTTGTTAACAAACCTTTTGATAGATGATAACGAGTGAATAAGTTACAAACGTTTATGTTAGGGCACCAAATTTATACTCTATTGCTAACTATTCGCTCGTTCACATCTATCAGAGGAAAAATCGTGCAAAAGACGTACAGCATGAGTCATCCTATTTTGTCGGATACAGTTAACTTCTGCCGTATGGAATTTAGCTTGTCGTTGATAAAGCAGTACTGAATTGGGTTGAGTTGATTTGCTGCTCATATACATTGTAAATCAACAGACTATAAAACATCCATCAGAAGTGAATTGGATCTCCTGAAATTGGATCATGTGCTTGGGGTCCCCACGACCGTTCTGATTCCATCAACTGTTTTTCTGAACTCAATTTCATCTTTTTTTCTAGTTCCAGTGGCGTGTGATCCTAACCCGTGCCAGAACGCAGGAACTTGTACTGTTGTTGTCAAGGGTTACGAGTGCACGTGCCCAGCTGGGTTCATGGGCTCACATTGTGAAGGTATGACCTTGTTCACTACGTTAGAATAGCCGACTGATCTCGAACTAATACCTGGATGTTTTGATCATAGTTCGAAGTCAATGTGAACCAAACCCATGTAAGAATGGTGGATCGTGCTACGATGTGGGGACTGGATACGAATGCACGTGTTCCATTGGTTTCAAAGGCAGTACTTGTGAAGGTACGTCGTGTAGTATTCATATTATTATACGAACATTACAGGGCAACTGATGCTATCCCAAGTAATGATTTAAAAATGCAGTCATTCAGAGAATTTTGTGTGTTTTCAGACAAGAACAAATGTCATCCTAATCCTTGTCGCAATGGAGGGATATGTACGGGTACCAATGACCTTGATGGATTTGAATGTACTTGCAGGGAGGGATACAAGGGGAAGAGTTGTGAAGGTAAAGGATAATCCGGTTACATCTCCTACCATTGTCACTGCCTTGTTTCAGACTATCGGCTGATTCTACTTTTTATTTTAGCTGTAAACCAGTGTAGTCCTAATCCCTGTAAGAACGGAGCGTTGTGTATCGAGAAAGGGACTAAGTACGAATGCACGTGTCCTCTAGGATACAAGGGAGTAACTTGTGAAGGTGAGGAACAAGTGTGGGTATTTATCGGTATATAGTAACGGTAGCATTAAGCTCGTATTCCGTTTAGTTGTTCGCAATAGAAACATAAAATCGATTTAACAAATGTCTTACGTAAATAATTTAAATTATAATCAAAAGAACATTAAAAGTATTAAAGGCGACTAAAGCAGGAGGTTTTCCAACAGAGAAACTATAAAGTCCACGTATAAATACATATGATGTACACGCACGATGCAAGCAAATTCATTTTGTGTTGTATAGAACGCAGTAATTGTTTCTCTGCGCCATGTCTTAACGGTGGAACTTGCATTGAAGAACCTGGCGGATATAAATGCAACTGTAAATATCATTACAGCGGCATAAATTGCCAAGGTATGTGCTGGTATGGGTGTTTCTCAAGATTGGCAGGGGTCTGGAACTTCGAGACATTAGGCAGATTTAGCATGAGGACGTGAACGTCAAAAAAGACGTAAAAATGGCGAATAAATGGCGTGGCATGTCCATATATAGACGCATCACGCCATTTATTCGCCATTTTCACTTCCTCTTTGACGTTCACGTCCTCGTGCTAAATCGTTCTATTGAGAGACGTTAGAACACCGTTAAGATCTCTTATATGTATACATCGCTGGTGATTGTAGCACAGATTTTCCCACAGAGTTCTGTGGGAGAGGGAGAGGGGACGAGGGTTGGAGAGTTTTGCATCACACAGGAATACACCGATTTACATTCGAAAAACACCCTCCAAATTTCAATAATCAAAAGGGAATCTTAAACTTATCTCATGACTATTTTTTAGATCACGTTTGCCACCCTTCACCATGTCAGAATTCCGGGACGTGTCTCGAGGAACGTGGCTCTTTCAGATGTGTTTGTGGCATAGGATACCATGGAAATAACTGCGAATGTATGCGTATTTACTTTTGTATTTAACGAAACTTGAATGCTGCTTAATAAAGCCTCTGCGCATGCCATTGTTGGCTCTTGAGTCTTATAAACTGCTCAATTGCATGATTCCATTTAATGCTCAGTAATTTTTAGCATTTCTGTGTTTCAGACGAGACTCCCTGTATTTCACATCCTTGTCTCAATGGTGGCACTTGCATAGATACGACTGCTGTGCACTATCATCACCTTGATGCCAGCATGGTATCCCCATCATCTATGTACACTAATGGATATTATTGCAAGTGTTCCTCTGGGTATTCGGGGACACATTGTGAAGGTAAGGTGCATGAGATGAAAGTGAAGTACAGTAGAGTTTCAAGCGGGATGTTATTGCAAGTGTTCTTTGGGGTATTTGGGGACACATTGCGAAGTTAGGGTGCATGGTATGAAAATGAAGTACAGTAGAGTTTCGAGCAGGATGTTATTGCAAGGGTTCCTCGGGGACTATAAGTATAATACTGAGGTATTTCTTTGTATTTTCAAGATGACTCCTGCAGTCACTGTCATTTCTTCGCGGATTGTTTTGGAACCAGATGTCGTTGCAGAGCTGGTTACCATGGAGACGGGAAGCGCTGTCACAGTGAGTGAAATTCATTTTTATTCCTAAATTCTAAATTATCATTCTAAATTCTACTATCATAGTTTGAAGTTATCTTTCTTTCCAAACAGTATTTTTTAAATTCTAATTGAAATTAGTTAGACTGCGCCCAATCACCTTTTGAAAACGACATGGTGGGCTAATCCTTCCCTAAACATGATTTATTCAGGTGTACCTCGTATTAATATAGCCCACTCGTGGGCAGGAAATCTTCGATTACGAAGTACATTTTAACGTTGTGCGTTTTACGTCAGCCAGTGGCGTTTCAAAAAGTAAAAATGTCGTAGTCCAACTGATCCATGCAGTATTGTTTTTAATCAACCATTCATGGAGGCTCTACATTCCTGTAAATGCTTTTCAATCAAATTGATTGGATAGCTTTTCGGGCAGTAGAGGCACTCAATAAGGTCTGACGATGACACCGATTGATTATCCTCTTGACTGACGTCACCTCCACCGTCTGCCACGATCATTGGCAGTTGTCTGTGTCGATCCTGTGACAGAACCAAGTACACGGTTAGCGTAAAGTAATTTGCGTCAGAATCCATGCAGGCTGTTATTTTACCATCTCGCAATCAGAGATAAAAACACAAACACATACTTAGAAGACATAGAACTGCAAAAAAAGTTGTATAGATTTTTCTCAACTCACATTGGGAGCGTTCGACCGAAATCTTGGAAGAGTGAAGTCGCGATAAACTCTGTTGGTCCTATCCTAAACAAATGTGAATATATCAGCTCACTAAATGCCTAATAATACACAATAACGTTTGTCTTAAAGGCGCAAAATCTCAAACTTACGTGAGCACAGTTTCTGGATGAACCCGGCCCACTATTGGCATCCTGAGAACTCCGGCTCGTATTCTAAAAAAAGAAAACTGTGTTGTCTTCTTTGTTGTTAAACATCCACTTATTATGTGATTAACAAAAACTTACTGAATCCTGCATCAGGGCGATCATTGCATCCTTTTCCGCAATATCTGAGCGCAAACTCTCGATCGTCCGTTGCAATGACGAGATCTGTTCCGCAGATTTTTGCAGCTCCAAGTTAATTGCTTTGCATTTATTTTGGTAATATGCCAGTTTTCGTTGGAATTCGTTGCGCATGGATTCAGTGTCGGCATTCGCTTGCACCAGCTCGTTTACCACAGCTGAAACTTGCCTCGATACCGTCCCGGTCTTTCTTAGAAGTTGTTTCTCTCTCTCCTTGACTCTAATAAAGCTGGCGGAAGGGGATTGATCATCACTGAGTTGTTCCTAAATCCCAAAAGATGTGTTAAGTTTTAAATGAACCATGAAATGCCCGCCTTAGAGTGGTTGAACGAGACGCAGGGCAAAACTTCCGGGGCCTATAAGTGCCGATAACCTTAGACACTTGTTGGGGCTTTTATGACTAACGTACCCTTTGATTATATTAAATACGACTCACGTTCGTTTGATCAAGGTCTGGTACTTGATGGTTTGTGGTTCTTTGTATATCGTTAAGTTCTCTGTTGATTGCCAACAACCTTTCAGCGAAATCCTGAACTTCAATATTCTGCTCCCGAAGGTTGTCATTTGTCACGGCATAGTCCTCTAATTTCTCTCTCAACTCTCTGATCTGCCGGTCGCGTTGCGAAACGTCACATCGTAAGGTTGCAACTAATTCATTTAGTTGTCGGTTTTCCTATGTGAAAAGATTGAGACATCAGGATTCAATAAGATTTGAACTGGTTTGTGTTTTGACGTCATAGCCTAGTAGATTAACTGCATTAATTCCTGCGAGCGAAGCGACTAGCTCTGTCTATATTCTTGACATTGCACTTCGATTTCTGCGATTTTTGTTTGTCAGGATGATTTTTGAGCCCACGTACCATAGTACTGCGGTTTCATCCTATGCGAATGCGCAATGCTTCATATTAGCACGTACGTGCACGTTGCTTGCGTCAGCGGCTAAAAACACGTTTAGTCGAAAGGGAGAGAATTCTTTCGTGTCAGCACAATTACGACATAATATTGTATACGTTTATCATAATATAAACAAGATCAAGTTTTTTGATACGCCATATCGCCATTACTATCGTGAAGACTGCCCAAGAGGCAAGAGATGACTGGGGTCTAAGGGGCTATTTACATGAGCCCGGTTACCCGAGATTCAACGAAGCGTGAGAGGACTTTGAGGTATTGAAATAAGTCTTTTTGACACCAAACAAGCACATGCTATTGTTGTGGTGATTATACGACTGCCAGGATCGTGTTATCTGCTCATTTTAATACCTCAAAATCATCTCACGCTTCGTTGAATCTCGGGTAACCGGGCTCATGTAAACAGCCCCTTAAAGGCTCTACGTGTATTCATTCGCAGCATTTCACTTACAATTTGTAATTCCAGAATAATAGTTACGTATGCAAGTTTCAACGTCGTCTCATATCAGTCACATGATGAGTATTGCATAAATTTGGTATTTTATCTCAATCTCTCAGAACTAAATAGATTCCTTTTCGAAATCCAAAGATTAATCTCTTCGATATCGAAATCAGTTTGCTGCGGCTGTTTCATTCCAGGAGCTGTTTCATCTCGTGTCTCGCATTGCTTCAAATTTCGACCACATGCAATTACGGCGATAAATAGGTCTAAGGTCTTTCACCTTTTCACTCAAAAATATAATATATAGAGAGTAGCAGATCCTGAGAAGCCAGAATTTAGCGATATATCGTTATATTCAGCAGCGATGTAAGAGCAAAGGCCGTGCATTGTTGATGTATGCTGTCAAAAACCAAATTCAGCTTTGCTGTGCATGTTTCACGTTTGCCGTATTGAATTTAATGCTGTGGGTGTATGCCCAATAATATATGCCATTGTGGACATTAACATGTCTAGCAATATAATATATACTAAATAAACAACTTATATATCATGTAGCTTTTAGCACGATTATCATAGCAACAGGCACCGTGATGCCAATCACTGCATGACTTCCACCAAGTTCCAGACGAAATTTCCTGTTTGTACATCGTGATTGAAAACTTTGAACAGACATTTTCTGTTGATTTAATATCTTAAGGGTTTATGTTGCTATTTAGCATGTTACGGCAAATACACGAGGGGCCGCTGAAGCAAATCTATGGTGCGGTGATTGGCGTGCGTTTATCGATAATATATATATATATATTAATATATATATATATATATGTAGATGCTGATACTAGAATACTAACATATTGAGGCAGTGCAGGAATGGAATTAAATGGAAATGACTGGAATGGAAAAATACGATGAATTTATAAATATTTCAATTAATGTTGACCATTTTTTTACTTTAAACAATATATTACTTAAAACATCATCTCGTATGTTCTTTAAAGTTTTGCATTCATGGTGCTGCTATACTTCAAAATATAATTCAAATAGATTTAAAACTATTGATAATATCAGACTCGATTATTCAGTTCTGCTTAGGTCAGAAGTTAAAGCTATATTTATTTACTCTTTCGTTGAACTATCTTTATTATTATTTTTTGGGACAATTAATCTCCACTGAGAAAGTCTTAATCAGTAAATCTCAGGCTCAATCAATAAATTGTACTGCGGAATTCCAGTAATGAAAAGTGACCTAGCACAAGCAGCATTTTCTCCTTACTTTTATCCACAAAGTAAAATTTTAACAATAGCGCAACTTTCCTATATATAAACTAAAGACCAAAAATTTACAAAGCAATCGATCTAACGATCATAACTGAACTCCCTTATCTTGAATATACCCTATAGCTCCATGAATATACTCTATAATACCCTAGCTCATGGACCTATCTGAAGAACCTGTGAGCGGATATACACTCAAACTACTTCTTCTTAGGTAAAAAGCCCGGGATACGAGGTTGCTGTGCCTTGCTTGATTAATATTTTGGCGCTCAAGATGTCTTGTTTATTCCGAATTTGTTTTTGCTTTTACTTTTTTTAAATTGTCGGCTGGTCGTGGTTTTCGGATATGCACTGATCACGGCTGCCGTGGAATTGTTCAAAATTTCAAATGCGCCGGAAACCGATTGCGGAATGTTGTCTTCCTAACATACCTCCTTTAGTTGTGCACACACTCCTCTAATTTCATCCAACACTTCTTGTGGCATTTTCTCGTTTGTGCTTTCTACTAATTCCACAGCCTGGTAATGTTGATTATTTTGGTCGTTGTCCATCAATCGATTTGCGTTTACGCGATTTTCAAAAAGTTCTCGAGCATATGAACTACATGCGCGCTGAGAAGCACACAAATCTCGACTGAAATAATCCAAGGTAGTAACAGCACTTAAAAGAGTTGCCAATCGGAAATTGCATTAACCAATCATTCGCAAGTATTAGGAATGCAAAGGAAGTCGTTAAAATTGAACAGACTTTTGGGAATGGGAATGGGTCGCCTATATTCAACAAACATTTCTAGAACGTTCTAGAACATTGCGGAACTCCACAAGATATAAATAAATTCTTTGGAATGTTGCCAAAGTTTTCGTCCGATATATGTCTTTGTTGTGATGAAGAGTATCATGTTTCGTTTTAAAAATTTGAACTGTTGTTCATAATACATTGCAAATCGCATGAAATAGCGCAAAAGTTAACATTAATAGGGAGTTTACGATCTTCGACGCGGTTAGCTCGACATCGCTAGTCAATTATTTTGTTTCAAATATGCTATAGGGAATTGATTGTGCTGCAAGGGCTCTGAAATAATCATACAAACGTTTTAATTGTGCAAATAACCTCCAATATCTATCTGATATTGCAGTTTTATTTAAGCTATCACGTTGCCGCTGCTCTCATGTCATCGAGAGGCCGTGAAAATGCCAATGAAAATGCTTATTTGAAGGCGTCGTAAGAATGACAACGCTGTCATGGGACCACAAATTATGCATAGCTATTATCTCGAGTGTGGAGTTTCTATGTTTTGCAAGCGCGTCGTCGAGCTGGCCGCGTCGTGAATCGTAAACTCCCTAATTCCTGCGAGCGAAGCGACCAGCCCTGTCTACATTCTTGACGTGCACTTCGATTTCAGCGATTTTTGTTTGTCAGGATGATTTTTTGAGCACGTATTATAGTACTGCGGTTATTAGCACTTATATGTACACTTTGAGTCGTTAGGGAGAGAATTCTCTCATCAGCACAATCACGATATAATATTGTATACGTTTATCATAATATAAACAAGATCCAGTTTTTTGACACACAATATTGACATTACTATTACTGAAGGCTACCCAACAGATGACTGGGGGAAGATAAAGGCTCTACGTGTGTTCACTCGCAGCATTTCACTTACAATTTGTAATTCTAGAATAATAGTTACGTATGCATAAGATTTTCAAGTTTCAACGTCGTCTCACATGATGCACTCGTATTGCATAAATTTGATATTTTATCTCAATCTCTCAGAACTAAATTGATTCCTTTTCGAAATCCAAAGATTAATCCCTTCAATATCGAAATCAGTTTGCTGCGGCTGCTTTATTCCAGGAACTGTTTCATCTCGCGTCTCGCATTGCTTCAAATTTCGACCACAATTACGGCGATAAATAGGTCTAAGGTCTTTCACCTTTTCACTCAAAAATATAATATATAGAGTAGCGGTACAGTGTAGCACATCCTGAGAAGCCAGAATTTAGCAATGTTTAGACACAAAAACGTCGTTAGATCCAAAGGCAGCTATGCCAAACCACAGTTATTAACTGTGGTCAAACCACAGTTATTAACTGTGGTCATATATATATATATATACAATATTATAGGGATAGAAATTATTTAAGGCCCGTAACACCAGTTTGCGTGCAGACGCGTATATATTCACGAATTATATATAGGGAAACGCTATCTTAGAGTGTGCAAAAAGTTCTTTGACATGCATGTAAAGTGTACTTGCATGCAGCGTCGAGAGATACTGAACGCGCAAAGGTGGTGAGAGCACTTAAGAGTTATATTTGGAAAGTGTTTAATTTATATTGACCAATCATTCGCAAGTATGGATGAGGCATACTGAGGAAGTCGATAAAAATTGAACAGACTTCTGGGAATGGGGTTTTCCCTCCCGGCCCGTTCATAAATAATTGGCCAACTCATTTATTATTCATAATATATTGCAAATGAAATAGGCAAATAGCGCAAACGTGGAATTGTATGATCCCCTACGACTCACATTCGTTTGATCAAGGTCTGCTACTTGATGGTTTGTATTACTTTATATGCCATTAAGTTCTCTGTTGATTTTGCTCCAGAAGGTTGGCATTTGTCATGGCGTAGTCCTCTAATTTCTCTTCCAACTGCCGGTCGCGTTGCAAAATATCCTCCTTTAGAATTTAGACAGAGTAAACAAACAGCATGTGCATGTCCTTGCGGTTGCTTTTAAACCTTTCCTTTTGTACTTTATGATTTGAACTCACCCGTGCATGAGTGCCGATAAACGCATGCCTTCCGCCGAAGCCACTTCTGGCTAATATCCAAGCGAAAACTATTAACTAGATTGAAATGCCACCTTTCACGCGTAAAACATGCATGCATGTACGTTTCCGCCCTTCTATTGCCCTTCCTTGAGTATATGCTAAATGCTTGAAAAGCATTCACTCAACATTGATTTGTAAGAGAAAGCTGAAAGGGGAGAATTTTAAAATTAGTCCTGCCAATGCTGATTGTCATCAATGTTTCACCAGGATTGTTGGTTTCTTGTCAAAGAAATTTTAAAACAACATTTTGATCAAATGACGTGGTTTACAAAAAAAGTGCAGCTGAACTTTGTTCTTGAGGATATATCATCTTTCCAAAGTTATATATTCTCAAAGAGAACAATGAAAACTTAATTCACAAGGAATTTAAAAACCTTTTGTGAAGCACAACAGGGCAAGGTTAATTCTTAATGTTAACGTGACCTTTCCATCATGCAATCTTATCAGGTGACATCAAATGAAATTATATACGCCCCTGCTTTGGAAGAAGAACCGTCAGATTAGGAATCATAACTGAATTTATTAATGAATTATGAAAATTACAAATTATTAAGGATATTTACAAATCATTATTGTAAGGACAGAGTATGAGATGATTTTGTTGGATTAAATGTTCTCCTTGGGACACTGGCCTTACACTGCCCTTATCATAAGCCTAGATTAGTCGTCCATGTAGAGACTATCCTCCATACAATCTTGTACGTGACCTTCAAACAAATGGTAAGGGTAACTTCTTGAACAATACGAGCATTTAATCATCAGAGTTTGTGGTGATTGTCTTCGATCCTATGAAAGATACGTTACATTAACATCTGTTTCCTAACTTTCCTGAGAAATACGAGGTCCTAAATCTATATCTATATCAATCTAAAATGTTTTTGACTTACTCGAAAGAAACTTTGAGGCACACTTGAACCAACCGGTTGACCAAATGGAAAGCCAATGTTCGGTTTACTCTGCACAATAAGAAAAGAAAATGGAATATCTAAACATTTTGACCAAATACAACTCATTCGTTGCAAACAAATCTTTGCTAAATTCAGGATATTCCAACCTTGTTTTTCTCATTTAAAAGTTTTTTCATTCCTTCAATCTAAACATGATAAGATTAATATATTAATAAAACAGGAAGTCAAGAAGTCAGTCAATTTAATAAACAAGTATGGTATGATATAATGTATGCTGTAGGTTCTCCTGAAAGGTAAATAAATTCCAGCCGATATAAAAAGCCGCGAATTAGGTATTCCTTACTTCACTTTTAAAATGTCGTACAGTCGCCATGTGTGATTGATTTTCACGTCTGAGACGTTCGCTTTCTTGGTTTGATTCATTCAATTGTCTCTGGATCTTTTCCTTCTCTTCGTGCTCATTCTTAAAATCAGCCTCGCACGTCTTTAGCTAAAAGAAAATTTAGGCATTGCATTTTTGTTTCATTTTAAAAAGCTTAAGGCAAATAAAGAAATATTCTCATAAACGTACACGGTCTTTCATTGCGGCCATCGTGTCTTCTTTTGCAGAAACCTGTGCGCAGAATTCATCGATTGTCTAATATAAAAATGGAGTATGAATTAAGGCACAACCGTGGTTTCAAGGAAGCTTGCGATGAAAATCTACTTTTAAGTGATGTAAATTAGTGAAGAGTCAAATATAATTGTGAGAAACGTCCATGGACTGTATAATGAAAACAAAAGTTTAATAGTTGTTAAATTTTCATCTCTCAAAAGAAGAATTGCGCCGCGCAACAGGGTCTTTAATCATTCCATTCGGGTTATTCCTCTGCCATATTAAACAAAGGAATTCCTACCTCGTTTCTTTCGTCTAACATTTCGTTCATCCTCCTTATCTAAAATTAGTATGAATACTTATTTATATGTGCGCGTACTTCAACCTACAAAACAGATTGAAATGACATCGTGGATTGTACGATTTGTGCTCTGCATAGCTTGTATAAAAAGTGAAAATATCCTGTATTTAAAAAAAATGCGAATATGATGGACTTTTTCATGCAAATTTTTGGCATTTTTAAAAACGGACTGGGTTAAGTATTATTTTTAACTTCACTTTCAATGTGACAAACCGTTTCTATGTTTCTTTGTTTTTCGCGTCTGAGGCGTTCACATTCTTGGTTTAATTGAGTTGATCGTTCCTGAAAAATAAATACTCTTTTTTTTTTTACGTTTAATCCTTGGAATTGCTAGACGTAAGATACTATAAGATATTCTCATGATTCTGTAGGGACAGAATTCCGTAGAGACGTCTCCTATCTGCGTTCAATTAATTGCGGAAAACCGTAATTCAGACAGTTGTCAAAATATTGGCGATAGTATTCTAAAGCTTCCCGTGCAGCTATTTATTCTTTGTGTCGTCTAAGGAGGAAGAATAGGCGGCTAATATAACACTCATTGTCACGCGCACCGGCTGAAGTTCAAGATGAGCGGTTATATATTATATACATACGCATGCATGCATGCGCTCACGCACGTTCAATTCCGCCCACGCAACGTTCGATTCTCTGGTCAAGCGAACCGTAAGAGGTCATGTCAATTACAACTACACGCGCGTTGAATAACACATCCTATGATAGACGAGGCTGACACAGTCTATAGTCGTGTTTCTCTTGAGCATTGCTCTAATTATTCGGGCTATAATGATACCTCTATAATGATATCCCTACAGTTTCCCAACGAACTGTATGTACAACAAATTAAAACCTATATAACACTAGCGGTTGTTTTCATGTCACGTCCGCGTTGTAGATTTGGTGCGACTTATATTAAACTCGTTAATATGGCGTGATTCATTCTTCTTTCAAACTTCATGACTGTTCGATTTAGGCGAATGTCGGATAAAAACGCAGTAAAAATTATGTAAAATTGAAGTTCATCTAAACACGACTTACATTTCCTTGATCAAGTTCGGGTAAAGGATTTCCCGGTTGGTGGGTCTCAGAGGCACGAAAGAGCTTTTGGCGTGAATCCAGCAACTTTTTACAAAAAATGCTGCTCTCCTTGTTCTTCATCAGGAGATTGTGAATTATTCTTGAAAGATCGGCCAATATTGCTTCTAACGCTTTGACACGATTTTCATGCTCCAAAATTTCATTCTGCTGAGCTGTAACCCTTTCATTAAGGTCTTTTTTCTACATAAGGAAAATGATTTGATGTAAACAAAACAATTGGTAAATTTGATAGACACGGTACTGAAAGCTTTTCGATCGAAATTTACCGCACATAAAGCTAATAAAATATAATTCTGTGGAAGCATAATGCTCATTATTACCAGTTAAAAAGAATGGAAAAAAACAGGCAAGCAAAAAAAATACGGTCAATTTGATAGGAAGATCAGACGGTGCACACAAAATAGATTTCAAATTCCTTACATCTTCAACTACTTCCCAATCATGCTGCCTTTTGCAAGCTTTCTTACGAGTACATTTTGTTTATTCCCAAATTATCATTATTTTGACTGCGAAACTCAACTTGGATGTACTGATAGCATTATCTGTTATACATGCAGTAATACTGATAGTATTGATAGGATATTCCTTACTTCACTTTCAAACCGGTGTATTTCATCCAAGTGTGATTGATTCTCACGTGTCAGACGTTCACACTCTTGGTTTGATTCGTGCAGTTGTTTCTTGATCTTTTCCTTTTCTTCGTTTTCACTCTTGAAATTTGCTTCGTAGTTCTTCAACTAAAAGGAGAAAATTGAGTCAAGTTTGAAACCATTTGGCACAAGAACGTATATAGCCTGATACAGAAATTTTGTGTTTTGTAATTAAAGCAAACTTACGGCGTTTTTTAACTTGACAATCTCACTGCCTTGCTCAGCAACTTGTGTTTGCAAAGCTTGAACTTCCTGCTCATTCGAAATCTGTTCTTCAACAACAGCCTGTAATCAAATCATCGCTAATTATTGCGCTGGAGCACGATAGCTATATATTTATGTATAATGGCTCTGTATATAGTCTGTCCAGCACCAAGGAATGCTTATATTTCATTCAGGACAACGGATGCTTTTACACCGTGCAAGTAAAGTAGTACGTGCGTATCATATTTTTTCCAAATATAGCAATTAATTCTGGCAGCTTATCTTGGAGGAGCTGAAAAGCATTGAAGCGTAAATGAAGAGCCCTAGGTTTAATAAATTTCATTACTTTTGTCTAGCTCGACGCTTATCTATAGTAAGAAGTTAGACCTGCATGACTTACAACTAGGAATCTATTTCAGTATATACCATACTGTCTATTGTCATACAAGCATAAGCCAGTCTGACGGTTTATTCCAGCTATGCTAATATTTCGCAGATTATTAACTGCGAAAACAATCGACTTATAAGGAAATTCATAGTTATAAAAACTAAAAGTTTGAACAGCCGGAATAAATCGGACAATCTACGCCACTGGCACTGATGTCAGAAAATTTTACTCGAACACAACTTACATTCTCAACTGTTTGGCCACCAGAAGCATCTTGACGTTCTGTAGGCTGGTAATTTTCATGTTCCAAACGATCTCTGAGATTCTTGTTTTCTTCCAATATATTTTTGTCAATTTTAATGTTGGAACTCTGCAGCCTCATCTCGTTAACCTTCAAAGCCAGCTCATTTTCACTGCTGGCCAAGACTGCTTCCAGCTCTCTGATATGGTTATCACATTGCGTGATCTCTTCTTGAAGTTTTTTAACTTTATCATAGAGCTCGTGATTTTTCTGTAGAACAATACATGTTACATTATCAACGGATGCATGTATTAGTATGACAATCCCTATTGGCTTTAATTTAAGAGAACGGGAATTATGGGAACGGGATTTTCCCTCTGGAAGTGTATCAGTATGTAGAACGAAGAAAGTTAATGTGGATAATTATAGTATGGCAAATATGACACGTGTATCCTCTCCAAAAATATCTATTCGACATAAAATATTAAAGAAATCAAACAACCTCTCAACGTTAGTAAATAAATACTTGATTTAGGGTCAACGTATATATATTGCATGTGGTTAGTTATATTGTGACATTGTATGGCGTACATTATTTAAAATGTTATTGTTTAGAAACACCATTTGATTGTTTTAAAATATAAACGTTTGTATTTTTACAGCTTTATATGGAAGCCGTTTACTAATAAAAACTTAGTGTGCGTTTATATAGACAGGCAAGGCTGACCGCTCGAAAGTGTAATATCTCGCTCCAGCGAGATCACAGGGGTGCCCTCGGGTGCCGAATCAATATTTATAATTTTTGATGTTTCTCAGCGTTTCTTTTTATAGTTTTGAACACTACATGATTAAAAACTAACAAACGGTGGCAACGTACTTAAATATATATGCTGATACTATTGTGGTATGAAAAATTATGAACTTTAAACGCAAAGCCAATAAAGGCGTTGTAAATGATCTTTATCCCGGTGTCACAGCGGATTTGGACCCCGGGTTGAAATGCTCTCATATAAACATAGGACAAGTTTATCCCGTTTATTCACTATAAATTATAAACTAAATGATATACTTACAACGTCCTCTGACTCGATATTATCTCTGGTAATCGCATCGAAATCTTTTGCCAAAATCCCAAGATTAACAAAATATCTTTCCATCTTCTCTTCGATGCGTGATACAGTTTCTCTCAGTCTGGCAGTTATTGGCTTTAGCTCGCATAGATTAGCAATTAATTGTTCAAGATTGTCCCTACTGAATTCACCCATGTTCTTATCGTCAGACATGGCACGTAAGTAATGACAGTAATCGAAGATCCTCTCTTATTATTGATCCTCTCTTATTGATATGAGTTTCATGAATTAATCGTGCACAAGAAAATCATGCAGTGACGTCATCGTTCCCATGGAAACGTTTTACAGACGTTTTACTGTCAATTCTACATGCATAAGAGAAATATAACATCGAAAAAACCCAAATACTTTAAAGGGTGCAACCAAAATCGTTTGCCGTTTTTCTGGAGGGTTTATTCAACTACAGATGAGTGTCGTCTTCAAACAGTCAATCAAGGCCTCTATAGTTGCGGTTTCACCGACTTGTAAGCGACAATTATCCGGAGACATGCATCGCATACAAACTAAACTGTGGATTAGATAAATATTCAAAACTCGCTAGACGTAGTCTCACGTACACACGCGCGCACTCCGATTTTCGTTCCTTGCGAACGTTTTATATGTCAAATATGGTCGAGGCGAACCATCAGCGCAGCTTTACTATAAAACCATAGTCGCGTGAAAGTTCCTGTTGTAGCTATTGTCATGGCTTCTCTGAAAATGTCATGCTGTCATTGCTTTAGGACAGACGAAATTTATGTATGTTTGCTAATTTGAAAACAATAAGGAAGCCGAACGAATATAATATGACTGGCCTGCTTATAACCTGTCGTAACAGGTTTTAAACATCTCGAAGAATCTTCGAGCACTTCCATGTCGTTGGTATTAAATTTCGGTTTACTAAGCCATTTGAAGGCTAAATTCCAAACAGTTTGTCCACTGAAAAAACGATTCTTCTTTCATCGCGTTTCAAAGCTCTCTCGTAACTATTTCCCATGGTCGTCGAACTCTGCGCTTTACTTTCCATTCACAGGCTTGGTTAAGTCCTTTCGATTTCTCAGTAAGCGTCAAAGGCGAGCCACGTTTTTATTCCATTTGTTTCCTCATTTGGTTTAATTTCGGACTTTCATGTATCATTGTTGATTGGTAATTATTCGTTAGGCATTCACCGTACTTTGCCGATCGTGTAATTTAGATCCTTTTTCCCTTCTTGTTTCCACACCGATTCCGTGGAAACGGATTGTTGTTGCGACTGCTTCAAAGACAAGAAAATCCTAACAATGTCCCTTAATGTGTGCATAAGTTAAAACCTGTTATAACCTGCATACCGGAAAAACACTTGGGTTTTTCCCAACTTCGAAAGACCTTTCTTATAACGACGTCAAACGTGGAAAGCCTGATGTTACACGAGATCTGATTGGCTTCGCAATACTAACGAGCCAATCAAACTTCGTGTAACATTAGACGCGTTTGACGTCACTATGAGAAAAGCCTATATTGATGAACTTTTTGCGGAAAGTGGAAGCGTCCAAAAGACAACTGATGCATGGATTTCTGGGAATGAGATTCCTTCTTCAGGAGAAACGTATCCAAAATTTCTAATTTATCCACCAGACCACCACGTAATGCTGACCACAAATGAGTCGATCAGTGCACCTCTTGAATATGCGCGTTTCGCTACCCGTGCTCAGTTATATTACTGTTCAGGATACCAGTTCAAAGGCCGAACTGAAAGTGGTACGGGTGCCCAGTTAAACCGAACGTTATATCAATAAATTGAGTGTAGTGTAAACGAGCTTTCAGTGCATGTTTAGGCTGCCAATACCAAGGCTGGGTACGAATGTGTAAAAATGCTGCGGTATACCCATTTTAGCAGTGCTCATAAATTGAGTGTGGTGTAAAGGGTTCCGATAAACACATGTGCCTTCCGCCGAAGCCACTTCTGGCTAATATCCAAGCGAAAACTATTAACTAGCTTGGTATGCCACTTTTCACGCGTAAAGCATGTACGTTTCCGCGTCTATTGCCCTTCCAAATGAACCTTGAGTATACATGTTAAATGCTTGTAAAGCATTGAAAAGCATTCACTCACATCACTCAACATTAGTCCTGCCTCTGCTGATTGTCATCAATCTTTCACCAGGATTGTAGGTTTCTTGTCAATGAAATTTTAAAACAACATATTGATCAAATGACGTGATTCACAAAAAAAAGTACAGATGAACTTTGTTCTTGGAGATATCATCTTTCGAAAGTTATATATTCTCAAAGAGAACAACGAAGACTTAATTCACAAGGAATTTAGAAACCTTTTGTGAAGGACAACAGGGCAAGGTTAATTCTTAATGTTAACATGTCCTTTCCTTCATGCAATCTTATCAGGTGACATCAAATGAAATTATACGACCCTGCTTTGGAAGAAGAACAAACGTCAGATTAGGAATCATAACTGAATTTATTAATGGATTATGAAAATGACAAATTATTCCTTAATAAATTTACAAATCATTATTGTAAGGACAGAGTATGTGATGATTTTGTTGGATTGAATGTTCTCCTTGGTCACTGGCCTTACACTGGCCTTATCATAAGCCTAGATTAGTCGTCCATGTAGAGACTATTCTCCGTACAATCTTGTACGTGACCTTCAAACAAATGGTAAGGGTAACTTCTTGAACAATACGGGCATTCAATCATCAGAGTTTCTGGTGATGGGTTTCGATCCTATGAAAGTTACGTTACATTAACATCTATTTCCTAACTTTCCTGAGAAATACGAGGTCCTAAATCTATGTCTATATCAATCCAAAATGTTTTTGACTTACTCGAAAGAAACTTTGAGGCACACTTGATCCAAGCAGTTGACCAAATGGGAAGCCAATGTTTGGATTACTCTGCACAATAAGAAAAGAAAATTGAATATCTAAACAATTACAATTTTTGACCAAATACAATTCATTCGTCAGTTTAATATACAAACAAAGCTTTGCTAGATTCAGGATATTCCTATACCTTGTTTTTCTCATTTAAAAGTTTGTTCATTGTTTTAATCTAAAAATGTTAAGAAAAATTATAGCTGGCTATCTACAGTATAAACGCAAGCACTTTACCATGCAAAAACAGATTAATAAAAGAGGAAGTCGTGTATAGTACGGTATTATCCAGTTACATAATGGTTTCCGTGTTTGGGATGGCTTGATCCAAACACGCGGGAATGTTGCGAGAGTTAAGAAAAGCGCACGAAACACGAGCCGAAGGCGAGTAAAATTCCCAAGTGTTTGGATCAGATCAATTCCCAAGTGTTTGGACCAAACACGGAAACCATTAAGTAATTGTTTTATAAAATAACAAACCATAATAAATTTGCTTTTAAATTCCCGCGAAATTTCCGTGTTTGGATGGCCTGATCAATCAGAACACGCGTTAAATGTTATTTTATAAAAATGTATGCTGCATGTATAGGTTCTCCTGCATCCATGAAAGGTAAATAAATTCCACCAATATAAAAAGCTGCGAATTAGGTATTCCTTACTTCACTTTCAAAACGTCGTACAGTCGCCATGTGTGATTGATTTTCACGTCTGAGACGTTCACTTTCTTTGTTTGATTCGTTCAGTCGTTTCTGAATCCTTTCCTTCTAAAAGAAAAATTTGGCATTGCATTTTTGTTTCATTTTAAAAAGCTTAAGGCACATAAAGAAATATTCTCATAAACGTACATGGTCTTCCATCGCGACTTCTTTTGCAGAAACTTGTACGCGGAGTTAATCGATTGTCTAATATGAATATTGAGCATTAACTAAGGCCCTGTTACACAACCGTGGTTACAAGGAAGCTTGCAAAAAAAACTATTTTAAAGAGATGTAAATTAGTGAAGAGTCTTTAAAATGTAATTGTGAGAAACGTCCATGGACTGTAATGAAAACAAAGGTTTATTAGTGCACATGATATGATGCGATGACTGTCATGCGATGACATGGCATGATATTGCAATAACGCGAAATCAAAAATTCACGTCGTCATCCTTTAAAATTGAGATTTAAGGGAAAAAAATCAAAGCCATAGGATGACAATGCCACAGAAACAGCACCGCGACTGTTGTATGTATTATTAATAAAAAAATGAAAGCTATAATTATACATATAATAATGCATCATCGCTTTTGCATTTATTTTTTTTTTTTTTGATGAATAAGTTAAACTACAAAATCTAGTGAATATAGGTAATGTAATACCAGGTGCTAGCCACGCAACCCTGTAATTGAAAAAAAACAAGCTAAATTATTCAATCGTGGTCCATAATGATGCTTGCTCTAATGGCATAAGGTGTTCATGAGCCCGTGTTGAGTTTTTGGCGGGTTCGTTTCGTTAGCGAATCACATAAAATTTTTTTTCATTTGAGAGAAGAAATTATTGGAAATTAGGGTTATATTTTTCGTGGTTTGCGGTTAAAGTTCATTCAATCGTCCATGTTCAGACTATCCTCCATACAATCTTGTACGTGACCTTCAATTAAATGGTAAGGGTAATTTCTCGAGCAGTACGGGCATTCAATCAGATTTGGTGATGACTTGGGTGGATTACTCGACGTATTTGTTTGTCGAGTGCCACCAGTCGACCCGTTCACTCCACCACCGCCGTCTTTTGGCGCTGGGTTTCGGTCCTATGAAAAAAAACACGAAACATCAACAACTATTTCCTCACTGTCCTGAGAAATGTCAGATAATAATCTACATCTATATCAATCTAACTCACGTGGAAGAAACTCCGGGAAGGTACACTTGATCCAAACGGTTGACGGAATGGAAGACCAATGTTGAAATTACTCTGCGCAATAAGAAAGGAAAATTGAGTATCTAAACATTTTCACCAAGTATCATTCATTCGTCTGCTTAATATACAAACAAAGCTTTGCTAGATTCAGGATATTCCTACCTTGTTTTTCTCATTTAAAAGTTTGTTCATTCTTTCAACCTAAAAATGATAAGAAATATTATGTTTATCTACAGTATAAACGCAAGTACTTCACCATGCAAAAAGAGGTTAATAAAACACTGAGGAAGTCGTGTAAAGTACGATATAAATGTATGCTGTATAGGTTCTCCTGCATGAAAGGTAAATAAATTCCAGTGTCTATATCAAAAGTGGCAAATGATTAGGTATTCCTTACTTCATTTTCAAGATTTCGTTTGGTTGCCATGTGTGATTGATTTTCAAGTCTCAGACGTTCGCTTTCTTGGTTTGATTCGTTCAGTTGTTTCTGGATCTTTTCCTTCTCCTTGTACTCATTCTTGAAATCATCAACGTACGCCTTCAACTGAACGAGAGATTAGGTATTCCAATTTTGTTTCGCTCTCAAAATTTTAGGCCACAAAGGAAGGACTGACTACTCTCAACAACTTACAGTGTCTATAAACATGGCTATCATGGCGTCTTTTTCAGCAACTTGTTGTGCTTGGAAATTTGAATTGTCTAATTCTAATTCTTGGATTGTCTAATAAGAAAATTGTTTATTCTCATGATTCTGTGTAGGGACATGCAGGGTTGCGTGGAGACGTCTCATATCCGCGTTCAATTAATAGCGGAAAACCGCAATTCAAACAGTTGTCAAAATATTTGCGATAGTATTGTAAAGCTTCCCGTGCAGCTATTTATTCTTTGTGTCGTCTAAGGAGGAAGTATATAGCCCTCAGTAATATAACACTCATTGTCACGCGCACTGGCTGAAGTCAGATGACCGGTGTATATGCATGCATGCGCTCGCGCACGTTCTCTGGTCAAGCTAAACGTGAGAGGTCTTGTCTTGACAACTATATGCGCCAATAGTCGTGTGTCTCTTGAGTATTGCCCTAATTATTCGATTATTATTAAATTAAAACTGGGTTGCTATAACACTATAGCGGCTGTTTTCATGTCACGTCCGCGTTGTAGATTTGGTGCGACTTATATTAAACTCGAATATATGGCGTGATTCATTCTTCTTTCAAACACCTGCAATAATCGTCTAAGTCATGTTAAACACCCAAGTTTCATTTCGCAGGTATTACAAACTTCATGACTGTGCGATTTTGGGCGAATGTCAGGTAAAAACATAGTAAAAATTATGTAAAATTGAAGTTCATCTGAACACAACTTACATCTCCTTGGTCAAGTTCTGGTAAAGGATTTCCCGGTTGGTGGGTCTCAAGGGCACGAAAGAGCTTTTGGAGTGAATTCAGCAACTTTTTACAAAAAATGTTGTTCTCCTTCTTCTCCATCAGGAGATTGTGAATTACTCTTGCAAGATCTTTTTTCTACATAAGGAAATCATGCGGTGGGAAAAAATTAGAATTGAAATTAAAATTTAAAATTAAAATTAAAATTAAAAGAGAAATGTGGAAAATTCTCGCCATCTATTTTTTCTCGTCATCTCATCAAACAAAAGCTTGGATGTACTCAACCTATCTGCTATGCAGTAATACTGATAAAGATGTACTCATCGCTTATTCCTTACTTCACTTTCAAGCCGGTGTATTTCATCCATGTGTGATTGATTCTCACGTCTCAGACGTTCACACTCTTCTTGGTTTGATTCGCTCAGTTGTTTCTGGATCTTTTCCTTTTCTTCGTTTTCACTCTTCAAATCTGCTTCGCACTTCTTCAACTAAAAAAGAAAAGTATAAATATTGATTTTTTGTGTCAAAATAATTTGAATTTTTCTGTTTCATGAACAACAGCCTGTAATCAAATCACAACAAAGACTATGTCATTGCATGTAACCATTTCCTGGCTGTCGTGGGCGCTAGAGACACGACAGACATACACATGATATCATATTCCCCCTAATGATTCGCCAGTGTAATTTAATAAAGTGCAGTTAATGCACTGATTTATCTAAGGAATTCAATGTGACAGCATTCTGGCCTTTAGGTGAATGTCAGGAAGGACATGCATTTCAGTGAAATTATCAGTGCTAAAAATTTATTACATGCGCATGCATTTACACTAACCTTCGAAACCAGCTCATTTTCTCTGCTGGCTGATGTTTCTTTGACCTCATTGACATGGTGGCCACTTTGCACGATTTGCTCGAAGAGTTTTATAACCATTTCACAGAGTTTTCGAATTGTCTAGCGAAAACATACATTTATATATACATACATCAAGATTTCACTTAAAAGTGACCGTTCGCAGGTATACATTTGTATAATATTCATGTTTCTTCACATTTACGAGTTTTTATATGGTAAATCTCGTCAAACTATGTGACTGTTCAAAATCGGAGTCGCACGTAAAATCATACGCTTCCTTGTTCAGCGGTGTATGCGGAAAAGGGATTTCCCCTTCTGCGCAGTTCTGCGTACGCGTGTGAAAATTGACTAAAACCTAAAGTTCGCTAAAACCTAAATTATCTTCCGTATTTATCTATTTTTGATAAAATATAGGAGAAATTAAATCCAATTTATCCTCATAGTGACAAAGACAGCGTTAAAATTCATTTTATCAGCGACTAGAGATACATTAAAGAAGTGATGTATTCACTATTGGTACATTTTTTTCACGCTATAATTGTGCCAAAATATCGTACTATTTCACGTATTTGAAAGATAAATAATCTTGTAATCTTAGTTCTATACCTAGATTAGATTTATTTTGCTATGAATAAATTTTGCTATATATTATTAGAAGCTATTATAAAATGTTGCAAATATTATTGACGAACTATAGTATAGTCTATATTCAGTATATTGTGTTTCGTACTTACAATGCCAATGTTCGGATGTGTAAGTTCTGATCCCTCCTCTGTATTTTCTTCGGTAACCGCATCGGAAGCGTTTCTTGAAACCCCAGAATTAACGCTATCGATATTCAAAGCCGTTTGAGGGCCAATACCAAGGACGAACTCATTGATCAAAGCGGCAATATTCTCACCGGCTTCTTTGAGACGTTCATTTGTCATGGGTCGAGATCGAAGTTTATTCAGCTCGTTGAAAACCCTTCTGAAGAGGTCTTCTATTCTTTTCAGTATTTCATCTTTTGTGTTGATTTCGTTTTGTTGATTGGCAATGATTTGTTTAAGATCATTTGCGGTTAGTGTATCTAGATATTGCTCAGACATCTTGACAATGACCAGTTAGTTATGAACTGAAAGTCTGCGTGTTCGTCCATATGTATATATGGACATGCCACGCCATCAAGTCGTCTCTTTAACAACTTTCATGACCTCATGTTAAATCTCCATATTATTTTATGCAAATATTGGATATGCCTATGGAAACACGATACCAAACATTTCATCTCATGAATGGTTAGAGGTAATAAACGGGCAAAAAATCGAGTATATGTTCTTTTGAAACTTCCAAAATATACGGCAGGTATCAGATAAGCCAGGCATAGAGAAACTGTTCTTGGACTCAAAATGAAAAGTCCTAATCTCCCATACACACGCACACTCGAAAACCTGACCGGATGAAAACCTGTCAAACAGGTTTGAGCACGTGATTGGTAATTGGAAACTTCTTGAGTTCTCGAACGCCTTTGTGTGTTATGTCATGTATTCGTTTTGAATTCTATACGACGCAACAGAATATCGATCATGATGATTAATAATTTGAAAAGCTTTGAACGCCAAATCCAAGACTCTTTCTCGTGATCCTCATTATGTTGTGTGGTACTTATTTTATTCGACTTATTCTATCTATTTCCCATTGTCTTTCAACCGCGTCGTTTCTCCTCCCAGCATCACACTTATTCTCTCAAGTCTTTCGTCCTCTTGGTGTTTCATTTCTAACTTGCATAGCTCTGTTGAATCGCAATTATTTTTTTGATATCAATCGTGTGAATTCGATGTCGTTGCGGCCAAAACATCGACAGCTGAAGCAAGATTAAACTGATTCATGCCTACTTAGCGTTATAAAAGGAAAGTTTATTCAAATTACTAACACGTTTAACTTGTTCTGTACCGGAAAAACGCCGAGTAAAAAGTTCCCCACTTGCCACTGCGCTCTAAGGCAAACTGGATGACAAGTCATAGGCATAGGTGTAGGTACGCTTGCTTTCTGGGGAATAGCATATCTGCATGGGGATGAAATTTCTTGAAATAGGATTTTTTTCTTACGCGAAACATGTTTCAAAATACAAAACTTGCTCATTTCTGCTAGATGGTCTATAGCAGCCCTTTTCGCGAACGTCTTCGTTAGATCTGGAATTATATTTGCTGTTTCGGCTGTCGAGGGTATTTCTAACTTCTAAGGCTGTTTTCACTATAGAAAAAATAAAAAAGTCTGATCATCCATACGCAGTCATACAAACACGCTCATGTATCTGTACCGAGCTACAGGCTATCAGCAATATTTCTCACATATCCGATTATTATATTGTAGTTAGCTCAATTTCCGCTGGGGGTTCTCGTGATTACCATATATGACAATGTGGATAATACAATCTCATCTTACTGGTGCAATCGTAATTCGATGACAAACTCAGTTAACCAGCAATGTATTTTTCTTAGAAAATGTTTGTCATCCCAATCCCTGTAAGAACTCTGGAAAATGTGTTGAGGCGGGTGAAAGTTTTGACTGTGACTGTCCTTCTGGTTACACTGGGCCTCTCTGTCAAGGTTAGTGGTAACATAACACGGTTGAGGAAAGATCTAGAAGTTATTACATCTATGAGACTATGACTATATATGCTATGTTTTTACCGAAACAATAGACAATATAAAGTTCGAAGGTATGCGACGTAATATTTACTGCAAAGCTTTCTGTAGGTTAACCATGGTCATGGTCAGTGCAATAACATAGGCTAAGTTTAACAGACCGAAAGCTTTACGGTATCAATTAGGCTGCTTTAGCCTTTAGACTGAGTGCCGTGTTGCCTGTCAGTTTTCGTGCATTGCGTAATGCGCCTAGGTTAAACACGGCGCTTCTAAATGAAATTGAACATGATACCTCTAGGGGTGGTGTGCAGTGTGCTCAGCATGTTTTACAAACCAATTTTGACTTTGAGGACCGGTGTTGGGCACACAGTCTGAGCACAGCCTTGCATTATTGTTCGCCATACAAACTTATCTATATTACCATGCAACCCTTGTTTTGGTTGAAAAGCTTTCATCTTTCATGCAACGCTTCTTGTGCCCGTCAGTTGACGAAAATCTCCCCTTTCAACACTCATCAGTACGAATCTTTGGACGATGACAAAGTAATAATGGTTCGAAAGATTAGATCTGCTTATATTGAAAGCCTATGGTGTTTGTTTGTTTAGTTCGTCAATTTTGTCTTCCTAATCCGTGCAAGAATGAAGGTGTATGCGTCCCGTCAACTCAGGCTTACTCGTGTTCCTGTAAGCGAGGATTTAAAGGCGACGATTGCTCAGGTAAAATCTAATGGTTTCCACAATTTCATAAATTGCTTGTTGACATGGCTGAATGACATAACTTGTTGACATGACTGAATCATCAGTGCATGCAATTCCCAGGGGCGGATCCAGAGCGAAAATTGACAGTATCATGGACACCTTGAGCACCGAAGGTGCGAACCGAGCGCCGAAGGCGCGAGACACCTAGGGGGGTCCAGGGGCATGCCCCCCCGGGAAAATTTGAGAAAAAGAACCTCAGAAACCGCAGTTTGCCGCAATCTGGGCGCCGAATGTTAATAAATAAACATCAAAATTACCAACCCTCCTCCTTTCGCATCCGGGCTTGGGACTTCTATCGATACTATGTCCAAAAACTATAAGGTTTTACTACGAGGGTAGGGCAAAACCATATCAGGGGAAAACCATATCAAATATCATTCATTTACGATCTATAGGTAAATTCATATTAAGTGTATATAAAGCCATTTGGCGCGATCCTATGATCCTATCTAACGACTAACTAAACACGCAAATTTTTGTTAAATGTAGTCCTGTAGTCCTGAAGACCTCTTGTGAGCAATTAAACTTGACTTCATTTAAATCCGAACAGTATGAATTAAATTAAAATATATTCAAGACAATTTTACACACAAAATTTCCATTCCAAACTTTTATAGTCATTTATATGAGTGATATATATTTAAGATGAAGACAGAAAGAATGTTTAGTATCGTTCATACCTGACAGGAACATGAAGCGCACATCTATTAAGTTGGCTGTTCGGAAATTGCAGCTTTGAGAACGCGCATACACGAACATTGACGCACTGGCGCTCTGACGATTGCCTCTTCTCGACCAGTAAATCCGTACACAACTGTTTCAGATCCGAATTTCCGAAAGTTCTCTTAAAACATCTTCTCTACAACTTGACTGGTCGAAAATATTAACTAAATTTCTTAGTACGTTTTTTGAATGAATGGCCATTGCCCACTAAGTTCAACTCACGTTTATAATAGGGCAATGCTGTTGTTAGCTATATCGAACAAACTTTCCGAGGCTTCACGATAATTTTATTTCTTGCGCAATCAAAACACAGCTAAGGTATCGAAGGGTATCCAACGTCACAGATACACGACCTATGATTGGCTAGATACCCTCAAAGGTATCCAAATGCCTTATTTAGTTACTATTTTTAGTAAAATTTGAACCGCGGACCGTATCAGTACACCGTGGACGCATAAAAAATATTTTCCCGATCAATTTCCGATTGAATTTAATCCCTCGGTTCGTGCTTTCGGAAAGTTCTCGGCTTTTTTCGGTAAATCTCCATTTAACGACGTAGAAACGTATTACGTTTATACGTTAAGAGCTGTAATTACTCGAATTTTCATTATTTTTTGTAAACAAAAATAGCATGCGATAAAATGGAATATTTTTGGAATATTTTATAGAAAATATTTTGCGGGAAAATCTGACCGTATCTAGAGCTACGCTCGATACCCTCTGGATCCGCCCCTGATTCCCCTAACACAACTGAGAAGTATCTGCTATAGACGCCTATCAACCAATTTTCCAGGGCGAGTTTTAACTTGGTCGTTGACATGTCTAGTATAACTCGGCTAAAGTGACTGTTCATTCCCTTTGTCATGTTCATGGAAACATGTGCACAGTGAATACAACGTTTTGTTGCATAGTCAGACAATTGTCCAAGAGCTGAAGAGCTCATTGAGATTGTTGAGCGTACACTGTTGAAGCATCATTAGTGGTGGAAATTTCTTAAGATTTATACACAGCAAGACTGTCTCATTGTCAAATCTTTGCTCATTATGGACTCCGTTAAGCTAAAATTGTAAACCATTTTGCCATTAGCGATGGTTAGGATTTACTCTAAGCTAACCTGCTTCGTAGCTTAAATGTTTAACACAACAAACTAATGCCAAAATTGACATCTTTTATGATTTTAGAAGGTGATATTTGCAATCCCAACCCTTGTCGAAATGGCGGGACTTGTCGGGAAGAAAACAATGCTGCTGTTTGCGCATGCGCTATGCAGTTTGAGGGAAAGGTTTGTGAAGGTATGAAACGAGTCTGTAAAATGTTGTCAGGCTGATTTCCTTCACCTAATGAGAGTTATAACTCTCATTGAATGTTTTATTTAGATGCTCCAACTTGCAAATGCTGTATTTGCTTGTTAAATAAAAATTTGGGCACCAGTTATGCAAAACCTCTATAAGATTATTCACCTGCAATAATACCTTTTGTTAAAAATATTTTCTTTCCTCCAAAGTTGACAGATGTGCCAAATGCCCTGAGAATGCTCATTGTGAACAAGGTCGTTGCGTCTGTAATGACGGTTACCTCGAGACCGCCGAGAAACGATGCGAAATTGAACGGGGAGGAGGTTGGTGCCAAGTTTCTGCTTTATGAGTTAACAGAATAGTGTTGAATAAAAAAAAATACTTTAAACTTTTTTCGTCTTCAGCCCAAGATCCATGTACTCCTAACCGATGTAAAAACGGCGGCGTTTGTCGTCAACCAGGACGATGTGAGTGTCCCGAAGGTTATGACGGCAGATTTTGCGAACAAGGTTAGCATAATTTGCATCATTATGTTGAACATTTTTTCATAATTTTCTGGATATACTCCTTAATATAGTCAATCAAGATAACGCCATGAATTTTTGTTGCCTTTGTTAAGTATATTGAGATCATTTATTAGTTATTCATCCAGTACATTGATATAATGATGTTATATTTTATCAGAGGATACTCAGTCAATTGGTGCAGCGGATCCTTGCAGTCCAAATCCTTGCAAGAACAATGGTGTTTGTTCCGTAACGGCAAACAAACCAAACTGTCAATGTCCACAGGGATTCTCTGGCGATTATTGTCAAGGTAACAGTACCAGAACTTTACCTTTTCCAGGCCATCAGATTTTGCGAGCACAAGATATGAATTCTGCTTACTTCTCTCCATAGTTCAAGCCCAGGCTCCCAAGTCTCAGTGCCACCCTAACCCATGTCAAAATGCTGGGACATGTCGTGAGAACGGGCCTGGATACGATTGCATCTGCACCACAGGATTCAAAGGACCTCATTGTGAAAGTAAGTGAGCATACGTAGATTTAAAGCATTGTGAATTATTGGAAACACTCCTATCGCACCTCAATCTTTTTCTTTAATTCTTAGTCGACGAATGTGAAAAATGTGATCCGCATGCAATATGTGTCAGCGGTCACTGCAAGTGCAGGACGGGTTACATAGGAAATGGATACGAATGTTTAAAAGGTAGGGTTCGCAGTTCACAGTTTTCACCGAATCTTGCCCACTACATTAATTTTATTACTTGCTAAACTCGCAGTTGTATTAACATTCATTGAGAATAAGAATTACACTGACAGTTTCTGTGTCTCTTTGCTAAGCTCTTTTCTGATTATATTGAATCCTTTCTTAGACTCGGACAGTGGTTGTGACAGCTGTAGTTCCCAGGCCACGTGTAAGAAAGGGACGTGTGTTTGTCTTTTCCCGCTCATCGGAGATGGACAGACCTGCTCAATGCGTAAGTAAAATGCCTGTCAATTTATGAGGCTTTACAACTGCCTAAATGCATTTGGCACATGCAATTACGGCGTTAAAAAAGGCCTAAAATTTCGTGCTAAAATTTTTTTCTTTCTTTCAACAGCCCCACCTCCTCCACCGCCTCCTCCACCTCCCCCACCGACTTCATTCTGTACGTATTCAACGTGCCCACCTCCCAGCCAGTGTTATGGTAATATATGCATGTCTAAAAGGTAACAAATCCTTCTAAAATTAAATTCTTCTAAGATTTCCAGAGTAGCTGGGTTAGAGCAGTCAATATGCAGGAAGGTCCCTTGTCTAAATAGGAAACAAATTTCAATCACAACTACATACTTTACTTTCAAATTTATGACTGACTTGCATTTGCCATTTCTGAGTTGAAAATACATAGTTTGATTACATAGTTTGATTGATATAGTTTATTAAATCATAATTTAAAATTAAACCATAATTATAAACTATACTTTAAACCTATAATTAACCATTTCAGGTCACAAATAATGAAAGTCGCCAGCTCCAAAATTAAACATTACAGACGAAAGAAGAAATCTTAAATCGTTTAACCACTTGTTTTCAAAAACAATACTATGATAAGTTGAAATAGGTTTTCATTATAATCTTCACCCATGTTCAACAGAATATTGTGATTTATATGAAAGATAAATCTTTACCTTCGCTCATGGTCACTTTGGTTAAATTTAAGGAGTTAGTTTAAAAAAACTATCGAGTATCACGTTAGAATGACCTCTATCGGCTAAATTTTTCTTTAGATGTATCATGTTGCACTATATGTTTTATAACACTGCTTGAGTCTCTATTAATGATTTAGCAAAATGAACTTAAGGGTCACGTGTTTTATTCATGGTCATATTTAGTTATTTGAGGTAAATGCCGCGGGTTCTAAAGTTAAAAGTCGAATTCTAAATTTAGCTTTAGTCAATAGGTTTTCTTACATGTAAAAAATATAACCTTTATTGAAAGATGAATAAACTGTTTATAGCTACATCTCATCTATCAAATGTATTCGCTCTAGTTAGTTTAGTTTAAGTTTCCTCCTGTAGTAATACTGGATCACACGTGATCCTTACTGGACCTCTAGGAAGAACAGTTTAGAACTGATAGAGCTACCCAATATAAATAAAGTTAGTCTAGTTTAGTTTAGGTTTCCTTCTGTAGTAACACTGGATTAATAAGAGATGATCCTTACTGGATCTCTAGGAAGAACAGTTTAGAACTGATAGAACGATCCAGTATAAATATAGTGAGTTTAGTGTAGGTTTCCTCCTGTAGCAACACTGGATCAATAAGAGATGATCCTTTCTGGATCTCTAGGAAGAACAGTTTAGAACTGATAGAGCTATCCGGTATAAATAAAGTTAGTTTAGTTTAGGTTTCCTCCTGTAGTAACACTGGATTAATAGAGATGATCCTTACTGGACCTCTAGGAAGAACAGTTTAGAACTGATATATACTGAGGCATTCTTCTTGTTTTCCAGATAAATCCTTTGGTTATTGTCAGTCCTTGATCGTTTTGAAACAATATGTCGCTTCATAGAGATGGGAAGTGCTACCACAGTAAGTCCAAATACTCATTAGATACTAAGTTTATATGCTAATGTCGGTTAATGGAACCAGACAAAGCAGTTATTAGATCATCCAGTTGACAAAAAGCATCCAGGCCGTGGTCAAGGTTATCTGTCAAAGCTGAACAAATTTTAAGTTTGACTGATCGTCCCTTAATCTTATCTGAAGGAAAATCCATAAGGCCAGTTTTTCTATTTTGTGTAATTGAAAAACTGCCTTCACTGTCAGGCCAGAGACTTGGGAGTTACTCCTTCATGCATTCGTTTACATGACTAGAAAACTGGTAGTAGGTGTAACTTCTTGAGCAACACAGGCATTCAATCAGAGTTGGTGATGCCTTGGGTGGATTGATCGACGCATTTGTTTGTCGAGTGCCACCAGTTGACTCGTTCACTCCACCATGATCACCGCCGTCAGCGACGACTATTGGCGCTGGGTTTCGGACCTATGAAAAAGCGAAACATTACTTTTTATTTCCTAACTATCCTCCATGTCCTGAATTACACATGTATGTCAATTTGATATAATTTTAACTGACTTCAAATAAACTTCGAGGTGCTGGTGCACTTGAACCAAACAGTTGCATGCGAAATGGATTTGATGAGCCAACTTGAAAGCCAATGCGTTGGATAAGCTTACTTATTACAGCTATATAAGATCTATATAAGATTTTATCAAATATGTTTGCTAAAATGCAAACAAACCACACCTCTTCAACAACAACTCGGCATCTTTTAACAAAACCTGCTAGTTTAGTCGAATTGAGTATTCCTTACTTCATTTTCAAAATGTCGTACAGTCGCCATGTGTGATTGATTTTCACGTCTGAGACGTTCACATTCTTGTTTTAATTCATCCAGCTGTTTCTGGATCTTTTCCTTCTCCTCGTTTTCACTCTTGAAATCAGCTTTATACTTCCTTTGCTAAAGAGAGAAACACAAGTATGAAATAGTGAAATCTTAAGGCATAAAGATGTAATTCTATATAAGATGTTTGTGGCTAACACGTAAACCAAACTTACAATCCCTCTCATCATGTCCACAATCGCCCATGCCTCGGTAAGTTCCGCGCAGAGATCCTCATTTTTATGCTTCAGGACAGAAATCTCCTCCTTACAATCTTGTATTTCCTTGTTTAAACCTGAGATTTGCACGTAGAAACGATTGCACTTTGTTTCAAGATTACTCATTTTCGCCAACTTATTCTTTAACTCTTGGACTTCTTTTTCCTTTTCTGCCTCGATTTTCTCTAATTTTATCAGTAATTCCGAGTTTTCTTTCGTAGAGTCCTGCGAGTTAAAAATAACTTATTTAGCTTGTTTTTTTACAATTATTAAATTAAATTAATTAAGTTACAAAAGTTTTACAATTCGTTAGAAGTAAAAAGTTTAATTTTTTTATTATTAGAGCGTACAACGTAGTACTCCAGGTTGACCGGATGGAAAGTAGAATTAGTCCACATAAAATTAAGGAAACTTGAATTTGCAAAAACATTTTGACTAAGGCCATTTATTAAAAATTACTTAACTAGGAAATTTTATCAGTTGAGTGATATACTGCTGAAAAGAGCATCCCAAAATGGGTAAAATCGAATTGTTTATTGCAAAATGCTAAAAAGATACAAGAAATATCACCGTGTAAAGTTAGAAAGCTATACTAAAGAATTTAAGTAATTGACAAAGCTTGGCTAGATCTAACCGAGTTGCTATAAACCTTCTGGGAAAATGTTGAAAGACGTCCAAGAGTCGATTCAAGTATGGCGCGCGGCAATAACAAAGATAATATAAAACGTTTTAGTACTGTACGATGTGAACTGTCAAGTATGATTGTACTGCACTTGTTCATATGTTTCTTCAGTTGCACCATCTTGACCAGTGGATGTTCGGATGTCTTTTCCTACTTTGTCTACCTTTACTACCTAGCTACCTTTACTCGACTCCATCATGTGATGTTATTACAGGGCCATTGTGAAATTATTTCCATGAGCGGAGTCATGTTATTTCGTGACTACACCCTTACACTTTAAAGGTCCCGTTGCTTCAACGTGTCTTTCAATGAGTTCCATAAAATGACATCTCTTTATCAATCACGTACTTGCATTTGTGGTTTTTCTCGCTAATTCACAGTAGCTAGTCGGGTTTCCATCAACGATTTGTATCGCGCGTAGCGTTCGGAAATGATTATGCCGTATCACCTGGTTGTTGGTGTTGATTCAATTTCCGTATATACCATGTATTTTGACCATCCTGTGTTCTGAGGTATTCTGATTATTTGTGTTCTGATCGTTTTGAATTGGCTCGTCATGCCTTTTAATTATTTAAGATTAAGAGGCACTTTACTTGAAATACGGTTTTCTAACTGACTAGTCGAGCGTGATATTTATACTCGATTCTACAATGAGGCTACTTGTGGTAGCTCAGTTCATTTTTTGCGAATGTTCGTGGCAAACACTACTCTTTCCTACTTCACTATGCGCTTCTTCAACTTCACTCTCTTTGTACACCTTTCGGTTCAACCTTCATACCAACATCAATACAAGATGTTTGTATGAATACAATATTTAAACTGAACATACACCCTCTATGAATAAAGCACGAAACATCAACATCTGTTTTCTGACTGTCCTGAGAACTGTCAGATAGCTACATCTATATAAATCTAATATCATTCTAACTCACGTGGAAGAAACTCCGAGGTGCACTTGATCCAAACAGTGGACCGAATGGAAGACCAATGCTGGAGTTGCTCTGCACAATAAAAAAAAATATCGAAACATCTTGACAAAAGACAATTCATTTGTTTGCTGAACACACAAAGCCTTGTTAGACTCGGTTGGATATTAATTTTTACCTTGTTTTTCTCATTCAAAAGTTTGTTCATTCTTTCAATCTGAAAACGATAAGAAACTATTGTAATTATGTATACTCGCAGAGACGTAGCTACTTCTACAAAAAATACATTATAAAAACAGTAGGTCGTGTATTGTTTGGAACGAATGCAGTAAGTGTAAGTTTTGAATGGTGAAAGATGCGAATTAGGTATTCCTTACTTCACTTTCAAAATGTCGTACAGTCGCCATGTGTGATTGATTTTCACGTCTGAGACGTTCGCTTTCTTGGTTTGATTCGTTCAGTCGTTTCTGGATCTTTGCCTTTTCTTCGTTTTCACTCTTGAAACCAGCTTCGTAGGGTTTTAACTAAAGAAAAGTAAATATTGATTTTTTAATTCAAATTGTGAGTTTTCGCTGGATTAAACTGCTATTCTATTTACAATTACAAAACCTTGACGTCCTATAGCTGAAATTTAAACGAAACTTACACTCTTTCTCATCATAAGCATCATGGCGTCCTTCTCTGCGACTTGTGCCCGCAAACTCTCAACTTCCTGCTTGAGCTCAGAAATCTCCTCTTCATAATCTTGTTGTTTTCTGTTCAAACTGAGAACTTGCTTGAAGAAATTGTTGCACTTTGTTTGATAATCTGAGCATTTCTTCGTGGTCTCACTTATATCTGACTCGAGCTTTGTTTTGACTTCGTTAGCCTGTCCAAGTCCAATGGTTAACTCTTGTACTTGCTTAACCAAGTTATCAATCTCTGCCACTAATTCCTGGATTTTTGTCCCAGACTCAGAGATCATTTTCTCCTTCTCCTCGAGTAATGCCAACATTTTCTCCTGCTCTTCTTTTGCCTAGGTCATTGAGGATTATATAAAAGCAAATTGCAATTTAATCAGAGCAAATTCTTACATCTAAACTAGTCCATGCATAATTTGAGTAACGTCAGTAATGGTAAAATGGACGCGAGCTTATCACTTAGGATTCAGTTTAGAATTAGATTGGTACTGGGATGTACAGCTGAGTAAAACCTAAAATATAGGTTAAAACGTAAAGTTTAATTAGGAAATGTTGAAAATTAGAAAAATATAGCCATCCAGAGTTGGTAAATTTTGTAAGTATTATGAAAAGTGGTGTGACTTCATGCGTAATGCTACTTTCTACAAAATTTGGCAACTATGGGTACAGCAGTTATTTTTACACTTTTTAATATCTTGCAACCAAACTTTTCTCCAATGTCTTTCTACTTGTTCTCTGGCAATTGCATTTGATATATACGTTATACGCTTTAGTACACGGCAATTTATATTCGAATGATCAACTGAACAGAACTCACATTCATTTTATTTCCAGATGCTTGTCCATCAGGAACATCTTGCTCTTTCATGAACTCTTGATTTTTCATTTTCTCCAAATGATTCAGCAGATTCTTGTTTTCTTTCATCAATTTTTCTGAGAAAATCTCCTTCGCAATCATAGATCTTTCCAGTTTCATGATTTTCTTCGTCTGATCACTAACCTTCAAAGCCAGCTCATTGTCATTACCTGCCAACGTTGCCTCCAACTCTCGGATATGGTTATTACATGCTGTAATCTCCTCTTGAAGTTTTGTTACCATCTCATACAGTTCCTGGTTTTTCTAGAAAAACATATAAGATTTGGTGATTTTAGATTAGTTTACCCATCAGATATGGAGTCCTGCAAGTTAAGGGTAATAACAGACGTGTAATATTTCATAAACCTTCAAACACATTTTTTGATCTTACAAATTCAGACCCTTTCCACACGTATCCGGATATTTTTAAAAACGGAGTATTTTTTCTCCGTCCACACGAAGCGTATTCGAATCGTTTTTGCCCGTCCACACGTAAACGCTAAAACGAAGGAAATAATGAAATTGATAGCGCCAAGCATAGAGCATGCGCATTTCCAAGCAATATGCAATTGAGTGCCAATAATTTATGCGCGCCTACATAACAACTATGTTAATTTGGCGGAATTTAAAAACAATTCCGGGTATTTGCTTTGGGTTCGCTTTATGCTCGCTCTCTCTTGAATTAAAATGACTAAACGATCAAATCTTCGTGGTCTAGCTGGTGAGACGGGTAGCAACTTCAGCATGTTCTTTCGCTTTTCAAATACTCTCGAGCTCCGTATAGTAACATAAAGCTGAATGCATGCTATTAGACTCGAAATTATGAAATTCAGAAGAACATCGTACTTTAAATAGTACAGAAGTTCAATTGTTCGAAAATGTAAATAAACCGCATGATACATTCACTTTGTCTTACACATTGCCTTTGGAATTCGTGCTTGTACAGTTATATTAAATTTTCAATCCTGTGCAAACTGCGACGTGTCAACGCGCCCATACACGACCACATCATGTTAAACGGCGAAATAGCAGCGCTATTATTAAAATAGGACCAGAATCTACATGTATTAAATATATTCTAACCCCAATTCAATCTAAACTTAATCGAACAGCATGAAAAGAACGGTTTATTTGTTCCTCTTGGAGGAATTGCCGTATCATGCGAGCGAAATCGAATCGCGCATTGGGAAATTAGCCAAAGCTGTGCACCACAACTCTTGGGAGACAAAACTGTGACGTAGATAAATACGGTCATATACACATTTCAAATACAGTATATTTCGCGCCATTGCACACTCGCGACGACGAATAATAATAAAAAAAAAAGACGAATAATAATAAAAAATAAAAAATTAACAAAAAACAAACAAAAATAAAACAAAACCGGAGCGAATTTTCAACTGCGTCGCTGACGGGTGAAGGCTATTTCAGATATGGTAGAGCACCTCGTTGCCAGGCCTCCAACTTATACGCGACCACAATATGAGTAGACTTTGTGGTTTAACTTTTTCCCGCAATAAAATTCATTTCAGAATAATTCATACAAGTACATTATTTTATACTTGATAGAATATAAGGATAAACTTACTGTGACAGCAGGAAGAGTAAGTTTATCCTTATATTCTATCAAGTATACAATAATGTACTTTTATTATATGGCAAGCGTTTGTTTTGGTTAATTCTGCAATTTGATTGGCTGCTGACAGGTCTGGATTTCCCCGTATTGCCCACGGGCAATACGCAATTCTTATTGCCCTGTGAAAACAAGGCAAAACTCAGGGCAAAAACTGACTAAATTTAAACTGAAAAACAGATTAAATTCTTAAACGTAAAATAATGAATTTGAAATAAAAATAATAAATTTATATTTTACAAAATAGAGTGTTTTTTTTCACTTTCGATGTTTTGGTGTTGTGTGTTGTGTGTTTGTGTTAAACCACAAAGTCTACTCATATATACTAAATTTGCATGTAAACTTAACGTATTTTTAAGGATTTTTAAAATATACACTCCTCATGTCGGTCGGCGTTAGATCATATCGAACTAACGTACATGACGTCATAAATTTTGCAATAACGGAAGTATAATAACAGAAGTCTTACATGAAGTCTTTTTAGAGCTGGTTCATAAAAATGATAAAATAAAAATGCCGATGAATGATGATACATTTATACATTTATAAATGTACACGAAAGTGTAAATGTCTGTTACCCTCATACCCAGTATAGGAGTGATCATATACTTATGTAATAGTATCTCTGGCTTTACCTTAATTACGGTTAGGGTTATTGAAAATTTTATGACGTCATGTACGTTAGTTCGATACAGTGAAATGAATATAACAGTTATTTATTAATAGTTATTTATTACAGTTCACTGGTTCGATATGATCTAACGCCGACCCCACTGAGCTATATAAAAATTACTATATAGCTCCAGTGAAGCTCAGTGGCCGACCCAGTGGGCCGACCAGTGGGGCCGACCCAGTGAACTGGGCCGACCCCTCATGTCTGGTCGTCATATTGGATATTGTGGCCGCGTATAAATTGGAGCCCTGGTGACGTTTGTTCGCGCTGACCGAAAATTGCGGGCTTATTTCTTCTTCAATTTGCATTTTCGCTTCGAAGAACTAAAAATACAGACTTTGGTGCAATATTTTTGCTATTTACTCTGAAGCATGTTCATTAAAAATTCGCTACTGTTATTGAGAAAGAAAAGCGGTTTACGATAAGCTAAAATGCGTCGAAATCCGTTACGAAATGTATTTTCGCTGGCGAAAAATTAAATAATTGAATCTCGACACCAAATACAGGATTTTTGCCACAGCTACAGAGCTAGTTTGATTCAAGCTGATGTCAAAAAGTAAGTCACATTTGTTCTTCATAAATTTAGCTGTCAGTAAAATGTCTCAGAAGTGGTTCCAAAGCTCAATCTTGCGGATGCCCCAGTTGTCAATATACCTCTATTAACGAATTTCATTGCAATTTTATTGCAAATCGACCCATCTTCATTGAAGTATAGCTCGAAAATTAGGGTATCCTCACATCCTAAAATTAGGCCTAAGTCAAAGTTTTATCTATAGTCTTTTTATTAGAATTAAGATTCAACATGAGAAAAATGCGCTGAAGGGGTAAAATTGGCATTGTATGTGTCCACTATTTTTGACAAGTTTTGTTTGGTATTTTGAAAAGGTCACCAGGAAGGAAAATAAAGCTTGAACAATACTGGTGAGCCTTTAAATTATAAGAAGAGGTATGTAAATTATAGAATGTTGAAAAAAACCTGGTCCATTAACAATGTTTTGGATTCTAAGAGGTCTCAAATATAGAATATTTAACACCAACATTAATATGAGCCTAAGTAAGAGCCTAAGTTAGACCAAAAAATGAGTTCTACAAAATGCTTAGATATCACAGGCATATTTTAGACCAAAATTTTAGTAAACAAACTAGAATAAGTTAAATTATACCCTGACGAGTGGAAAGCAACATTTAACTTTTCCTCAATTTCATCCTTTTCATTCCTCCTAAAAAGTATCGCGCACATTTTTCGTGGTCCTAAAACTTTTCACAAAGGCAGGTGAAAAATCCAACAGAAAAATTTAGTTACAAAGTGTGAGGATAGTCAAATTCTTGATCTATTGGGTTATGAATGGATCTCTATATAAATGCAACAATAATTTAAATATGCTATATGTGAGACCTCATTGAATCCAAAACATTGTTAATGGACCAAGCTTTTTTCATCATTCTAAAATTTACATACCTCTTCTTATAATTCAAAGGCTCACCAGTATTGTTCAAGCTTTATTTTCCTTCCTGGTGACCTTTTCAAAATACCGAATTAAACATTTCAAAAATAGTGGACACATACAATATCAATTTTACCCCTTCAGCGCATTTTTGCCATGTTGAATCTTAATTCCAATAAAAAGACTATTGATAAAACTTTGATTTAAGCCTAATTGCAGAGTGTGAGGATACCCTAATTTTCGAGCTATATACTTCAATGAAGATGGGTTGATTAATTGCAATGAAATTCGTTAGTAGAGGTATGTTGACAACTGTGTCATCCGCAAGATTGAGCTTTGGAACCACTTCTGAGACATTTTACTGACATTTTAATTTATGAAGAACAAATGTGACTTACTTTTTGACATCAGCTTGAATCCAACTAGCTCTGTAGCTGTGGCAAAAATCCTGTATTTGGTGTCAAGATGCAAAATATTGCACAAAAGTCTGTATTTTTAGTTCTTCAATGCGAAAATGCAAATTGAAGAAGAAATAAGCCCGCAAATTTTCAGTCAGCGCGAACAAAATGCCCACCTGTTGTGCTCTGCCATATCTGAAATAGCCTTCACCTCGCTTGACGCCGGAGTAATTATACACAACAATTACGCAATAATTATGACTCTCAAAATGTTACATACCTACATATTGCAGTTTGATTTTAACTTTGGACTAAAACATTAATATACAATCGCGAAGGAATGTTTTATTATATTTAAAACGCGAGTTCAAGTATTTTTAATTACTTCAAATACGCCGCATTGTTAATGTTGAGCAATAAATTTGCTCCAAGCATACAAATGCTAATTAAGATGAAAACAACCGGATAAACAGGTTTTGATAATTGAATTCTGTGGGCATACGCAGTCCACACGAAAAGTTAAATACCATATGTGAACGAACTTTCTTTACTAAATCAAAATTGGAACTGATCAGTCGATAAAGTACACTTTTTTCGTTTTCAAACCGCATACCAAACATTCTCACACTTCTCTAGAACGCTAGCCAGCATTCCTACTGTCAATGCCAGTTCAAACGAATGATCGTGACAGCCCGATTTAATACACTGCCGATCTAATAAAATCCAATGTTCACAGTTGAAAACTTCCATTGGTAAATTCCAAATGTTTGCAGCAAGTATCGCGATAAAGTTTTACCTCAGTGTGAACCACTGTTTTAGTTCGCTTGAATATTTCTACTTTGAATTTTAAATATAATTTGAAATACTCTGCTGTTTGAAAATGCTAACTGTGGTCACAAAAGTTTGACAGTGTCAAACTATTTAATAACGACAACACAATCACAAGTAAAAACTGACGAGGCATTACAAAATACAGTTTTCAACTGGCATACCAAACATTCTCGCGCCGTTCTAGAACGCCAGTATTTCAACTGTCGATGCCCCAGTTCAAACAAATGAACTAAGATTAAGCAAAGGCAAAACTAATAATCGCAACGGGTCACGAGTGTACGGCTTTTATATTATATTAAGAACAAGCACATGCTTATCGCGACAAGACAAACAAGCTTCCTCCCTATTCTCTTAAAACTTCTATTATTCTATTACACACAACCTTTTATTTTATAAGTATTTATTTTGACCGTCGACGTCGACGAATTATGTTATTTTCAACATCGATGGCATCGTCCATACCGCCATATTTTTTATTTTCTTTCAATAGCTTAATACTTACCAAAACTACATCTTTGCCGCCCAATTCTGTCGGTACGATATGTTCGAGGGCTTCCTTTAACTTTATATATTCGATGGTAAGCGAATCATAATCTTTTTGTGAAACCCTCGGGTTAACGACATCAATTTCAAAAGCCGTTTGAGGGCCAATGCCAAGCTTCTTGTTCAAAATTGCGATCCTTGCTTCAGCGCGTCTGAGAGCGATCTGAGAATTCTCTGCACGGGTTTTTTCTTTTCTTCTCATTTTCTTTTCCGATTCACTTAGAATTCTTGTAGTTTCTTTAACTTCATTCATAGATCTGTTATTTTTTCCCTTCAGTTCTTGATGTTGTAGGGCCTGAGTAATTCTTCTCAGATCGTCCAAATTTAAATTGTGTGGATCTAATGACTTACTTTGTACACCGTCACCGCTCATGTTTACGATGTGCAGATCTAGATTCAAATAACACAGCAGAATTAAACTTTTAATTTTAATCGCCCACAGAACTATATATATTCCCCCCGTTAAAATGCTGGAAAGAGTTTGGTTTAGATTTAAAAACACTAACTAGTACTTGCACTGGCACTGAGTCGTGTCGGTCTGTGCGGTCACGGAAGTGTCACATGCATTTATACCTAGTGTAGTGACCCTCACAACCAATGACATCAGTGGAATTCCCGTGAACCCGTGAACTATATATATCTATATCTATGGGCATGTGTTATACTTGTACAGGTGCTTCCCACATATTAATAATAACTATTAACAGTTACGAAAAAATTGTGATAGCAAAAATATAGTGTTGCAATATTTTTCATCAATGACAAAGGGCAAATATTAAAATGCGAGACGGCGTCCTGCTGTTTCACTTGCTAACATAAGCAATGCATATATATATAATAATTTGCCACGTATATACCATAATATTAATCTTGTTTTATACACTGATTGTGATTCGGTAACAAGTAAATGAGTTATATAAATCATCCTAATATATACGTAAGAATTATGGGAAATTTGGGCGGGAGAAAGATTTGATGTGACTGTCTGAGTTGTAAGCTAGTTGAAGAATCATCTAGAAGTTATTCATCTATTCAAATCTTGAACATTATTTTGAAATTTCATGTCGCGTATATCTGTCTTACACTGCAAAATTTTCACTCGATCTGTTAACGCCTTTACAAAAAGAGGTAAGTTAACCTTCTGAAACCTTTGCTGAATGGAATATATATACCTGTAAGGTGTATCTTCAAAGTAATTATTATTTTATTGTTCGCCATACAAACATACAGAGATATTATTCAGCTGCTATACATGTTCTCGGTTATATCATTATTATTATTAGTGTTTATCAGAACTCTTTTGCAGTAGTTACACTGAATTAACGAGTCTAGTTAAATTATTTTAAGATTGTGCTAAAAATATATATACTGTACAATGATGTTGTAGAAGATACTTAAGTTGAAAAGTGCAATAAGAATTAGTTAACAAAATGTTCCCCTAGCTTATCTAAATCTATAAATCTATATAGTTGAGTTTATCGTGCAAAATCTTCATTGGCAAACTCTCGTGCAACAGTTTCCCGAAACTGACATATTTAATAAATTTCTTTCACAAACCTTTAGTTGACAATCCTATCTTTGTTTGACACTTCTCGCTTGAGCGGTGCACGAGAGAAATTTTTGCCTGTCAACACTTTAACGGTTTAAAAGACAAGATTTCATAGACAAATGGTGCGATGATGTGGTTGCTCATTACACATATATATCTCTTATAATTGACAAATTCGATTCGTTTAATTTTTTCAGGTTTATCTTGTTTTTGCATCTCATTGAATGGATTCAAAAACAACATGGCATTTGACATCAGATATAGCTTGTGCCTCATACCGAGTATTTCATTATGAAAACGCAGGTAATTTATAGAGCTTTATAATCTTTTAACAAATCGATTCCAATGAAATTAAGGTCATGCAGTAAAGCTTTTTTTGCGTTTTCCAATAATGATAACGTTGGCTCTAAAATTGAGGGACTGTGCATGGAGTGTTTGTTATGTGATCATTTATTAACCTGTTCTTCTTGTCGCAATTAATTTACTGTTTTAATGTATTTTTTTGTATTGAGGAAATGTTGTTGTACACTTTTCCTAACCCTTTATCCAGAAACAACTGTGTAGCGACACACATTTCAGGCCTATTTGAAACGTAAATTTATCGAGGGTACTATTTCTGAATCTTGTACACTGTAGAACTCGAATTCCCTATTTCCAAACAAGCGATTGTTATCGATTGCATGCTATATTTAGCCAACTGTTAACGAATAGCTAGTTACTCACAAGCTAAAAATACGCTTCAAAACTTCCAAATTCAAATGCTTTATTAAAAAATAATTGAAGCTAACGTAAATCGCTGGAATCTACTTTTAAATAATGTTTTCCCAATCGCCAGCCATCTCAACGGTTTATAAAGAGTTAGTACCTGTTCAATTGTATTATTCTTTGGCTTCTACCAGTAAAAACAATCAGAACGCGTTTACATTAAACTTTGACTTAATTTCATCGAATGTAATTTGTCCTTTTGTAAATTAATTGTTGTTTTATAATTTGGGATTGTGTTTTTTTAAATTATCAGCCGATGCATACCTTCGGGTGAATGGAACCGCTTTGGCTGGTTTTAAAAGATTTACAAAGCGACTGACACAAGCAGTATGGCGACGTTATTTCACGAAGTTAACTCTTTGTAGTAATCTACGTGTTTGGAATTTCAATGGCTAGATTCGTGCGAAATGCTGGAAAATTGAATTTGTACTTTTATGGATGTTTTATTATAAGCTGCCTGTTTCTTTTGCCATATTGTAATTGCACTACAGATGAGAAAAGTTCAAAGCACGATAGCAAAGCAGACAATATAAAACTCAAGGCTCTCCATAGCTCAAAAGATCACCTTTCCAGACACGTCGCTGGAAAGCTGAAGAATATTAAGGCTGCGTCTTCTTTTTTTGGCAAAGCTAAAACGCGGAAGAACGCACCGAGGAAAACGTTTGTGGATAAAAATGGTGAGAAGCGTGATAACTTTGTGACAATTCCCGAACCGTTTCCTGTGAATAGGTTTGAAGAACAGCCGTATTTGGATCGACACACGAACTACGTTCCTCAACCGTACCCCGTGGAACATGTGCAGTATGTTGCAAAACCCATTGCTGTTCCTGTCGAGGTTCCTAACCAGTTGAGAGTTCAGCATTTTCATATCCACAAGGATCGTAAGTAGTTGTAATTTATATTATTTGAATCGTTACTAATTAGATACCCTGTAACTCAATATAACGTTTGCTCTATCAGGAGTAAGGATCATCATAAGGATCCAGTAAGGATCATCTCATATTGATCCAGTGTTACTACAGCAGGAAACCTAAACTAAACTAAACTAACTTTATTTATACTGGATAGCTCTATTAGTTCTAAGCTGTTCTTACTAGAGTTCCAGTAAAGATCATCTCTTATTGATCCAGTGTTACCACAGGAGGAAACCTAAACTAAACTAGCTTTATTTATACTGGATAGCTCTATCAATTCTGAACTGTTCTTCCTAGAGATCCAGTAAGGATCATCTCTTATTGATCCAGTGTTACTAAAGCAGGAAACCTAAACTAAACTAACTTTATTTATACTGGATAGCTCTATCAGTTCTAAACTGTTCTTCCTAGAGGTCCAGTAAGGATCATCTCTTATTGATCCAGTGTTACTACAGAAGGAAACCTAAACTAAACTAACTTTATTTATACTGGATATCTCTATCAGTTCTAAACTGTTCTTCCTAGAGGTCCAGTAAGGATCATCTCTTATTGATCCAGTGTTACTACAGGAGGAAGCCTAAAGTAAACTAACTTTATTTATACCGAATAGTTCTATCATTCGTGAATAATAACTTAAATATGTCGTTTCTTAGTTCACAGAAATCCTTGTCTCAATGGCGGTATTTACGCCGTGGTCCATCACGATTACATCTGTATTTGTCCTAAAGAATTTCGAGGGAAGAACTGCCAAGGTAAATCTTTTCAATCGATTCCTTCATTCTTGCACACGCTGAGTGTTCGGAGTGAACAGATTAGTTCAGTCACAAGCGAAGATATCGGCTGTAGAGAAGCTTTTGATATGACCTTTCCCTGCCTAGCTCTAGTCTAATCAATTTTGTTCTTCCTCTTCAAGACAGGAATTACTGTTCCTCAGGCCCCTGCAAGAACAACGGCGCGTGCGAGGAGATGGTTAATGGATATAAATGTCTGTGCGCACGAGGTTTCATGGGTAATCACTGTGAAGGTAATGCCACGATGAATGACTCTTAGAATACGTCTTGATAAGCCCTTAGCCTGGCGTTAGCGTGGTTAGCAAAATTTGTTTTCATTTTAGAAAAGAATCCCTGTCAGCCAAATCCTTGTAAAAGCGGTGGATCGTGCACAATCTCTGACGAAGATGAAGGATTTCAGTGTATTTGTAGTTCTGGAAACAAAGGAAAACGTTGTGAATGTAAGCCCCACGCAAAACTGCGACGACTACGAGTTTCGTCAGATGGCGTGAGCAAACACACGCAAGAATCACGAATCTCGTACTCGTAGTCATTGCCACAGAGTACGTGTAATCCATCGTTCATCTGTCTCACTGCTAAATCTGTTTTACATGTTATTTAGTGGTCGACAAGTGCAAGCCAAGTCCTTGTAAAAACGGTGGAACTTGTGAAGAAAGAGAAGGAAAGTCCATATGCTTGTGTACGCACGAGTACAAAGGACCAACATGCCAAGGTGAGTTTTCAGGAAATTCTTTCCAAACCTCTGAAACTTTGGCACCTTCTTGATCAGTACGATTATCTTTTACAGAGGAAAGGCAGTGCTTCCAGCAGCCTTGTCTGAATGGTGCCACGTGTTTGGAGCATGACGAAGGTTTTAACTGCACGTGTCCAGCCGGGTTTACTGGAGAGTTTTGTGGAGGTAAGATCACCATGCAAGATCACAGCAGGACTTATGCTACTTTTCTGCACCTTTATGATTGATCAAAAGACATATGTTTTACCAGTGTCATTCTTTTATTGGAACTGGCCGAATTTGGAGTCACAAGTTTCCACAACTTGTAGTGAGGTGTTGATGAAGGTTGTCTGAAAGGTTGATTATCTCCTAAATGCAATGGTTGTCTCCCTATTTCAGAACACGTTTGTCATCCAAGTCCTTGCATGCACGAAGGAAGATGCTCTGTGGAATCTGGTCATTTTAAATGTGTTTGTCCTCCACTGTTTAAAGGCGATGTTTGCGAAAGTAAGTCATTTGGGTGTTTAGTTTGAATCATAATTTGTTCACCGATAGAATAATTAATACTCGGTATTTTTTACGCACCATAAAAAGTCTAAACTATCGTTTTAGTTCCACATCCCTGCCACATTCGACCGTGTCTTAACGGAGCTCTCTGTGTCGATTCCTTCAGCGGATACAATGGTTATCCTTCAAAATGGAACCATGGTTCATTGCATTACCTGTGCATCTGTCGTCCTGGTTATACAGGGTTGAATTGTGAAGGTATTGAAACGTTTAGCTTATGTGGATAGAAGAGGCATTTCACACTAAGGAATTTTGCACAAGAGAAATATAGGTTTTGGCAATCTACTTGTCTAGGCAGGCTAGTATTTATGGTAACATTAAGGCTAGCAGTATGGCAATAAGCAACTGACTTCGAGGAAGGTTAAAAGCGAAAAACTTAATCATTTGTTGGTACTGAGTTCTACTCTATTTTCTGCGTCTGATACATATCATTTCATTCGTCTAGTCGACGTATGCAAGAACTGTGATCCATACGCCAAGTGTATAAACAACACATGCATCTGTAATCCTGGTTATAAAGGAGATGGATTCCACTGCCAACGTAAGATTATAATGTTTCACCAGTGCCCTTTTGTCCAGAGCTCATAATATACCTAGTTGATCTCTGCTACTCTATGTAATTTCTGTTTATCCCCATATTTCCCCCTACCAGGTGAAGCTCGGTTATGCCACCCCAATCCATGCAAGAATGGAGCAACATGCAAAGAGAATCCTCAAGGTGGTTACGACTGTCTTTGTATCGGTGGTTATTCTGGCTCCAAATGTGAAGGTGGGTTTCATTTGTTTTGTCTCTTTCTGTGTGGACGCGGTCAGTGCGCTGCCTTTCCCCAACGAATCAATCTTTCATTACTGCACTGCTTCACCAAATTGATATGACTTTTACTTCGGGGTTTTCTGTCAAGGTCTTGTATCAAGGGCTTCCATGCATACCTTATATTACCTTGAAATAATAGTCTAAAAACTTTCTTCTTTCCCTTTACAGAAAAGAATCCGTGTATTCCAAGTCCATGCCGTCACAAAGGACAGTGCGTGGCTCTACAGAACGCTGATTACAGATGCGTTTGCCATTCTTCTAGATACAGTGGAAAAGACTGTGAAAAAAGTACGATAATTTTTTTTTCTGGAACCTAAAACGGACCGTTCTTTATTTGTATTTTCTTATTGACTTATTTCAGTCACTGATTCGTGTCTTCCTAATCCGTGTCTTAACGATGGAGAATGCATCAATGAGGACGGAAAACCAGCCTGTAAATGCAAAGGAAGTTTCAGTGGACAGTTTTGTGAAAGTAAGTATATAATCAACTGCACTGGATCTCAACCGTTGCCGGGGCTAATTCGTTTACATCTTGGCGTGACAATATCTGAAAACGACAGATTAATGACTGGATTTCAACGTGATTAAGATATCCTATAACAGCGGATGAAAGAAACTTTCTGGTCGTGTTTTGTAGCTTGTAAATGTCCGAAATCATTGGCCCCAAACACCGCTGATTTGATATGTGACGCTGTGGGAGAATGCGTGTGTCCTGGAGGGTTTACTCGGGATTCAAAGGGACAATGTTTGGCTGCAAGTATGTTATGATGCATTTCGTCTTCTTTGTACTATGTTATACTCTCCTCTTGTTATTATATTTCGTCATTGAACCAACACAAGCAAATCTTTTTTACTAGGGGCTTACTCGCCATGTCTGAACAAACCATGCAAGAACGGAGGGACTTGTAGACGAATCAGCGGTAGTCAATATGAATGTATTTGCGCTTCACCTTGGATTGGAAACAGCTGCGAGACCAGTAAGTTGAAAAAAGTTAGTTTAGTTTAGGTTTCCTCCTGTAGTAACCCTGGATGAATAAAACTTGTTTCCACTATTTTAGATGGTTGTTCTCCTAACCCTTGTTTAAATTCTGGGACTTGTTATGTTGAGGACAAACTGAGAAAGTGTCATTGCAAATTGCCATACACTGGTCCTCGCTGTGAGGAAGATCCGACCAATGGTAAGTTACCTCAGTACATTGGAATAAGTGACGATGATGATGATGATTTGCAGTCATCTCAAACACGACCAATGATATTGTTTTGTCGTTAAATTATGACACCACTTGCCAGCAGAGCTGGTGATGAGATTCGTGGTCAAGATGAGTCGTGAACTAGTCTTTACACTAACTTTATGCATTTTTTCACCAGTTGGTAAATCACCAAAGCGGGAGGTCTGCCATCCAAATCCGTGTGAAAATGGCGGATTATGTCAGGTCGTTGTTGGCGGTTACGATTGCAACTGTCCAGTTCAGTTCACTGGAGCTCATTGCGAAGGTCAGTGGGTCATGAAATACGCCTGCCATTTTCTTTTCTTCTTAATTTATAGTTATTTCAATCATGCGCAGTCCTGCCTGAATTCAAAAGATTATAATACCATACCCTGTATCTTTCGTTTTCATATTTAACCATTCTAGTCTCAACCAATCGCATTTTAAACACGAATTAAATGCTTTTTACAAAATCATTCTCTTCCTCCTGCAGTTGACAAGTGCTCCAAATGTGATGCAGAAGCTTTATGTATCGCTGGGATCTGTCGTTGTAAGAAAGGTTACATAGGGACTGGATTCCACTGCGTTGAAGGTACTGCCCCAAACTATATATTTCAAATCGAAAGATTTTATAAAAGGCACGACTGTATGCAACCGTGTGATTCTACCTGTGTGCAAAACACAGTCAGATATTGTATAGAGTTATCCACATTTTCTCAACTCGTTTTTCCCTCAGCCGGTGGCTCATCAAGTTGTAAGACATGTCCTTCAAACGCGAAATGCTTTCAAAATGTCTGCCAGTGTACTGATGGTTTCGCATTCAAGGGCGACCAGTGTGTAGGTAAGACGAGGTTTTTATAGTTGCTATTCTGTGTTCAATGGACACAATCACTTCACGTAACATTTTTAAACATTTTAATGTAGCATCTGTTAAAATTGGTTGAATCAAGTCTTCAAATAAAGGAAGAAATAAATAAAAATATAAACTGTCGTGCAAATGAATAGTCTTCAAGACGATTTAAGAGCATCGTGTATACTGAAACTCGTATACGAAAAGTATAATATAACGATTTATTACCTCGTATGAAAAATCAAAAAATCTAAGTTAAAGTCTCTTATAAAACGTATATTTTAAATAGTAATATTCTGGCTGTAACCCTGTAGAAATTACCAAACAAAGCTGAATAAAGTGTATCGCTATGGTCTTATGAATAAAATTTAAAGTTTCCATTTTACTTTTTTTTAAACTAGCGCTCATATTTCCTGAGACGGAACAAACTACTGAAACCGAACAAACTGTGACAACACCACCGACATCGTCGATCACACCCACAATATCACCAACAACACCCCCGATTACAAACCCTACTTCTCTTCCCACCCCCTCTTCTTCCCTTCCCACACTTCCTCCAAATGTTCCTACCACTCTTCCAAACCCAACTCCACCCTTTACAAACCCTGCTCCTCCTCCCTCTCCTCCAAACCCTGCTCCTTCACCTTCTCCTCCTCCCTCTCCTCCAAACCCTGCTCCCCCACCTTCTCCTCCTTCCCCTCCTCCAAACCCCGCTCCCCCACCTGCTCCTCCACCACCTGCTCCTCCACCTCCTCCTCCACCACCTCCTCCACCACCTCCTCCACCACCTCCTCCGAATGTTGCTTCGCCTCCACCCCCTCCAAATCCTCCACCACCACCTCCTCCCGTTGCCCCACCTCCTGCCCCACCTGTTGCACCTCCTCCCCCTCCTCCTCCACTTCCCCCATCATCTTCCGGCCCTCCTCCCTCTCCACCCGTGACTTCAGGAGCTTCCCCACCATCAACCTCATCTTTACAACCTCCACCTTTACCACCATTCTACAATGACTTCTACAAAAGATCAAAAATAGCACAAAAATAAAAACTCACGTATAAAAACAATTTTACAAACAGAACATTCATAATCCTCGAGTTGAAAACCTTGAAGTGTAAATAATATATTTTAAATAGATAAATAAAATGGTAAAAAGACTGCTTTTACAGATAATGACTCTGATGTTCAAGATTGAATATAGTTAAACTAATGACAGTACAAAAACATATCTCTTGGGTGGTAATTTCACTCGAAAAACTTTCGTCCACTAAATAATGAATTTTCCTTAACTTAAACACCTCACATAAACGAGATTATAACGAGTTCTTTCCCTCATTCGTCTAAGCGTGCGAGGATTTAGCCTGCTGTTCAATGGGCCACTCATAAAACCTGCAGTTTTGCTAAACAAAACGAGTCAAACGGCTCCAAAGACCAATCATGCGTGCGTAAAGTTTCGTCCTAAAATGACAACGGAAAATAGATATGTAAAATATATATTAAATGTTCACTTTATTGTGCTTTTACTGCAATTCCCAAACAATGCTTTCACGCAGATTTCTGTGTCGCCTAACGTGAACGGCAGCTACACAAGTGTTGGCGATGAAACATCTGTAAATACTTTTCATAACAGTTTGACAGCTGCTGTCAATGGCAAGTCGATTACAAAGACTGGAACGACTGGAACGTCGTCTCCCACAAGAGACGATGGTTTAGACGATGGTAAACAAGGTTATCACAACGAAACAAGTAAATTGGGAACTCATGATAGTGCAGGATTGAGAAATACATCGAAAAATTTGCAACTTGATTCCAATAAAGAAAAGGAGACTGCCCATATTCACATTTATACAGGTTTGTGATATGTGTTTTGAAGGACCTGAATCGCCTGCTATTTTCAGACTTATGTGTATGAATTAAATGCTTTGAAAACATAATGTGTATTTATCATAGTCCCTTGTAATTCACATTCAAGTCAAACTATTGTAATTCAGTTTTCTTAAGCGCTTTGGCCTGTCTGGTTAAGTTGACTTTGGTTAGGATCACGACAGCTTTTTCCTAGATACTTAGACAAGTATCGTCTGTTTCAGAAAATCCTTGCCGTAATGGTGCCACACTTTCTTTCACCTTATTTGGAACACGATGTGTATGCAAGCCTGGCTTTAAGGGAGATCACTGTCAAGACACAGACCACTGCTATTCCAAGCCTTGTAAAAACGATGCGATTTGTCGAGATCATAAAACAAGATACGAATGCCATTGCAAGAAAGGTTACAAAGGTTTCAAATGTGAAGGTGGGTGTTGAAGGATTTTTTTTATAAACCATTCATCAGAAAATTTTAGAAGATTTTTGCAACTGCATCTTGTTTACTGTCTGTATTCACTAGCGAAAGATAGATGCTATCCAAATCCATGTCGAAACGCGGGCATCTGCCATGAAAGAAATGGAATGGTTAACTGCAGTTGTCAACGTGGGTTCAAGGGTATCAACTGTACAGGTGGGTTTCCCCAATATGTTACTTATGTACTATTAATAAATGTTGATCCAGTGTTACCACAGGAGGAAACCTAAATTAGAACTAACTTTATTTATACACTGGAAAGCTCTATCAGTTCTAAACTGTTCTTCCTAGAGGTCCAGTAAGGATCATCTCTTATTTATCCAGTGTTACTACAGGAGGAAACCTAAACTAAACTAACTTTATTTATACTGGATAGCTCTATCAGTTCTAAACTGTTCTTCCTAGAGGTCCAGTAAGGATCATCTCTTATTGATTCAATGTTACTACAGGAGGAAATCTTAAATAAACTAACTTTATTTATGCTGGATAGATGTGAATAAATGTGAAATCAACCCGTGCAGAAATGGAGGTACTTGCATCCAGTTAGAAAAAAACCAGTTCTTCTGCAAATGTCTGCCTGAATACAACGGAACATTCTGTCGCAGTGAGTAATTTTTGTCGCGGTATAAAACCATTAAATGAGACATTGATGGAGTATTCTCATGACCAACAATGAATGATTGGCTTACACCGTTGCTTAGTTTGAAATGTTACCCATGGATATTGGAAATAAATATGCTGGTGCTGAACTCTGTGTTCCCTTTTAGAGCGAAATCGTTGTCTTGTTAATCCATGCAGAAATGGTGGAATTTGTTCAACCGACGAGAAGAAACCTGTCTGTAGTTGTCGTGAAGGATTTGTTTCCGAATTTTGTCAAGGTGAGCTCGAAGACGTTTTATACAACAGCGAGAAAGCACTCTGTTTAAGACTGGCTCATTCCTTTTGCGTTTAGATCATGTTTGCAAACCAAACCCTTGTCTTCACGGAGGAGTTTGTAAGGCAAAAGCGAAAGGACAGACCTGGCAGTTTCAGTGTTCATGTCCGAAGAGTTTCACCGGGAAAATTTGTCAAGGTTTGTCTATAAAGATTACAAAACAACTGCATGTGATTTAGAAAAGATGTGCACAAAAGATCCTAAGCATGCAAACTCTTAACGCTAGTTTCCACTCAGGAAAAATCTCCTTTGGATCGGAATGGACAGGAAAATTTCCTTTGTCGGTGAGATCTCAGGCGGCGTTTATACAAAGGAAACTTTTCTGTCCTGTCCGATCCAAAGGAGAATTTTCCTGAGTGGAAACTAGCCTTTATACAGCTAAATATTAACCTTTCAGAAAGCTAGAAGCTGATCCATTTTGAACACATACAATTTGGCTCCATTGCTCTTTTTCTTCTTCTTTTTTTTAATAGTTGCCAGTCCATGCATGAGTAAACCCTGTATGCATGGTCGATGCATTGACGCCACGAATGATCCACGCTACACGAGACTCACTGGTGGTTATATCTGTCTTTGCGAGAAGGGATACACCGGGAAGAATTGTAGAAGTAAGGTGTCTGTTTAGCAGCTCTAACAGGCCAGATAAAACTACGTTATGAAATCTTCAATGAGATATTTGGATGAAAGATAACCTGTTCTTGTCCAAACGTAAAGAATAATCTTTCGTTTGTCTCTTTCCTGCAGAAAAGATTTGCGACAGTTGTCATAAAAATGCCAAATGTCAAGGCGGTCATTGTGTTTGTAAACCTGGTTTTGTTGGAAACGGACTGGCTTGTAAATTAGTTTGTAAGTATTCCCTTAAAACAAATTGACTATTGCTGTAGTTCATTCCACCATCGTAGACATCCATAGGCTGAATGCTAGGATACCTCGTAACTTTTAACTGCCATTACTCGGAGAGTGAAAGTCGACATATCTTAAGGATGCACTGCCTACTGCTAGTTGGTTGTCAGGCAATATTTTACCCCTGAATGGATCTATTCGAGCTGCATTCTTTGTAGTTTGGTTAAACTTTCGCCTGCAAGGATGATCAACATCAATTCACGTCATTACCTCTGTCTTTCTTTCAGATAAGACTGGTCCTTGTGCTCTCAAACCATGCAGAAACAACGGTGTTTGTGTGAATATGGATGAGACCACATACGACTGTCGATGCTCTGCCAAATATACTGGACGGAACTGTGAGAGTGAGTGTTATTAAGCATGCAAGGCATTTTTCTTCCAACGTTTGCACACACTTTAAACAAGAATGTGCATATAATACCACAAGCGACCGCTACATTTCACTTCGTCTATTTTTAGCTCGTTTGAAATGCGTTCCCAATCCTTGTAGAAATGGCGGTGTTTGTTTTGAAAGTGGCAAGACATTCCGTTGCGTTTGCCAGAAGAAATTCACTGGAAAAGATTGCTCGAAACGTACGTTTCTCATTCACTATCTCTCGCATTGAAAGCTTTGTAGAAATCTAGCGGGATAACAGCTGTATCCGTTCGATCCATTTGCCATTATCCGGTATAATGATTTTGAAGGTCGCTCTAAAGTTGCTCATAGCTTGACCCAGATGAAACCTTAGTATTTTCAATGTAAGTTTTCAATTTTATAGTATAACATGTCCCCGAAAACCTTCAATTTTCCCTGTCATTTAAGGCGTTGTTATCAAAGATCGATGCTCACCCAACCCGTGTAAATATAATGGGAAATGCAGGACTTCAGAGGATGGAACACGAGCATTTTGCAAATGTCCAACGTACAAATTCAAGCCACCGTTTTGTGGTGAGCACGAGAAAGCTAGGTTTAAAGCATTCTGGGCTCTTCAGTTCACAGAACGACGACCAACGATGTTTGTGTTTTCATAGATTGCGACTGTCCCAAGGCAAACCCATTACGGCAGAGAAACAGCATCAACTCATTTTGTGACAAGAAAGGAGATTGCATCTGTCCACGAAGCAAAATGTACTTGACGCCTTGGGGATGTGTGCCTTCTGTATTGAGTGAGTGTGAGTGATATTTGATTAGAGTAATTGGTAATCGTCCTTTCACGGACATAAACAACCTTACCTAGTTTAATCGAACAAGGTTTTAAAATAAGAGTATTTTTTAACTTCTTTTTTAGTGGACAACCCATGCAGTGTGAAGCCGTGTAGAAATAATGGCACCTGCTTTAATTTCAGTATTTCTCCGCTCACACAAAATGACCGCAGCTACCGTTGTCGTTGTGCGATTGGTTTCACTGGCTCCCGTTGTGAGATAAGTAAGTTTGTTATAAGTTGACAGATGTTTTACCCATATTGCTTTTCCATTCGACGAAGATCATCTCTTATTGATCCAGTGTTACTACTAACTTTATTTATACTCGATAGTTCTATCAGTTCTAAACTGTTCTTCCTAGAGGTCCAGTGAAGATCATCTCGTATTGATCCAGTGTCACCACAGGAGGAAACCTAAACTAAACTAACTTTATTTATACTGGATAGCTCTATCAGTTCTGTCCAGTAAGGATCATCTCTTATTGATCCAGTGTTACTACAGGAGGAAACCTAAACTAAACTAACTTTATTTATACTGGATAGCTTTATCAGTTCTGAACTGTTCTTCCTAGAGGTCCAGTAAGGATCATCTCTTATTGATCCAGTGTTACTACAGGCGGAAACTTAAACTATAAACTATACCTTATTGTTTTTAGAGTTACCGGACCCGTGTTTACGTAATCCGTGTAGAAACGGAGGTGTTTGTAAAGCATCGAAAGGAGTCGCTGTCTGCCATTGCAAGTCCGGCTACGTACGACCATACTGTTTACGACCTCGTGAGTAATCGTAACAAATAATGATCTTGGTGTTGTGCTATTTACCTTTCCGAGGTGAAAATTTCACACCCCAAATTTACTGATTTTAATGTTAGTTTCTCTGGAAGAGAAGGGGGAGGGGGATATGAAATATACCTCGATGTTTATTTTGAATTATCTTCTGTCTTCTTCCAGCCCCTGGTGTGAGCAAATGCTACCCCAACCCATGTTTATACGATGGTGAATGTTTTGAAAAAGATGGCGGATATTCCTGCAAGTGTAAAAAACACTTCACTGGAACCCATTGTCAAAGTACGTCGCATTTCATATATTCTTCAAAACATCTTCATGTCTCCTGTCCTGGTGAGGACTCTTAGGTCAAAGCTTTTTTTAGTAGCATTAAATCACTACGAGATGGTCCTTTCTGAGCGCCAAGATATAATTATATATTTTTTATTTAGTTTTTATGGATGATTGCAAGGATTGTAACTCAAAATTTGCTCATTGCTTCCGCGGAAAATGTGTTTGTAAACCTGGCTACGTTGGAAATGGGAAAGTTTGTGCACCATCGTTATCAGGTAAGTTTAACCTCACCAGCACAGACCGAGATAGCCTTTCTTAAATGCTAAACTTTGATTGTAAACCATCGATAAATCTCTTTAAAGGTAAACACTATAGGTGTCTTCATACCGTTCATAAATTTCAATCACGATTGCTTCCTTATTTTAACAGATGTAAAAGCTACAGATACTCCTATCATTAATGTAGTTAGGAGGACTAAGGTAACCCTAAAAAGTCCGCAACAATAAAAAATGGAAACTAAAATTAACCAACTTATGACTAATAGTAAGTGAATGAAAATTGGTAATCATATAATTATTGCCTTACATTATTAACTTGATGAAAAACTTGATGATCGAGAGTTACAAAATACTAATCAAAAACTAAATTTTAAAAAATATTTATATAATTATCCATAAATTGCATAAACAACTTGTTAATTTCTAATAAATCTTGTAAAATAATATATTACAAAATTGTTGCTGTTTTGTTCGCTTTTGTTGGCTTCTGTTACCCTTTTGTTACCTTTTCGTTGTCCTTTAGTTGTCCTTTAGTTTGTCTTTTAGTTGTCCTTTTAGTTGTCCGTTTGTTACTTGACATCTAGTTGTCCTTTCGTTGTCCTTTTTGCTATCTTTTGGTACCCAATAGTTGTCCTTTGTTGCCCTTTCGTTTCCCTCTGTTACTCACTCGTTACCATTGCGTCACCATGCATTTGGTTATCTTTTTTTTTGCGCTTTTGTCACCCTTCTACTACCCTCTCATTACCCATTCCTTACTGCCTCGTTGCCCTTTCGTCGTTTTTTTCCCGTTACCCTTTCGTTGCCCTCTCGCTACCCTCCATAACATTTTTTTCCGACACCACGAACTTGTGGTTAGTTGTTTACTAATTAAAGGGGCGATCAAGCTGGGCACCTGTTCCATTCTTTCAAATATTAATAACATTTGAATATTAACTTCTAAAACAAGCGAATCTCCGTTATCTTGGCCACTAAGATGAAATGTAGTCGCAGTGCAGGAACCGTACTTTTCTTTCTTCATTTTCTATCATCTCTGGTCCATTCTAAAGAAGAACGTAGATCTTACAAAAGATCATTCAATGTCCATAACAAAGACCTGCTGGTTGACGCTTTGAAATCATCAACGGCCAGCCAAGCTAAGGACAGTGCTGGGAAGAAACGCTTTTTAAGTTCGGCAGAGAAAAGACATTATAATTCTGTGAATATTCCAAAACCCGTCGCCTACAGCAATAAACCTGATGTGTTTATTAATCACGTGCATGTAAATAATGGAGGTATCTGCTGATACCATAAATGTATTTTTTATATATCTGTTTTCTGATGATTATATCTGCATTAATACGACAACCATATCAACATATCGAAAGAAACCTTAACTCATTCTATTTATACTGGAGGATATCTTCATCAATTCTAAACTGTTCTTCCTAGAGGTCCAGTAAAGATCATCTCTTATTGATCCAGTGTTACTACAAGAGGAAACCTAAACTAAACTAACTTTATTTATACTGGATAGCTCTATCAGTTCTAAACTATGCTTCCTAGATGTCCATGCAGTAAGGATCATCTCTTATTGATCCAGTGTTACTACAGGAGGAAACCTAAGTATTATCCATTTTTGTGATGAAATGATATATTTATTGTTGCATATTTTCCCACAGTAAATCCATGTCAAAACAGTGGTATAATTTTGCACACACCAGGCGGATTTGAATGCTTGTGCAAAAAGCAATACAAAGGGAAACATTGCGAAGGTAATATTCATTACGTATATTTTGTAGCGTGACAGTGTATTTGTACATATGCAATAAAGAAACAACTAGTGTAGCGAGACTGGAAATGGACAACGCATGAAAATATCACAACAGGATTAAGTTTAATATAACACTCCATGTATGAGTTCAAAATGTCTTCTACTCCCCACATTGTACGCTTCATTATGTTGTACGAATCTTCGTTTTCTAGCAAGAAATTATTGCTATCCCAACCCATGTGTTAACAGGGGAAATTGCGTTGAGACGAAGCATAGTTTCGTCTGCAAGTGCTTGAAAGGTTTCAAGGGTGCAACATGTTCAGGTATGGGGATGTTTATTACGTTTATATAACCTGAACTTCAAGAATGCAACTTTTATCAAATTGCATACAATAGTTTGAATGACTGTGTGTTTTTTCCATTAGAAAAAGATCCGTGTGCTCTGAATATTTGCAAACATGGTGGTACATGCATTGATGTTGGTGGATCTAAAGTACAGTGCAGTTGTCCAATAGGGTTCAAGGGGAACACCTGTGGAGGTAACTTCAATAGTTTTATGGGTACCAAATTGTAATACTTTATTATACCTTATTGCACCTCATGTACACCCCATCATACCTTATCACACCTTATATATACCCAATTATACCTTGTTATAGAAATTGAGTACTGTGATCCTAATCCCTGCCTTCACGGTGGGACATGCAAGGAGAGCAACGGGAAGTTTGTTTGCGCATGCGTGCAAGATTGGAGAGGATCTATATGTGAGAGTGAGTGTTAGTTACAATATTCCGTTCTAAGCAATGGATATGCGTTTACTAGAGGTCCAGTGAGGACCACCTCTTCTTGTTCTAGTGATAGTACTGGAGTGACTTATATAAACTAAATCAACTTCATTTGTTTTGAATAGCCCTTTCATTTCCTTCTGGAGTTCTCGTTAGGATAATTTATTTTTGCAACAACATAATTCGTTGTTGATCCTTTGTTATTGCAGGAGGATATTTAAACCCCGTTTACACTACACTCGGTTTATCGGCACGGCACGGCTAAAATTGGTACCCGTACCCAATTTTTTTAGTGTTCAGGCTACCAAAACAAAGGCCGAGCACGGATGAAATGGGCACGGGTACCCATTTTAGCCGTGCCGTGCCAATAAATCGAGGTAGTGTAAACGGGGCTTTAAACTACAGTAAACTTTTTTTCTGTAGTTCCACATCGCTGTCTTGTGAATCCTTGTCGAAATGGCGGTCAGTGTATCGAAGGGCAAACAGCGACAATGTGTAAATGCAAGGAAGGCTTTTATGGTACTTTTTGTCAAGGTAAACGAAGATGAGGACGATAGTAATGTGCTTTTAATGATATTTACGAATACGACTGTGATAATTGTGTGTCATGCATGTATTATTGCAAATGCTCCATCCTCTAGTTTAGTTAAACAATCTTTCTAGCTTTCATTCAATACATCATTATTCAATATATTTATCCATTTAGACCACGTTTGTCTGCCTAATCCTTGCTTCAACAAGGGAGAGTGTTCAGTGGTAGTTAAACCTGACAAAACCTGGACATACAAATGTCAATGTCAGCCGACGTTCAAAGGCGAAAGATGTCAGGGTAGGAATAAATATATCTTCAAGTGATTCAGTTTAGGGAAAGGTGAATATCATCATGCATTTCGCCTTCGAGTGGAGTTGAGCGAACAGCATTGTTTGTGGCATTGCAGCGCCATTGTTTATGTCCATTGATGATTTAAATCTTTTGTGCATCCGAACTCGTCTTTGAATGATTTCCATAAGATTTGAATATGCCAGCAAGCGATGTTTTCCCTCAAACGTGTAAACACAAGCGTTCGAGAAAGGTCTAGCATGATATCAAAAATTTTCACTGAAAGAATACTGATATTTTAACAGCTGAATTATTCGTAGTACTTGAACATGATGGCTAGGAAAATGCCCTGAATATCTTCACTTATTTTCCTTACAGTTCGCAATCGTTGTGCTTTGAATTTGTGCAAAAATGGTGTCTGTATCGACGATTCCAGCAAATACCACGTTGATCTTCCTCTAAATGGATATCTCTGTATTTGCAAAGACGGTTTTAAAGGAGAGAATTGCGACCGTAAGTTAAAATTGATTTTAAAACGACCTAAAAGAGGCCATTCAATTTTGAATACTTGGTTTGGACAACCCAAATGACGGGAATTACCGCATTTCTTCATTACACAGTATTTTACTGTGTCTGTTGCCAAACCATTTCAATCGTTAGTGAAAGATTAATGCCAGTTAATGGTTCAATTACAGACTGTATCTGGCAAATAAAGCTTTGCTTTTTTGCTCCATGCAAATAGCAATTTAGATCCAGCTTAAATTTTTTAAGATGTATCGTTATGTGCTAATTCAGTACATTATTATTTCAATAGCATTTGTATATTTGTTTGTACGAAGGTAACGTTTGCGACAACTGTCACAAGGATGCTGTGTGCCTTTATGGGCAATGTATTTGTAAGAATGGTTTTGTCGGAAATGGAAAGACCTGTAAAAGTAAGTCTAGTTAATGGAACCTGAGAGGGAAGTCGAATTTAGAAAATTCCTTCGCTTGCACGTACTTTGTAGCTTGCAGCGTCTTTACGGTCATGTTTCCGGCTTTTTAGAATCGTCCGACATTTGTTCGCCGAATCCCTGCAAGAATGGCGCTAAATGTGTCCACGCTCCCAAAGATTCTTTCGATTGCGTTTGTGTCCGAGGATTCACTGGACCACTGTGTGAGAGTAAGTTTTGGCGATGATGTTGTAACAGTACGTGTGCTTAGGGAGGGGGGGAAGGGCTCAGTAGTCGAATATCTCTGTCGAGATTCTTTTTATATTTTAGGGGGGGGGGAGGTGGAAGCACCTTCACGTATTTAGGATTTGGGCGTGCTTTAGTTTAGTAATCGCTAGACAACCCAAAGGGTTTAGTTTAGGGTGTCATCAGAGATGTGGTAAGATCATAGTTTGCAATTTGCAGAAGTGTTGTGGTTGTAGATAAGTCAGAGGATCGTTGAATATGTTACCCACCCACTCCCTGAGAGTATGTGAATTATTCCCCCAAGTTTTCAAATCGATATTGATTGTTTCCAGGTGTTACCTTGTGTGATCCTAATCCTTGTAAGAATGGGGCGACTTGTGTTGCAGCTGCTGGGAAGTACACGTGTATTTGTCCACAGGGAAAGGCTGGACCCGACTGTGAGGAAAGTAAGTGATGTTGAGTTACAGTTTTTTTACAAGACGTGGTTTAATTTCCAGTTGATCTGTTTTTCTCTCGAACACAATTCTACCAGCCTAGTACAACGCGCTTTTGTATCAAAAAGCCCCTCGAGTGTCCACCAAACACATTAGGACCTACATCATTCCTGTAATTTCTTTATGTAGTCAAAAAGATAAAATGTACTCCTACATTTTGTCAATATGGTGGAATATGTAAAGAACCCGAGGACCCAACTAAACCGCCATTTTGTATCTGCAAAACGCACAAATTTGTTCCTCCTAATTGTGGTAAGTGCAATGTTTATAACGTGAGTGCCTTGTTATGAGTTAAGGGCCTTGTGGTGTGAGCTATTTATTCCAATAATGATATTTAAAACTCCGTATCTGCAATATCATATAATGATATTGTTCCTGGACTTGCGTTTTTATGAAAAGCAGTGTTGTTTATATATCAGGACAATCTACGTTGGTTTGTGTCTGAATTACCTGCAACAGAGATCAAGTATCTCACGTGATTCAATTTGACTTTTTTCTTCCATAGCCTGTGCTTGTGCGCCTGCAAACAAGAACGCCGATTCCTCTGCGGTTGATCCAGTTTGTGACGCAGATGGAGACTGCGTTTGTGCAGATGCATCCAAGACGTTTGTTACTGGCACTGGCTGTATTGTAGGAAGTGAGTGCATTTCATTTTTTAACAAATTTCATCCTATGTTTCTGCATGGCAGTTTTTCGACTTGGGTCACTCGGAATCGTCCATTGAAGTCTATTTTACTTCTCTGCAGCGATTCATCTTTCATATATATTCGTTTGTCTATGAGACGGCCGGACTCTTTGGTTGGTTAATAGGAAAACGTTTGAATAAAATTGTTGCTTTTCTTTATTCAGAGACTGACCCCTGTCTTAATTTGCTCTGTCAAAACGGTGGAACAAAAGAAAGATCTGGCTCCACTTGCATTTGTCGATGTCCAACCGGTTACACAGGAGCAAGATGCGAGACAAGTATGGACGTTTGTAAATTATACTTTGTCGAACCTTCAGATGCATGGCAAGGAAACGATGTTTCTTGGTTTGTCCACCTTCGCATGTATGGCAAGGAAACGATGTTTCCTGGTTTTTCCACCTTCTTTTATCACTAAACTTGTTTTAAACCTCATTTAGAAACAGGTCGCCAGTGCATTCCTAACCCGTGCAAGAATCAGGGAACATGCGAGGAGAGTTTAGGACGAATTAAATGCAACTGTCTGCAAGGATTCAGACAACCTTTCTGTGAACCCGAGACGATAGCAAGTACGCGTGTTTCAATTCATTTACAGTTCATAAGACTGCGTAAACGTTTCTTGTCTTTCAAAAGTAATACCCTGGCAATAAATACGTTTCTAAACAGTATTCGGTCATATTCTAATGTATTAACTTCCATTTGTTATTAATAAACTCAGATTTCAAACCGTGTGTACAGAATCCTTGTAAGAACGGTGGACGATGTCTGGCGTTGAAAAACGGTTACGACTGTCAATGTTCTCCGCAATATACTGGACCTCATTGTGAAGGTGGGTGACCTCAATTACACTGGATTGCTCGTAACACATCCATTTTTCCATTCTCAAAGTGTCAATGGACCAGGCCATTACCTGGATACATTTCATTTTCATTTTTCTGATTTTCAGTTGATAAATGTCTAAAATGCCACAAAGACGCGTACTGCATTCAGGGCGTGTGCACGTGCAAGGAGAACTTCGTAGGGAATGGATATAACTGCATCGTTGAACTGGAGAAGTCAGGTATAGGGCTGGTGTGACCATCGACCTTCGTCATCCGTTAGATCAATCAAGATTCAATTCATCCGTATTTCAATCTTACCTTCCAGATTCCTCTTGTTACAAATGTCCTGTGAATACTGTGTGTAATTTGGGAGTTTGTGAATGTCGCCAGGGTTATGTGATGCAAAAGAGAAACTGCATTCGTAAGTTTCTAACCAATTTGTTTCGTTTTTACCTGATCTGCGAACAAGTTCGTCTTCATTTTTATGAAATGATAACTTCAGTCACAATTGTGTTTCCTAATTTCAGCGATAACAGTTTAAACTGGGTAGTAATTTGTGATCGAATCGCGTACTCCGGTCAGTCCCAGAGCAAGTTCGAGTGTGTATAATGTGTATAATATACTGGGAGCCGTGCTGAGTGCATGAATTATGATGTCATCTCCATGTAAACCACTTCAAAAAAAGATGAATTTTTACTAACAATCTTGCTGGTCTTGGCTGAACTGTAATGAAAACACCGAGCAATTTAACTCATTATACAAATAAAACAAACTAACTTTAAATCCGCCAAAATAATGTGGCTCAAATAACAGTTATTCAGTTCACAATGTCAAGTGTTCTGCAATATAATAAATAATTGTAAAAATTATTAATAATATAAAGCATATTGATATAGAGTTAATGAAAACTTCAAGTTCAGTTTTATAAAGCAATAAACAATTAAAAATACATCTATAAAATAAAAATAAATACTTTGCTCAACAAGTTATTTATTTTGTAAAATTTAATTTTGTCTATCTAATCTTCGTCGTACTATATGAAAGATATGGGCTTTGTTTATTTATTTATTGAATGCCTCAGCGATTCTACCGGTAGTAAAATTGTCATCCTTGTGCTAACGTATTTAATTATTTATTGGTCTTCAAGATTAAAGCCGATTTCAATTGAAATCTATTCGATTAAAAAATGTTACTCAATTTCTCGGTCATAGAGTCGCTCAGTCTTCTTTGTTTTTTCCTGACCATACATCAAGACGAAGCAAAACTTGGGAAACACAACTCGAGCGGTGAACATCGCCATGTAAAAACGTTAAAAAAAGACTTTGCTAAACATAAACCAAATTTAAATAAACTTCACGGATCGAAGGTTGGGATAACAAAGTCGGGAGAGAGAAGACAATTTCTTGCCGTCGAAAATGGGCAGCTACAAACGCAATTATCACAACAGGGAGGCGAATCTTCATCACAAACACAAGAAATTGTATCTAACTTGCCAACGGCGTCTTCTTTGAATGGAAATATTGAGACCGAAACGAGACCTCTACCAAACAGACAAGACATTTCATCGATCGGAAATCTGCCTGCGGTGAATTTAAACCCGCTTTCAAGCGCTACAAGTCCGTTAATCGAAGGTGGTTTGACAGCGCCGAATCTGCCGAAACTCGATTATAATTTCTTGCCAAACGGAATCGAGTTGGAAAAACAGACACCCGTGCCTTATGACAAGCCAGAGTTTCGATTGGTGCCGAAGTTAGTTCCTTTCCGCTACACAAAGAAACCAGATGTTCATGTATCGCACATCCATTACCATCAGGGAGGTAAGATTCCAAAAAACCATAGCCTCAAAATCTTGCTTTACTAATTTATAGTTGGTTATAGCGTTATCAATAGATCTCCTCCCACTTACTTTTCGGAGTAACGGTAGTTGATTATCAATTTAAGTTGCAACAACTGAATTTCTCATAAATACCGCACCATCACAACTCAAATTGACTCTGATAATAGACTATCATCACGCGTCACGAACTTCAAAATTAATCCTATATTATAAAAGTCCATTCTATACGTTTAAATAGATATTGTAGAGTTGTGTCTCTGTACGAGGATATTGCTTTAGAGATGCTTGTGAACTGTCTAGCTAACCGCTGTAGTCATTGTCGCTCTTCATTTCAATATTTTTCTCAGTTAACCCATGTCAAAATGGCGGTCTGGTTGTCCAATCTCCTGGTGGATATTCGTGTGTTTGTCGCAAGCAGTTCAGAGGAAAACATTGCCAAGGTAAAGGTCACCTTTATCTTTGTTTTCATACGACTTATTAATCTGTTATCGGGCGTTATATTACAAAGTTTACTTCTGTATTCCGTTTCAGAAAAAGATCATTGTTTTCCCAATCCGTGTAAAAATGGCGGGAATTGTATCGATCACGTTACACACTATCGCTGTAAATGTCCACATAAATATCGCGGTTTAAAATGTGAAAGTAAGTCGAATTTTTGGCCTAAACAGATGATTATGTTTTTAACCACATATTGAGTGCATTATATTTGTGTTAACTCAATTCAAGAGATTTTTGGAGCGTCTGATCTAATGCTCAGTGAACCCCTAAAAGAAATGACCCCCCCTGTAATTTGATTTTTTTCTTTTAATACCGTAGTTCTGAATACCTGCGCAAAGAATCCTTGCAAACACGGCGCGACTTGTTTGGATCTTGCTAGTGGCCTTCGCTGTGTCTGCCCTGTTGGATATAAAGGAAGATTCTGTGCAGGTGAGGGAAGTATGGTGGTTAGTTTAGGTTGGGACGAATATAGCCAGCCAGTAAAAAGATCATTCTTATTCTTCATTTTAGACTTCGACTATTGTAATCCGAACCCGTGCAAAAATGGCGCGAAATGCGCAGAGAAAGGCCTAGGTATCATATGTACGTGCACCAACGAATACAAGGGAAATAGATGTGAAGGTAAGTACGCGATATTCTGTTTTCACGAGGATTGCCCGCCGCTCTGTTACGAATCCATCAGGATCAAAATCCAATGTAACTCTCAAAGAATTCCTATTGTTTCTCAGTGAAGAAAGTTTGTGTTACTAATCCCTGTCGTAACAAAGGAAAATGCAACGAGGATAAATCAAGTTCACCTTGCGAGTGCGCTCAAGGTTTCACTGGAAAATATTGTGAAGGTAAAGCTTCGAGTTCCGTTTAACTTTTGCAGAAATTTGTGAAATTGATTCAAATATTTTAAGACTGGTTTCCACTCGGGACGGTATTCTTTGTGAAAAGGTAAATGGCTGTCAGATCAGGTCGAGAACCTTCCTTTGTTGCCTGACATTCTTTTCTTTCCTTCTTATCTAGAAAATGTTTGCAAACCAAATCCATGTCTCAACAAAGGTGCTTGTTTATTCAAGAAATCTGAAGTCTCGTCCACGTGGCTTCCTGTCTGCCAGTGTCCTCTAACTTTCAAGGGAGACAAATGTGAAAGTAAGGGTTTAGCTTGCACAAACTTAAACTAGCTTTCTTTATTTTGAATAGCTCCATCAGTTTGAACCGTTTCAAATTCCATCTGTCCGCTAAATCTTGATTTATCTTCTTCATTCCAGTCCCCAACCCGTGCGCGGCTAAACCCAGTCCCTGCAAACATGGCATGTGTTCTGACGCTTTCAATGGTCGTCGTATGGACCTCTTGTCTGATCATTACGTGTGCATGTGTGAGAGGGGATATATGGGACAGAAATGTGACGGTAGGGGATGCTCAAGGGTTTTTTAAACCTATCTTTATCCTCAAATGCCTCAGTGCGAATTGTGCATCAGAACAGATGAAAATATCTTGCAAAACGAATTTGCAATACACGAAAGCGTTTCGGTTGATAGTTTAACGTTGAAAAGAATCTTTGAAAGAGCAAATGTGTTCATTCCAACTTCTTCTAGTTTCATGCACGATCTTAAACACGTTATCGCTCATGAGTTATGTTCGTCTCTTTCCAACTTGTAGTTCGTATTTGTGACAAATGTGATAAAAATGCAAAGTGTCTCAATAAGGAATGCGTTTGCAACGATGGTTACGTTGGAAAGGGGCTCGAATGCAAAAGTAAGTAAACCTCACAACTTTATCATATTTCGTAGCAATTTTCGGTGCGATCTCACCCTTCTGACAGATGCAAAGAAGCGAAAAGTTATGAATGCTTTGATTTGAAGGTGCTTTTATTCAAACATATGCAACCTATTCACTTTAATAACACTCATTTTAATAAAGAAATCTTAACTGTAATCGTAACTTTTGAAAGCGCATTGCGAAAGCGTCTAGCTTAACCACTTCCGCCTCACCATGAACGATCTCTCTACCTTTGTCTTCTCTTAGAGCTTCCAGATCCCTGTATCCCGAATCCTTGCAAGAATTTTGGCGTTTGTGTTCCCGTTAAATCCTCCTACGATTGTCGTTGTCCGTTCTCGTTTGTCGGAGCGAGATGTGAACAGCAACTATGAGGACGGTTATGTCAAGTATCGTATACCTTTTCCTCGTCCAGGGAAGATGGTCTATGATCATCCAGCGACCACATATAGATCAGTGAGATCTACAGGGCAACATTGGGTTATAGTGAAAACTGGCATTCGTAAGACCATTCTTAGAGGAAGAGAGGTTTTAGTTCACTTCGCATTTTGTCTGCATTAGATGTTAAAAACATGTTTCATCCATTCATTCATTGGAAAGAGGCTTGTATGGATTAACCGTTACCTTATTCCTTGGCGCGAATGCGCTCGGGAAACGACGTTTTCTGGAAAAATGGGAAAGTTGCGAGCAGATGCTATAGGAAGTATCTTTGGGAATATACAGTTTAATAGTAGGAAGGCTATGATATATGTTTCCAGATATTGGAATATATATATATATATATATATATATATATATATATATACATATATATATATATATATATATATATATATATATATATATTTTAAACAGTATAAGCTCTTCAAAAAAATCGTTATCAGAATATCCTCACTGACAAAAAATGACATATATATGTGTCCTTTGTCTGTGACTCAATATTTTTATAAATTATCTAATTTGTAAAGCGAAATATGAATTCTGGTTAATAAAATAATATTTTTTAAATGTTTGTAAAAATCTATAATCGTTTGTTCGACTCGGCTATTCCACCTATAACCTATTTGTTATATCAACCATATACGCTATTTTTACCTGTTTTATTTAATGGATTTTGACAGAAATGTTTTCTAAACCTGCTAAAAGTCGTTACTGTTTAATGTTAGTTGTATATTTATCTTTGAATAGCTTGAATATGTGGCCTTTAACGTGAAGATTTCAACTAATCGCCTTATTTCAGCTTATCGGACAAAGAAAAGTTTTAAAATGTAAGTTGAAGTGCAATGATGAAAAAAAGAGAAATGTTTACTACAGTTCAAAGTTAACATTTCAAATTTAACATATGTGTTTTATTTTAAATACCAATATTATCTGAACAAAAAAAAGGACAAATTATATGTTTATAGTAATATTATGTTTATAGCAGTTAAGAAAAGGTTCACTGGAATTACTAAAGCGTTACCAAACGCTTTTGGCCACCAAATGTAAACAAATTTTTATATATATCAACTTTCTTCAATGGCTGAATGAATACTCTGTTGCATCTAGTATAATTAGATTTAAGTATAGTCCAACTAACCGTTGATATATCTTTTTTTTATGTCGTGACTGTTAAAGGCAGTCCATTGGTTTTGGGAAGATCATGAACTGCAGTATTTGGATTTTGTGTGAAACCAAGATGGCGTAAAGTGTTGTAGTGTTGTATTATTAACTGATATGATGGAGTTAATTCATAGAACTATGATCTGGACAATGCTGCTAGTTTTGTATCGCGTTTTACCTTTAAACGCTCGTGTTTCTCAATCTACGAGTGGAAATATAATTTACAAAGCCAATGAAAATAAATGGCCAGCAGATTCATATCACAACAAACTAGAACGTTCGTCAAAGCCTGGTAAAAGGCAAATGGTGTTCAGCGTGAACGGAATACAACACATATACGAAAATCCTGGTAAAGACAGTGCTTACCAAGGCTTAGGTAATAACCTTGGACAGGCGAACTTTGGGAACCCCGTGGAAAGAGAAACAGCAGGTTCAAATTCAATGGCGCGACAGTTTTCAACGAGTTCGTTTGCTGGTAATGTTGAGGAGAATTTGTCTCCAACACCAAGAAGTGATTCTCCTTTGCCTGAGAGAGGAGCTTCGTATAAATCAAATGCACAAATGGCAGACATACATCTCGAAATGAATTCTGCAGGAGACATACACAGTCTACCAAGAGACTCTTCGCAAAGTAATAATATATATAACAGAGTTGTGAATACGAACTTCATGCCTTCCCAGGAACAACAGACGAACATTCAAAACACCTTGCAAGGCATGGCAGAACATTCTCAGAGTGATTTACTCACATCAGATCGACCCGATGTTCAGGAGTCATCCATAACACCTTTCCGGGCTGAAGAAAGGCTGTTTGAAAATACTTCACCAGAAAACGTTCAACGGAGTGCATCCTTGTTGGATTCATACTCTCAGAACACCGAGAACGCTTTACAGGGACGTTTTAACAATGACCTCTCCTCACTTAAACCGCGCATGGAAAAAGACGAACCACCATCGGAAACACAAGATCCTAATGGTACCAACCTACCCTCGAGTGATTTGATGGAACACAGCTTCATCAGCCCACAAAGGGACCCACCCCTCGCCCCCTCAACTCGCCACATTGAACCTGTACTTCACCCTGATTCGGGACCTCAAGTTATCAACGCCCTTGGTCCAGACAACGTTCACATCATCAAAAAATTCTACCCCCTTCCTGTCGTCCAGAAGGTTCCAAGGCCCATTCCCGTCACGGTAACGAAACCTGTCCCGTATCCAGTTCATCAAAAGAGCTTCCAATTCGTGCCACGGCCGTATCCGCAGCCATTCTCCAAACCAGATGTTCACCTCGCCTATGTTAAGCTTGAAAACAGAGGTAAGCTTTTTTCCCCTAAAAGTTTGGTACTAACCATGCCCTGCACAGCCAGTCTGCAAACTATTCCCCTGTTCGGGCAGCCCGTCATATATTTCCCGCCCAAAATTCTTTGCCTACAATATGCGTGCTCAATTACTCTTCATTTTCTAGCGAATCCTTGTAAACATGGCGGAATTATAGTTGAGAGTCCTGGTGGTTACAATTGCCTATGTCGCAAGGCTTACAAGGGAAAGCATTGTCAAGGTATTCTCAAGTTGTAGCCGTTAATGATTAATGCTTTTGGAGAGCTTTCGATCATCGATGGAGTTTATTCTGCTTGCTTAAATCTGAAAGAATTGTTGATAAAAAGAATGAAGACTTTTCCATTCAGGAAAATTATCTTCAGGACCCTAACGAACAAGAATGTTTCCTCTTGTTAAAGTTGTTTCGACAACTCGAAAAGAAGGAAGATCGGTTTGTTCCTGAGGGTAATTTCCCTGTGTGGTAAATCAAGCCACAGTCTGTTTTAAGTATTCTCTCTTTTTTGGGCTAGATCGAGATTGGTGCTATCCTTTCCCATGTCGAAATACCGGAGATTGTATTGATCAAGGGACGCATTATGAATGCAGGTGTCCTAAAGGATTCAAGGGGATAAACTGTGAAGGTAATACGCTTTTAAACTACTCTGATTTTGAGTTGATCCTGCCTTTATTTTACTTAAATCTTTGCTTAATCCTTACTTGATCCTTCAAATCTTTGCTTCAAATCTTTGATCCTTACCAAACCAATCGCCGCGCTTGGATCTAATCGATTTCCTAAATCAATTTAGTTGCAGACAAATGTCACAATCACCCGTGTAAAAATGATGCTAAATGTATTCAGTTGTTGGCCGAAATCAAGTGTGTCTGTTCTCCTGGTTACAAGGGCAAATATTGCCAAGGTAATACGATATAATTAGGTTTCCTCTTGTAGTAACACTGGATCAATAAGAGATGATCCTTACTGGACCTCTAGGAAGAACAGTTTAGAACTGATAGAACTATCCAGTATAAATAAAGTTAGTTTAGTTTAGGTTTCCTCCTGTAGTGACACTGAATCAATAGGGGATGACTTTAAGAAAAGTAAGTGAATTTCAGACCGATGAATTGAAATCGTTTCCTCTCTTATCCACAGATGTAGATCATTGCCACCCTAATCCTTGCCATCACGGTGGAAAATGTGAGGAACTCAATCAAGCAGCCTCGTGCACGTGCACATCATCGTTCAAAGGACGTCGTTGTCAAGGTAAACGTCTTCATTTGATAATTCAATTTGCGATGTAAACGTTACTACAAGATGCTTTATCTTTCAGTTCCCAAGACGTGTTCTCTTAATCTTTGTCGCAATGGTGCGACTTGTCTGGAAGATAAACCAAGTAACCCGTGTTTGTGTGCGCCGGGTTTTTCTGGACGACATTGTACTGGTGAGTCATTTAAAGAAAAAACTAAACTAAACTGAACTTTATTAATACTGGATAGCTTTATCAGTTCTTAACTGTTCTTCCTGGAGGTCCAGTAAGGATCATCTCTTATTGATCCAGTGTTACTACAGGAGGAAACCTAGACTAAACTAACTTTATTTATACTGGATAGCTCTATCAGTTCTAAACTGTTCTTCCTAGAGGTCCAGTAAGGATTATCTCTTACTGATCCAGTGTTACTACAGGAGGAAACCTAAACTAAACTAACTTTATTTATACTGGATAGCTCTATCAGTTCTAAACTATTCTTCCTAGAGGTCCAGTAAGGATCATCTCTTATTGATCCAGTGTTACAACAGGAGGAAACCTAAACTAAAACTAACTTTATTTGTACTGAAATATAAAGTCTGTAACGTAACGCCTTTAGAAGATGTCTGTCAACCCAATCCTTGCCAACACAATGGAAAGTGTTATCCCGCAAGAAATACATTTAACAACACGTGGTACGCTGCCTGCCAATGCAGGAGTATTTACAAAGGTGACATGTGTGAAGGTAAAGTATGAAAAGTAGTATGAAATCTTAGTAGAGGATGAAATCTTAATAGTAGATCTCCGTAGTAATTTCATGTCCAGAATCCACGAACATAATCTAATCCTTTGGGGTCAGTAGTTGGATAAAGATTGGTATTTGCTTAGGATTAATGTTAGGATTATATTCGTGAATTCAGGACATTGGTCTTGGTTTTCTTTTAGTTCCAAATCCGTGTGCCTCAAATCCTAGTCCTTGTGTCCATGGAATATGCTACGACGCCTATACGAACATTGATCAAGTCGCGATTCCCCCAGAAGGATACACGTGTCATTGTTACGAAGGATACTTTGGGGTTAACTGCCAATGTAAGTGGATATCTTAGGTATTGAATCGTGTTCCCATATGTTCCAGTGAGGTGATGCTTTTTCTTCAATTGCCATTTCTAGCAAAGAGATGTGACCACTGCGATCCAAATGCACGATGCTTGGACGGATTTAAATGCACATGCAATGAGGGATATCAAGGGGATGGACAGGATTGTCGAAGTATGTATAAGTACTTTATTGTCGAAGTATGTATAAGTACCTTATGTAAGTACTTTACAAGGGCTATACGGGGTAGATACTCCCGTCTGAATATTTATTAAAATACTGTACATTCATTCTCCTGCATATAACAACGCTTTCCCTAGTCTTTTTGTACCATTGACTACACGATACGTTATGTTTCCATCTGTTGTTAGAAATCCCCGATCCTTGTGTCCCAAATCCCTGTGAAAACGAGGGATTTTGTCAGGCCGAACTTGGTACATTTGAGTGCAAGTGCGTTCCAGGGTTCAAGGGAAGAACCTGCAGAGGTAAATTGTATGATTTGCGAGGTGATTGTTGCTTGCAGTTTATCCAGCGTGAATGAAGTTTGAAATACGGGCGTTTTTGGCTTTTTTCTTTAGAGAAGACTCCGTGTTCAGGAGTGGTAAACCCTTGCAGGAATGGTGGAACTTGTATCGACGAGAAGAACAATTTCCGATGCATTTGCACAAGAGAATGGAAAGGAAAAGACTGTTCACAAAGTAAAATTTCCTCAAATATCCGAAATAATGTTCTTGTAGCAAAATTTTTGCTGAAAGATCGGCGAAAACTGACTATTTTTTTTGCTTTCCATTTCTTCTCTACACTGTCATATCAGGGTCATATTCAGGAAACACCAGTTCCGTAGAACGCCGTGTAATTTTTCAGTTTTGTTGTTAATAGATACGACCAGTTTATGCCAAGGTGAGCGCTGTCTCAATGGGGGAACTTGCAGGGTATCTGAGGACGGTAAGAGTTGGTATTGTGTATGCAAGAGTCCTCACTTCAAGCCTCCAGACTGTGGTAAGTTCAGTGATATCAAACTATAGCTTGAAGGATCATCTCTTATTGATCTAGTGTTACTATAGGAGAAAACCTAAACTAAACTAACTTTATTTATGCTGGATAACTTTAGTAGTAAGGATCGTCTCTTATTGATCCAGTGTTAATGAAAGATTGTTCATAAGCTATATCTTTATCTTTCTGATTATTCAGCCTGCGCCTGCCCGGCCAATGCACATAACCCTACGGAACGAAACCTAACCTGCAACAACCCGGAAGGCGCGTGCGAATGCCCGGCAGGTTTTGAACATCACAAAGGACGCGATGTCTGTCTTGATGGTAGAACAAAACCTCCTAGTGGAAAGTCAGGTAATTTTCTCCCCTTCCCCACCTCTTTTCGCCCCCTCTCTCACCTCTTTTCACCTCCTCTCCCACCTCTTTTCGCCCCCTTCTCCACTTCCTTTCATAGAGGCATCAGAGGACGAATACCAAATTACGTTTGTAGAACGAAGTTGTGTTCCTAATCCTTGCATAAATGGAGGAACGTGCGTGCCGCTGTCGTCGTCAAAATGGATTTGCCAATGCCCTGTGGGTTGGAGCGGAAAGACGTGTAATATTAAAGGTGAGTGCTCGCTATTATGCTCTTCTCAGATCATATATGAACTATAATGCCAATTCATATTTTCTTTTCAGCCCCGATTGTGAAGAACGAAAGTTGCATCCCCAATCCTTGTGAAAATGGAGGTTTATGTCGTGTTGTGAATGGTACTGCCGTTTGCTCTTGTCCCGAGGGATTTTTGCCTCCTCTTTGTGAAATTAAAGGTAAAAACTGTTTATTAGGATTCCTACTGAGCTGCATGGTGTTCTTCAAACTGTTCTTCCTAGAGGTCCAGTAAGAGTTATTCATCTCTTACTACAGGAGGAAACTCAAACGAAACTAACTTCATTTATACTGGATAGCTCTATCAGTTCTAAACTGTTCTTCCTAGAGGTCCAGTAAGGATCATTTCTTATTGATCCAGTGTTATTACAGGAGGAAACCTAAAATAAACTGTCTTCATTTAGGACTTATGTGGACTGAACTTACTGACTGAACTAGTGTAGTTGATGGAGAATAATGTCTTTTATTCTTAGCCAAATCCGTGTGTTCGCCAAGTCCCTGTCGTAATCAGGGTCGTTGCGTTATCGCTGGAGAAAGCTACGATTGCATTTGTAATCAGCGATACACAGGACCAAATTGCGAAGGTATTATACTTATTTAATAATATTTAGCTTAGGATTTATTATCCAGTCGTTATAAAGTGTATACCCTGCAGTATATAACAGCAGACCAATTAGGTTGGCCATTTGGTTTTATCAAAGATAAACCTTTTTTAAGATTTAATGAAAGCTCTATCATTTACGAACTGTTTACTAATCTTCAGTTGATAGATGTTTAAAATGTGATCCTGTGAATGCTTGGTGCAATCTTGGACAGTGCGTGTGTAAACCTGGATTCACGGGCAATGGCTATCAGTGTACTTTTCGTAGTAGTGTTAGTCCAAAGAAAGGTGATAATGAATCTCAACTCATCAGCATTTATACTAGATTGTTCTATGCACCTCTAACCGTTCTGAATTATTACTTTCTGTAGCTAATGTCTGCATTCTGTGTCACCCAGTTAAAGCATTTTGCATGGATAATACTTGTCATTGTAAATCTGGATTTGTCGGTGATGGTTATCAATGTACGGGCAGTCATCCTGGTAAGGGCTAATGCTTTTATTTCGGTGTCCTAAGACCTAATTACCAGACCGGTGGTGTGGTGTGGTGTGGTGATATTGGTATAGTATGGTATAGTATGGTACATAACATGATATATTGGCTTTTCCTTAAGGTACAATCCAGTATTATAATCCCAATCAACAACAAATTCCTTGGTTTAAAAGAAATAAACTTCTGTAATCTCATCGAGAAATATTAAATTTTTAAATGACTATAGGAAATGAATTGACCAAAAAACGTGTGCGATAGCACGCTAAAATAATAACTAAATATTAACAAATTAACTCATGCACATAAACGAAAAATTCTGAACAGGATATTAGAAAGATAAACTTGTACAAAAATTTTACCCGATATATAATTGTTGTATAAATTGATATAACAACTGTAACAGTTTAAGCGTAAACATCTATAAGAATCTACTCTTTCCTTGGCACTTACTAAAATGAACTAGATTTATCGTTAAAATAATGACATATAAATTGTACTGAGGGAGAGATTATATCAATAGATTTTTCCATCTTTCTCGCCGTCTCTTGCAGATTGTTTCTGGAACGATCTTGCTCGACTGTGTTTACCTTTGTCGGGCTTAGCACCGGTTGGCTGCGCACCTCGTTGACTATTTACTAGAACTATAGAAAATCAATAAGTTTAGAACTGATAGAACTATCCAGTTTAATTTAGGTTTTCTTTTGTAGTAACACTGGATCAATAAGAGATGATCCTTACTGGACCTCTAGGAAGAACAGTTTAGAACTGATAGAGCTATACAGTATAGATAAAGATAGTTTAGTTTAGGTTTCCTCCTGTAGTAAAAATGGATCAATAAGAGATTATCCTTACTGGATATCTATAGTATAAATAAAGTTAGTTTAGTTTAAGTTTCCTCCTGTAGTAACACTGGATCAATAAGAGATGATCCTTACTGGAGGACCTCTAGGATAAACTTAATATAGAGCTATCAATCATATCTAAACAATGCTTTCAAACACTTACGAAGTTCAGTGTCCAGATGATGTGGAATTTTCGGTCTTTTCCAACCATGTTTACCTCGGTGAGTACTGGAATTCCCTTTACGGTGATGAGCCTGTTCCATTTTTATCCCTTGCGGACGTATCACGACATCTCCTCCGAATGTTATATTTACATTCTCTGCAAAACGTAAAAATAGTTTAAAGATCAAAGTTCAGTTTAACCGTAATGATCCAGGCTTCGAATGATATTCATATTAGTGCTTATAGATCTTACTCAAGTTAACAATGATAACATTATGGGAGTTGATTGAATCCCCTTCTCCGTTCGATGACTTTTCCTCTTTCTTGTTGTCCACCGTTGGAATCCTGTGAAAGATTTCGCCCTTCTTTTTATGCAGATCTAAACAAGATGATCACGGATGCTTGATTCCTGTTTTAATTCGTGGATTGTTTAACGGTGAGTGGAAATTCGAGATTATACTTGCATGTAATATTTCGATTCATATTAGAGTCTCCTGTATATAATTGCTTTGCAATAATTTAGCAAAAGGGGAAGGTTATTGCTTCAAAAAGTGACAGAATGTCATATTCTTTACTAAATATGGCTACTCAGATCTGTTATGTAATGAGATTGGCCAAGATGCTAACAGTGTACAAGTTCATATACCGTGTGTAGTGAAAACAGGCGGTAATATACAGGAAGAATTTGTGATGAGAATTTGAAAATTTTACACAATGTTCTGGTTATATTATAAAACAATTATATCATTCGTTCTCCTTACATCTATGGCCAATGGCCAACTAGTATGTAGCTTCGCCTCGTTGGCTATCAGCTCGTATACCACTTGAGCTTATGGTATAATTGTTAATTATATCCTACCTAAAATGTACGATGCAAATTGGGTACAATTACAGGCAGTTGATAAGCCAAATGTCTTTTGAAACGATTGTTTTTTAAAAGGTGCAAAGTATTGGGAACATATCACAGTGAACATAAGGTCACATATCGCTGGGCGGTGACTTCAATGCATGAACTGCCATGAAGCGCTATTTCTCAAGAACGCGACCATGCGTGTGTTTGAAGAGTTAATACATCTAACGGATCATGCGTTTTTGGCTTATTATAATGCAGTATTTCTTTTGATAAACTATGTACCAGAGAAGCTAATAGCCTTCTTTATCTTATATTCGTAGTATAACTACTTTGATTCAGGGTAACCATCTATAAGTGCGATGCTAAACCATCTAAGCGCGATGTTTGCTTGACATGCAGCGCCTGAGCGCCTTCCAACCGCTTTCTACTGTGAAATGATCATATATTCGTGGGCACCAGCCATCATAGGCTGAAATTTTGCTGAACTTTGCTATAATTTATACCACAAACAGTCTCTTTTACCAGAAGGCAATATATCATTCAGTCATCTGCTGCCTAGCTTACGTTTTCTATCACACTGCAGTTTACAAACTCACCAAGTTCTTTGTCTCTGGGCACAGGATTTGCTTGGGTCGACGAGGTTGCAAGAATAACGACCAAGATGGTCATAAAAGCCGCAAAACTTTGTAGAAACATTGTCCCTGCTGGAAATTTTTTTAAGCTATAAATATTCAGGCGTATATCCAAGACGCCGAATTGCTGTATTGATTTGTGCTCTCGAGCAGACAGGCAGGCGTGTAATGATAGCTGGATAATGATTTGTTTTCCACTTCAAACGTTTCGTAGCGAAACGAAGCGAATATCACTACCGCCAGTTAAACAAATAAGCTTTGTTTTCGAAGAGTACACCATGATAGCAAAGTGAATTATGCAACAGAATGAACAGATCAATATTAAAGCGAGATCTTAATATTATTTTATGTTTTGGATGTGCAAAACCCACAGATTGGATTGATGGATGAAGATTTCGCATTTAGTTTACATTGATATGAATCTAATTTTGTACGTTTTTCTCCAGACATTTAGTGCAATTACCTAAGTTTAACATTTTACAACACTTTTTACAGTTGACATACATAGATAAAATTTGCCCCATATAAGTCATATTCACCATGCGTTTTGCCAAGCGCCTAACTTAAATACCTACAAGAGTAGTTCGTGATAGTTCACTTAAAAAACGAAATTGTTTTCAACTGCTAGCAGCAGACATAATATGCTTCGTAGTTCAACATTCTTGACAGCTTTTCATGCAGTTCACCTTCATCCATTCTGGATTCTTTCCACACTCTCCTGTGCTCGCCCAGCCTGGGCATCTTACATCATTGTCGCTGCAACCTTGAAGGAAACATTAAAATTGAACTATCCTCGCTCGAAACTGTAGGGGGATTGGTCAATCAAGCTGTATTGACTAATTGTGTGTGGTCTTTGTAAGAACATTTAGGTCTTATAGGAAATTATACATGTTTCCGTCTTTATTTTTCACATTTCACAACATTTCGTGACAATTTTATTTTAAGTTGTAAATTCCTAGTTTTAGAGTCGGATTGTGTCATCCTTTGTCGATAAGAATTCACTCTGATATGGATGCAGAAATCACACTGAAACTTATACCACAATCCCCAAGATCTACTTACTTTGTTGGACAGTCGTAGGTTGTGCTGTTGGTGCTGGCAATTGAGTTGTTTTAGTCGCCTCTGTTGGCGTACACAGTCCACAACTTACTCTGCAGTTTAAGTGCATGTATCCTGGATTATCAGAACACTGATTATCTTTAGCCCATTGTTGACAGTTACTGTTGTCATCCTTGCAGATTTCTGGTAATTGAGTTGTTTTAGTCGTCTTTGGTGGCGTACACAGTCCACAACTTACTCTGCAGTTTAAGTGCATGTATCCTGGATTATCAGAACACTGATTATCTTTAGCCCATTGCTGACAGTTCGTGTTGTCATCCTTGCATTTTTCTGGTAATTGAGTTGTCTTTGGTAGTGGAGTTGTTTTAGCCGCCTCTGGTGTTGTGCACACTCCACAACTCACTCTGCAGTTTAAGTGCATGTATCCTGGATTGTCAGAACACTGGTTATTGTTAGCCCAGTGTTGACAGTTCGTGTTGCTATCCTTGCATTCGTACCCTGAACAAGCGCCATTGTCAATGTAAATGTCATCTAAGGCAGTATCCGAGTAACCTTTACCAATTTCAGCTTCGAAGATAAGCTGTGGAGAGCATTTAGTCAAAGACGTTAGACGACGTAATTTTCATAGACGACGTAATTATGAAAAAAGCAAAGGTGAATGCATGAATGGTTGGGAAAGAAGACGAAAGATAAGAGGGGGATGATACAGTGATAGATGGATGGATTAATGGATTAATGAGCGGATTTATGAATTGATTAATAATGGATTAAATGGATTGATGGAAAGATGATGAGACGAGAAATAGGGACAAATATTGATCGATTGTAAAAAGGTGGGAGCTAAAAACAGATTGAAATCAACAACAAATTCACTAACTTGAAATTTTCCTTTCCAGTCCAGAGTGACGTCAGCACTATGCCAATTTTCGCCTTGGTTCCCAGTCTTCGTAAACAAGATCAACCGACCCTTACCCTCTGGGACCAGATACAGCGTGAGTTTGCCAATATTTTCTCCATACATGTTGTAATAGAACCTCATACACTGACGCGTTGTGAACTGCAGCGATTTGCTCACAAGCAATGCTTTGTCACCCGCCTGTCGGTGGGACGATTCCACGTAAACATAGTTTCCTGTAAATTGAAAAACTTTTAGCTGGAATTTTACATTGTATTCCACTTTTGAGGAACTTGTTATCCTTTGTATTCATACACGATAGAATCCGTGGCAAATGGTGTAAATACATCAACGGTATTATTTCACCTTTGCCTTGCAGTGTATGATCACCCTGTGGTCCAGTATTCATCGTCTGAGTTGAACCGCTGTGCTGTGTCCATGGTATCAACCCCGGGTTACCAGCAGTAAACCATATATTCCAGCCACCTTCGAAGTCTGTATCATATTTTCCTGAAAAGATAAAACAGGTTAACGTTTACTAGCTAAAATATTTCACTGTCGAGCTTACGTGAAGTTGTGAAATAGACCAAACAAAAATGAAATGGTCGCAGTCTTACCCATATTACATCTTTTACCCAGGCAAGTGGAAAGATCATCGCTTGCCCCGATGCAAGCTTTGCCACCATTACTTGGAGCGGGTCTGTTACATTGTCTGGTTCGTCTGTGTTTACCCTCGTCGCAAGTTTTTGAACAAGTTCCCCACGAAGACCACAAACCCCAGTTGCCATGAACCGGAGCTGAAAAGTGAGTGAAATTGATAATTCCAGGTTTAATTGTAGGAACTGAGTAAATTGATTCTGGTTTGGCTATAATTTGTAAACAATTTGCCCAAAAGATTAGAAGGATATTTTGTCGATCCACTGTACCTGGGCATTCTGAGCTGGAACATTTGACATACTCTGATTCAATTCCGTACGCGTTTGTGTTGCTTGGACACTCGGCTCGATTTTCCCTGAAGCAGAATCTTTGACGTTCTTTAAAGCACGAATCATCGCATTCTGTCCAGTCTGACCAACTCGATATTGTTTGAGCTAAAAGATATGAATCACATTTCTAAAGGTCTGTCCACAAGATGCAGTTTTATCAGATCCAATTTCGCTTTTGATGGATGCTTTATAGTCTGTGGCCTCACAATATCTATTGGCAGTAAATGAATACAACTGCTTTATCATGAACAGACTATATTCCATATGTCAGAAGTGAATTGGATCCGAAAAAGAGGCTTCTGACGGTGAACTCCGCGTACAGAAGAAACTTTACTCACTTTCAGAGGATGTTCTGCAATCGTAGAGTGCATTTATCTCCTCTATATCAAGGTTAGTGAAGTCCTCAGCATCGCCAATCTTTTTTGTGGGATCAAGGGAAACAATTGTGGTTGCTCCTTTTATGCCAAATGCTGTGGAACTATAATGCATCAGACTTCTCAGGTCGTAATCTTTCTTCATCTTATCAATTGCTCCATGGCTGTACATTGCAAATTGATCGTGAAGATCTGATAATAAAAATCAGTGAAGTCTGATGAACAAGTGAAAGCTGATTGCTTCGGATGATGGATGGAGACGAAACCTTGAAAATATTCGTCACTAGTTCCTGTGCTTTCTACGTCTATGATATAATTCTTTGAACACTACAGAAGACTTGGACAGATATTTTTACAGCAATAGTGCAACCAAAAACCTAGCTTTTGGATCTTTAACTCACCGACTGGAATATTCTGCCAAAGAATTGTTATGTATCTGTTCCTGTCATTCCTGCTTTGTTCATGGAAGAATCCTGAGGTTCGATGAATTTGAAAACAAAAAAACAACGTTAAGCGAGTATGAGAGGAAAATCCAGCAAACAAACAAACAAACAAACAAAGACATCACGTGCTCACCCATGCAATGTGTCATTTCATGCAGAGCTATAGACACCCATTCACAACCTTCGCCAATTGACAATGTCTGGCCACCAGATTGAGCATAAGCTCTGCCAATTGTCGAAAAACATCTAGAAAAGAAAGCTGATGTATTATCTGGCTTGGATTGAATCATTATCATGCGGTATTTAACTATATAAACTTTAGTAAGTACATTTGTTTTCTATTTCTCTAATCCCTAACGAAACAAAAGCGGTTGTGGAAGTGTCTTTTTACTGATTCTGAATGCTTCATGCATGCACGGCGTGTATTTTTTACCCGTCAGCTTTCTTGAAATGAACGTAATGTTTCTGTGAGGTGTAAGGCACCCATCTGACGCAAGTCTTGGCGTGTATTATGTCCATTGCCTTTTGAATTGCTTCTCTTGCTTTTAGCGCTGTCAAAACAAATATTCATCACACAAATGATCAGAGAATATGACTTACTTCTGTATTCGTATTTGATAGTATTCGTATATATTAATCGTTGTTTTAGGCTGTTTCAGTTTTACAGTATATACACTTACATAGTCCAGGGTCTATAAAATATGGAATTCTCCGCGTAGTCCAAATAGCTTTACGTCTGTGCATGGCGTTTCTTTTACGACGGAATGATTCAGTTTTTTTAATATCCGAAAGTTCCCTCTTATTCATAACGATGTCTCCTTCGAACAGCAAATTTTGATTTTCTATCAAGTTTGAAAGAATTCAGAGATCAGACATGTGTTTATTAAAACGTTATTCTATGAGTGTGTTTGTGTGGAATTACCCTCGTTAATAGTGTTGATAACGTTATCGGAATTTAGACCCCTTTTCTTCAAACGATATTCCGTTTTCCATCGTTTGTGCAAACTGTTCACCATGAGAATTCTGTCAAACATCTTTCCTTCGTTCTTATGCAGATCTAAAGAAGATGATAACGGACCAAGCCTGGTTTTATTGCGTGTATTTGGTCTTTTTGGATTGAATTTACGCGGTGAGTTGACAATTCTTTGTGTACAAAAGCCAATCATTTCATATTATACCTTTAATTTTATCGTTTATTTCTCGCTTGAAAACCTCTTCATCTTGATATTTGAGATCTATTGTCGCAAAAATTGGCAGTTAGATACAGTATTATAGAGCCCCTATATAGAGAGGTACAGAAGCCTCGGGTTGTGCTAAATTTTGGTGTGATTTTCATTGATCGCTGGTTCTTAACACTCTTAGGAGGATTGAGAGATTGGCGATCAAACTCAAACGAGAATTTCGACTCTGGTATGAGTGTGAAAATTAGCATGTATAGTCGCCATGTCGTACGCAACAAATCGTGAGAAATTGTTGCCAGGCGAGCAGTTCCTATAGGCAGCTGTCTGCTGTATGTATATTTCTACGATGACTAAAAAACATCGTAATTGATAAAGAAAACTAATTAGTACTTTTAATTGTCTTGAAGATTAATACTGACTCGCAATCAAAATAATCATAAAGACCGCCGTAAGAATTGGTCTGGTAAAAATACCAGGCTAAACGTGGACGCTTTTTGCGGTCACAAATGCGAAGTGATGCGACTAAAGTAATTGTGCATTTATTCAAAGATTTACTTCATGCAAGACGCCCTGTAGTTATATTGTCGGCTGTGTGTATTTTCTAAATCAGTATGACTGAAAGATATTTGTTTTGTAGGCATCGTATGATCCATAAATCAAAACCTTCTCACAGTTTTACGAGACAAGGTCTGATAACTACTAGCAACGAACAAAACCTCACTCTGGCTAAAAAAATACTTTTCATGTTACAATATAGGTATGTCTCCCAAGGTGAGATTCTCTTCTTTATTCCATGCAGGGGTTTTGTCTTTCTAATTAAATGGTCTATTAATTTTTCAAAGCTATTCATAAGCGGCCTCCGCGAGATATATATTATGATATTAACAACAGTAGGTGATGAAGACGGTCGTTTGCTGTTTCAATCTCTCATATATTATATGCATCCACCCAAGCGAGTCGTGCATACGTAATTTTATCCCCGAGCAAAGCAGAAGGTGCAAAGGTACTCGTAAAAGATGCGGAGAAAAAGAAAATTAATCCACAAGTATAAATAGGTCAGCGCGTTGAAAGTATTGAATTCTAGACGTGCTTCCAAATTTTATCCCAAATCATTGCATGATCACACGCAGGCAAGGTTGGTTATGCTTGCGTCTTTTTCGGCTGGAAATCTCTGCGTTGATTTTTATGTTCACGCTCAGATATCTATGCTTGAAGTTGTTGCCGTTGTTGATTTCATTTCTGTCCGAACTTCGACTCCTATATGCGCTAAATCGTTCGCAAAGTATGAAACTCTATCTACTATGAACTACTATGAAAGATACCGAATCTTAGTAGAAAACAATCTTGGTGCTTGCGCTAAATTTCGAAACAGTCGCAATACGAATGTAAAAGATGATTAATGTGCTATTGTGTTGTTTCCATGAGGCGTGATGAAGCGTTATATCGGCTTCGCTACTCATGTATTAACTAGGCCTAATCCTGAAGAACAAATAATACCGATTTTCCGCATTGGATCAATCATGCGTCAACCGATCCAAGAGTCTTCGTATGATTAAAGGATTATTTGGCTTAAAAAACATTAATCCATGCCAGAGCAACTTGACAGTGACAGACAAACCGTTAAACCAGTTGAGAACACTGCAATCTGATGTATATAGTCCTGGAAGCATGTCTGACGATTTAGACGTCAAATCATTGATGCGCAATACCTGTCTGAAAGCGCTTGAACTACGCTGTGAATCAATGAACATATAGTATAGTGTTGACACGGTGGTGTATAGATCATCTGGTGTTAAGATCTCCTCTGTAAAGTTCGCTAGCACTATTCGTTTTTGAAACTAATACTTGGCATGCCTTTAACAGATCAAGGTTATTGTCAACATTATGCATAACTTTATACTCTCGGAGTAACTCAAATTCATCAACGAATGTATATTAGGAACTTGTCATAACTTTGGTAAATACTTTAAAACTATACCACCAACTCGATAGTTCAACTAAAATACGTATTGTGTGCAACCAGCATTTCTCTAAGTACGGAGAAATAATGTTAAATAAGTCTATCATTTTGTCTTTCAATGTCATTCGTATACATACCTATATTCCTGTCATCTGGGACAGGATTTCCTTGAACATATAAACTTGCAAATATCACAGTGGAGATTGCAAAAAAAGCCGAAATACTTTTCAGAATCAACATCGTTCAGTTTGACTCTTTCGCTGAGCTTTCGGACCAGGCGCTCGTGAGATCAGCGCGTTTGCTATGTACTATTCAACGTCCAACCTGCAGATAATCGTTGTGCTGGCTAACTCAAGCGGCGCACTGACTGGTTGGTGATTCTGTCGATCTTAAAATCCACCTCGCAACAATAAATTTGAAATTCAAACGCCCACAGCCCTGCTGTGATTGGCTGTCAGTCGAATCATGTCGGTAAATGCATGCATGTGGTAATTTTTAAACCCCCGTTGAACTACGAAATTGCATGAGCTAAGATTTGTATGTAAGATTTATAAAATTCATATATTCAGGATGAATTTTGGAAGACTTTAAACGTATTAATAGGAATCTTTTTTGAAGGCTGAGGCGATTTTTAAAATATATGTTTGGCTGTTATGATACCTGTTGTATGGAAAACTAATTGAACAGAATAACTTAATTCTTTCAAGCTATGCCCAGCTGAGATAGACATCAATGTTTGATGATATGAATGTTAATACAAGTTATGAACGTTTGTGTACATTTTAAAGTACATATCCAAGAAATTTTTTATCCAAGTTACGTGATTTCATGATATACTTTCAACCATATCAAGACAAAGCTTTTTATTCTGGAACACAATCGATATCCCTCAAAACAATATTGATATATACTCTATGCCAACAGCGAGCTTTCTACTGTTAACTGCTGGGGATTTTTATTAACATTCGTTTTGTTAATCAGTTTATCGCGATAACAAAGCTGACTAGTAACGTTTATATTTAATTGAATTTAATTAATATTTGTTTTTATGTTAGATGAAATTATGTTTTTAGGCAGTATATGTTTTGCAAATGCTGTATTTTATGATTTATTGATGTGTGTGGGAATATGAACGTCGCTTCAAAGCTGTGTGTTTAAAATTTATTGAGAAACGTGCAAATTTAAATAGCAAAAGAAGTCGTTGACCCGTGTGGATAAGGGTCATATATCTCTTTCAATTAATCAATATATGAAGTAATGAAGAGTCTATATCGATATATTTTGCAGTTTGCACGCACGTCTTTATAATCCATAGGGAATGAATGTTTTCAGTTAGACCCATGCAAGCAATCGTGATTTAGTGAAAATGTTCGTAGTAGTTTATCTTTATTGTTGAAAAAGGACGATATTGATAGCTGTAAAGTTTCAAATTTGTGAAATACACAAGCTATTGTAGAAGAGAATTACACGATAAACCAACAGTACTAAGGCTAACTGTAAAAATGTCGTATATTGTTCTCAGTGTAACTCTGCAAACGTTCTGTCACTCAAAGAAGCAACGTCAGATGTTATTAGGGCATTTTCTATTTCGCTTTGCCTAAGTTATTAACCAAAAACAGTTTTTTAGAAGGTGCGAAGCACGCACATACATAAGTTTAACATTTTTTACAACTCTTTTTGCAGTTGGCTGTCATCCATACTGGATTTTTCTCACATTCCCCAATCCCCGCCCAACGTGGGCATTCTGAATTTCCGTCTGAACACGGACCTGAGAGAATATTTCAAGAAAAATGTAAGTAATACTCAAATTGTAGTAAAACAACAAAGAGTCATGTTAACACAAGCCTATATGGCCGCTGGGGAGGCCGGGGGTCGCTTTTCCATTAGAAATAGTGCAGAAAGTCAACCATCTTGATAGACGAGATGCCCTCAAGACAAAGTGCTTCCTATGATAATTTACTCCAGACACGTATGTAAGCTAGAAGGAGTCGAATGCTTACTTGGACAACCAGTACAAGACTGTTTACAGACGATCATTAAATCAGGATGTGTTTTGCAATAGCCATCTTTTGCCCAAACATTACATTGGATCCTGGGATATTTGTCTTTGCAATCTAAATGAAATCAGAGTGCTGAGTATACCGTTTTTCGGCATTTTCGACCATGCTCGAGTACCGTTTTTCGGCATATTCGACCATTTAACCAGCGTGGTTATCCATGTCAAAATATTTGACATCATAACCAAACACTAACCATGTAACCATGGTTATATTGTTTAATGTTTGACTCATTCTTACCTCCGCACAAGCCACAACTTGCTGCGCACTTCGTGCTCATAAATCCTTGATTTTTTTGGCATTCGCCATTTTGTGACCAGTATTTACAATAGGTGTAGCTGTCTTCGCATTCTGAAGATGAAAACGAGCATTGTCAATAACAGAAAAAATGCTGTGCACGAACCCCCTGGATATAATAACTTTAATACTTCATGCATATCTTTTGTATAAGCCAGATTATATTCTATATAACTTTCTAGTTGTATCTTTGAGTGCTATACTAAATATAGATAGAAATATCTCTATCATTGCCTGCCTGCCATCGCACCCAACGCACCAACCCCTCCCCCACACACCCTGGGATTCCAAATATCTACTTACTTTGCGGGACAGTCATAGGTTGTGTCGGTTTAGGCGCCTTATGTGGCGTACACACTCCACAACTCACTCTGCAGTTTAGGTGCATGTATCCAGGACTTTTAGTACATTCGTTATTGTTAGCCCAGTGCTGACAGTTCGTGTTGCCATCCTTGCATTCGTACCCTGGACAAGCGCCTTTGTCGATGTAGATATCATCTAAGGCAGTATCCGAGTAACCTGGACCAATTTCGACCTCGAAAACGAGCTGTGGAGATTTTTTAGCGAAGATGAACTTAGTTTTTGTGTATTTTTCATGTTACAAGGCAAGCGATAGCAAACGACAAGGTGAAAGGAATGGACGGTTGGTTCGATGACAGTCGTGTGAAAGATAAGAGCGAAATATGTTTGATGGACAGAAAGCAAACGAAAGGGAAGATCTTTTAGATCTTTTGAAAGAAAAAAAGGTTGTTTTGGGAAGATTGAAGCGAGGATTCAAGCAGATGAATTAAAACGAAATATGATATTTTTTAGATTGGCGAGAGAAACGAAATGAACTAAAGATTGATTCCTTTAGAAAGGGGGAAGTAGGTTTTGATGGTTCTACGTGATTTGAGAGAATCATTTGAGGAAAACATAGTTTTCTTGAAAGGAGTCAGCGAGACAGAATGAAAGAATTTATGGCAGAAAAGGGGATTGAAAATCAACTAAGAAAGTAAAGATAAAAAAGAGACAAATTGACTAACTTGAAATTTTCCTTTCCAGTCCAGAGTGACGTCAGCACTATGCCAATCTTCTCCTTGGTTTCCAGACTTCATAAACAAGATAAACCAACCCTTACCCTCTGGGACAAGATACAACGTAAGTCTGCCAATATTAACTCCATACATGTTGTAATAGAAACTCATACACTGAGGCGTTGTGAACTGCAACGATTTGCTCACAAGTCTTGCTTTGTCACCTGCTCTCCTGTTAGACGACTCCACGTAAACATAGTTTCCTGTAAATTGAAAGACTTTTCGGGTGGAATTTTGCATTATTTTTTAGATTTTTAAGGATGCTGTTATCGATTTATCATACTGTGACTATTTGCTTACATGACAATATCCACCTAATAGCTATTTTTACCTTTTCCTTGCAGAGTATGGTCACCCTGTGGTCCAGTATTCATCGTCTTTGTTGAACCGCTGTGCTGTGTCCATGGTATCAACCCCTGGTTACCAGCAGTAAACCATATATTCCAGCCATCTTCGAAGTCTGTATCGTATTTTCCTGAAAGAAAGGTAAACTTCTAGTACCTAAAAGATGTCATTCCCAATCATCAGCGAATGTAGCCTATCATTCTTACCCATATTACATCTTCTGTTCAGGCAGGTGGAAAGATCATCGCCTGCGCCGATGCAAGCTTTGCCACCATTACTTGGAGCGGGTCTGTTACACTGTCTTGTTCGTCTGTGTTTACCTTCGTCGCAAGTTTTTGAACAAGTTCCCCACGAAGACCACAAACCCCAGTTGCCATGAACCGGAGCTAAAAAGTGAGTGAAATTGATAATTCCATGTTTAAGTAAAGCGGATTAATTGCATGTATACTAATTTGGTCTATCGTTGTGAACCTAACTTCAATTAGATAACTTAGTCAGTAGTCCAGTAGAGATTTTAAGGAACATACAGGATAACAAATCTCTCTGGTTTCGAGAGAATAGTTTGGTACCTGGACATTCTGAGCTGGGACATTTGACATACTCTGATTCAATTCCGTATACGTTTGTGTTGCTTGGACACTCGGCTCGATTTTCCCTGAAGCAGAATCTTTGACGTTCTTTAAAGCACGATTTATCGCATTCTGTCCAGACTGACCAACTTGACATTGCTTGAGCTACGAGATAAAAAGTTCGTTCGAATTTACCTATTCAACTCAGGGATGGATCCAGGAATCATGAATGGGACAAATGGGACACAGATGAGGGTCATACACCAGCCATATGACAGGGTCTACCATGTTTATTGGTAAAACCACCAGCTGATGGTGTGATACTTTCCTTACTTTTGGAGGATGTTTTGCAGTCGTAGAGTGCATTTATCTCCTCAATATCAAGGTTAGTGAAGTCCTCTGCATCGCCAATCTTTTTCGTGGGATCAAGGGATACAATTGTTGTTGCTCCTTTTATGCCAAATGCTGTGGAACTATAATGCATCAGACTTCTCAGGTCGTAATCTTTCTTCATCTTGTCAATTGTTCCATGACTGTACATTGCAAATTGATCGTGGAGATCTATTGAGACAAGTTGCCAGTAAATAGCCGTTAGTTTGGACGATGATAACACCGAACATACTGGAAACAGAACCTGTGCTCTTATTTATTGCTCTTCCATGATATAACTGACTATGGGCCCTACAGAAGACGTGCATGGACACGCAAATATTTCTTCTAGAAAATTGAAAATCTTTGAAAACTACAGAAGACTTGGACAGATATTTTTACAGGAATATCAGTTCAACCAAGCTAACTCACCCACTGGAATATTCTGCCAAAGAATTGTTATGTATCTGTTCCTGTCGTTCCTGCTTTGTTCATGGAAGAATCCTGAGATTCGATGAATTTGTAAACAAAACAAACAACGTTAAGCGAGTATGAGAGGAAAAGCCAGCAAACAAACAAACACATCACGTGCTCACCCATGCAATGTGTCATTTCGTGCAGAGCTATGGGAACCCATTCACAACCTTCGCCAATTGACAATGTTTGGCCACCAGATCGAGCGTAAGCTCTGCCAACTGTCGAAAAACATCTTGAAAAGGAAAGCTCATAATATGTTACTTCGGAATGACTATAGAGTTTAGTAAATACATTTGTTGTGTACTATAATATCTAACGAAACAAACTAACAAAAGCGGTTGTGGAAGTGTCTTTTTACTGATTCTGAATGCTTCATGCACGACGTGTATTTTTTACCCGTCAGCTTTCTTGAAATGAACGTAATGTTTCTGTGAGGTGTAAGGCACCCATCTGACGCAAGTCTTAGCGTGTATTATGTCCATTGCCTTTTGAATTGCTTCTCTTGCTTTTAGCGCTGTCAAAACAAATATTTATCACACATGATCAGAGAACTTAACCTTTTGAAGAGACTGTTCATAACTGATAAAGCTATCCATACGATTATAATTCTGGTAAATCATTGCTCTTATGCACTTACATAGTCCAGGGTCTATAAAATATGGAATTCTCCGCGTTGTCCAAATAGCTTTACGTCTGTGAATGGCGTTTCTTTTACGACGGAATGATTCACCTTTTTTGATATCTAAAAGTTCCTCCTGACCCATGGCGATATCTCCTTCGAACAACAAATTATCATCCCCTATCAAGTTCGTAAGAATTCATGCAGAGATCAGTCACGTATTGCTCTTTATTAAAACGTTATTCTACAGTGTCTTTGTGTGGATTTACCTTCGTTAACATTGTTGATAACATTATCAAAATTTAGACCCCTTTTCTTCAAACGATATTCCGTTTTCCATCGTTTGTGCAAGCTGTTCACCATGAGAATTCTGTCAAACATCTTTCCTTCATTCTTATGCAGATCTAAAGAAGATGATAACGGACCAAGCCTGGTTTTATTGCGTGTATTTGGTCCTTTTGGATTGATTTTACGGTGATTTAAGTTTCTGTTGTGTACAAAAGCCAAGCATTTCCTGTTATACCTTCAACTTTATCGTTTATTTCTCGCTTGAAAACCTCTTCATCCTGATATTTGAGATCTATTGTAGCACAAAAAAATTCTTGATATATGAACGGTGAAGATGGCTCGGTCTACGAATTTGGGGGCGGTTTTTTTGGATGAATTTCATCGTTGTTTGTATCTTTTCCGCTCTTCACCTCAGCATTTCCTCCCAGCAATAGACTATGACTACCTGTTGCTGCAAAGCGTGGTCGCGACATCTTATACTTCTATTTTGAGTGGGTCTGGTTGCTATTTAACCAGACTGCAACCGCAAAAGCACTAAGCATAGTTAAGCATGTAATGTAAGATGCGCAGCCCAGCGGATATCTCTCTCTTTACACGACACGGGTTAGTATATTATACAGTATATTATCCTGTCTGCCCGCGTACATCCATATTGGTTACGCCGAAGATCTCCGGCACAATACGGATGATGTATGCTTGTCAGCACAACGACGGACCAAGTTCAATTGATAACCGTTCACTGGCGGAATTTCGGCTTTTGAGAATACAAACAACGCACTCTGGTGTTTGGCGACTGTCTGCTAGGCTATTTATGCAATACTTACCCATATCTGCATCGCCTGCGAAAGGGATTCCCTGAACACTTAATTTTGCAAACGTAACGGCGAAGATAGCAGCAAAAGCCAGAATACGTTTCAGAAATGCCATCGTTGAATAGGATTTGCGCGTTAAGCTTTCGAGTCAAGCGCTCATGAGATAGAGCATCTGTGGTGTTGAATTCTGCGTTTGAACGGGAGGCAAGCGTTGTAGTGGCTAACTCAAGCAGCGAAAGTGGTCGGGAACCTGTCAATATCTCTCTTTTGAATTGGCCACAGCAGTGAATATGGAATTTAAACACTGCTTGTCCTGCATTTATTATAACATGGTATGTGTGGTAAACTTTGAACCCGTGTTGAATTACGGATTGAGTATCGGATTTGTTTTCCTTAGTTTGTTAAAAGGGTGAGGGAGGTGGAGAGATGATGAGAAGGGGAGGGAGTGTGTCATAGAGGTTTGGGAGGAAGAGTGCATGGGAAGTGTGTCAAAGAGGGGAGTGGAGCTGTGTGGAAAGAGTAGGTCAAAACGGTAAGGGATGAGCAGGGAGTGGGGTTCCGAGGGAGAGTGGGGTGTGTGGAAAGAGGGGGTTCCGAGGGAGAGTGGGGTGAGTGGAAAGAGGGGGCTCCGAGGGAGAGTGGGGTGTGGAAAGAGGGGTTCTGAGTGAGAGTGGGGTGTGTGGAAAGAGGGGGTTCCGAGGGAGAGTGGGGTGTGTGGAAAGAGGGGGTTCCGAGGGAGAGTGGGGTGTGTGGAAAGAGGGGGTTCCGAGGGAGAGTGGGGTGTGTGGAAAGAGGGGGTTCCGAGGGAGAGTGGGGTGTGTGGAAAGAGGGGGTTCCGAGGGAGAGTGGGGTGTGTGGAAAGAGGGGGTTCCGAGGGAGAGTGGGGTGTGTGGAAAGAGGGGGTTCCGAGGGAGAGTGGGGTGTGTGGAAAGAGGGGGTTCCGAGGGAGAGTGGGGTGAGTGGAAAGAGGGGGTTCCGAGGGAGAGTGGGGTGTGGAAAGAGGGGGTTCTGAGTGAGAGTGGGGTGTGTGGAAAGAGGGGGTTCCGAGGGAGAGTGGGGTGTGTGGAATGAGGGGGTTCCGAGGGAGAGTGGGGTGTGTGTTTAAGGGAGATTTGTCTAACCAAGATAGACATTCAGATTCTGCCATAGGTACACCAGTTTTAAAAAAATTGCAATCATTTATTTAATTCAACAAGTTCTTTACAGCAGAATTTTATTTAGTATGGGTGCAATTGTTGTGTTCCTAAAGCGTCTGCGCCTAACCTTGTGCAATTTGCAAGCAGATGACTGTATATAAACCACAGGATGACATCACAACTTTGACCAGATATATTTAATTGAATCAGCTAAAATATTTTCAAAATTATACCCGCACATGTAGTCCACGTGCACAGCAGATTCTTTTCAAGACGAGCAAGGTCTTCTAGCTGCGAATAATCTAACTCGTACGTTTTTCGACAAGAATTGAACCGCAAAGAGTCTCGTTCTTATCGCAGGCATATCATGGCTGCCCTCACTGACCTGTATATTAATTAGTTCATCTGGACAGAGTATCTGCGCAGTAACGACGAATTTAGGTCTCATGCGCACGCGGGAAAACAAACACACAAAGTGCTAAATTAATGCGATTCTCTGAGACGTATATTCGTCATCTCTCATGCCGAGACATTTTGGCCTCGCGCACGCAGTCCAGTTAAAGTAATATACTATTGTAAACAGGTCAGTGACTGCTACCAAACTTTTAAAGATCAAGATTTGCCTGGGCACGATTAAAATTCTCTTTATAAAAGGTCAAAATTTGTTTCCTGCACGCGTGTTGATTTTTCAACTTAAATACCTATAAGAATAGTTCGCGGTAGTTCACCTAAGAAACGAAATTGTTTTTAAACTGTTGCAGGCATAATTAACTTCGTAGTTCAACATTCTTCACAGCTTTTCATGCAATTCTCTCTCATCCATTCTGGATTGCTTTTACATTCTCCTGTACTCGCCCACTCTGGGCATTTTACATCATTGTCGCTGCATCCTAGGAGAAAGTATTGAAATATAAACTGAAATATTGGAGTACTCTTGGTTGAAAATGTGGTGGAATGAATCAATCAACCTGTATAGACTAAATTTTGTTCTTTTACTAAAAGAATATAGAACTTATTATCTTTACTTTTCACATCTTTCGTAACCATGCACTTTGTAGCTGTGGTATTGTACTTGCTAACTTGCCTGCATCAAAATTCACTCTAAAATGCTTACAGAAATCACATTGAAACTTACCACAAACGTCACAACTCTTCTTGCAATTCACTTCCATCCAGCCAGGATTTTTCTTACACTCTCCAACCTGAGCCCAAGCTTTGCAGTTTTTGTTCAAATCTTTGCAATCTAAATTTCAAAATAATAAAAAAACTGTGGAGAATATTGAAAGAATATGTTATCATAGTTTTGAAATTTGAATCACTCTAAAGAACACTCTAAAGGTCTCCTATCATAAGATGACCCAATTTCACCCTACCTTTTCGTCCATAATCCCCTCTCAGTCCTCGTCGTATTTTTGCCGGACTCTGATCAATGGGTGGTCCTTCTGGCTCGTTAATCGGCTCGTATGGTTCTTCTTTCAGTTTCTTCTCTTCCGCAAATTTCTTCGCTTGCTCTAACAACTGCTTTTTCTTCATTTCAACTTTCTCAGCTTCTCTTGCTTCTTCCAATTCAGCCAAACTGTCACCAACATTGATAGTCTCTTCTTCCACAACTTCGCCACCATCCTCTACACCCATTTCACCCTTTTCCTCCCTCTGTTCCTCTTCATTCACTTGTTCAGAAACGTTCGGCTCCGTCTCTTCCAAATTCTCATCATTCACTCCTTCGTCACCCATTCCTCTTTCATTCACAAACTCGTTTTCTTCTTCACCCGTTTCTTCGGTCACAGGCTCTGTCTCGCTTTCAGGCTCAGCCTCATTTCCAGGCTCAGCCTCGTTTCCAGGCTCCGCCTCGTATCCAGGCTCAGCCTCGTTTCCAGGCTCAGCCTCGTTTCCAGGCTCAGCCTTGTTTCCAGGCTCTTGCTCGACAGTTTCCTCGACGACAGGTTCCTCGACCGTTTCAACCTGTTCTTCTCTAACAGGTTCATCCATTTCCACAACCGGTTTGTCTTCTTCTTCAACTGGGATTTCCGGTTGGCCCTCAACCGGTTCATCGCTGCCAATCTGCTCATCCACGCTCTCCTCTTGTTTCGTCTCCTCGTTGGCAGCGCCGCTGTCCTTGCTAGCCGTGGTCTCGTCCATTTGCGATTCCTTTACTTCGGGGTTTTCGCTTGCGGCGTCTGACACAGCTTCACGAGCTTCGTTCTCTTCCTGAGATTCCTCATTTCGGGCAACATAATCATCCCTGGCTTCGCTACGCTCTGAATCCTCGTTTCTATCCTCGGTTTGTTTTGCTGACGTGTCTCTATCGTTCTCCAAAACACTCTCGTCTCCTCGCGATTCACTGCTTTGTTTACCAGCCGTCTTTCGTTTCGTATTTCCCTCGTTGTTCTCACTCTCCGAATGCTTCTTCTCTGAGTATTTCGACTTTGCATGGTCGTGCGAATCTGCCGAATCAATACCCCGAACCTTAGCGACAAACTCCTGACCAGCTTCAGTCTCAAACAAAACAACAGCGACCGCACAACAGCCAACTATTAACGCGATAGAGTAGAACACGATACGACCCATACTGCTGGACGGTTTTCCCTTCTTTGTTGTTGTACGAGGCTTATTTTTCATCGGTAAAAGACGCGTCGCTTTAGCGAAGATGCGCTCACACAATGGACGAGTATTGTAAAAGGGACGCGTGAGAAGAAAGGGTTATTGAGTACGGATAAGTGTTATTAAATCCTGCTGTGATACAGGGCTAGACACGGGTCATATTTCATTAAGGCGTGAGTTAACACACGGCAGTTGACTGAGTTGAGGACTTTGTATGAACGCACTATTTCAAGGCAATATATGCCTAATATTAGCGATTATACACTGATTTCGAACTCATAAATCTTACTATGCCTATGCACTTGCCATTTGTGTAAAATGTTTAAACTCACCTGCGTATAAACAACATATAAACTACATGCGAATAATGAGTAATCTCTTCTGATATACAATACTATAGCTAGCCTGGACTGGACTGGACTGAATCAATGTGAGAGCTTTCAACATATTTTATTTAATAACGCCAGCAAGAGATTGAATATCGCATTAGTGAAGACTTCAATTTCCTTGTATCATACAAATCATATCTTTGTTATTGAAGCATATTCACAACTAGCAAATATCGCTCACAAACTTAGCAAAGATTCGCCGTTGCAAATTATTGCAGGCTATGGAATTGTATATGCATAAACCATAAAGTGCTTTTCAAAACAGGCACATCGATGAAAAAATAGATGTCTCAGAATTAATGATGTCCAGCGATTTTTGCTGGTTTTTACAAATTTAATTATTTAGTGTTCCTGTATTAAATCATGTCTTTGTTTGAATATTTCCTACAGTGGGTGATATCGATCGATGCACAACGATATAATTGCAGGAAATCGTCACGCAAAGGTATATGTTCAGACCTGTATCATTTTAAAATATTTTCAGATAAAATACTATATATAGGAACGAATGATTCTACATGCAGTTAGTGGTGTCGAAGGCCTGGTTAAGTGAGCGCTGACCTGGGGCTGGGATTAGATATAAATTTAATCGTTTATAATCATTTGGACGACGCTTAGATTTGCTGACAACTGTGTGATGTTCTGCACGCTTACTAGAGCATTTAATCTCTTTATGATGCAAGCAATAAATAAGATGCATGCAAGGCGTTTAATTAAACTCATATTTAAAGTTCCTAAAACTATTTAAAATCTCACTTTATAAAGATACTTTTTATATGCATATCAAGTTGCCCAATACAGGAACATTAACCCAAAAATAAATACATGTATTGCCTAAAAATGTATTGCCTAGGAATAAATATTTCCTAATGTAATTTTCCCTAGTGTTTTTGTTTCCAAAACATGCCTACGTAAAAACCCTTCCCATGGTGAGTGTCGTTTGGGTGTAATTGCAGGAAATTTCAACTCATACAACTGAAACGGTCTTAATCGGATACGTTGAACGAAGGTATAGCTACATTTTTATATTTTTTTCATCGAAATAGCAAAAGGAAGAAAGCTGTAAAACCCGTGGGGCAAATTTTAAATAGTGCTTTGGCAAAAGGCTTGAATATTCAACGAGGCGTTTCATTTCTATGTTTACGGCACGCAAAAAATCAAAGCAAAAGAAGAGCTCTGAAGATTAGAGTTTAGTGAATATCGTGACAGAAACGGCTACGGCCTGTGGTTTAATGCAGGGAATTTCAACTGGAAGTATCTGAATCAGAAACTTTCTGTATAGTAAAAGACATCGGAAGGGATTGTCACATGCAATAAATTCTTCTTCCGCTGATAATTGATTTAAAAATACAATCCAAACATATTCATTTTAATTCCTAAACCAACCTGGTATTTCAAATTCAAACAGGTTCAAATTTCATGTCATGGGCATATAGGTAGAAATTGCAGCTTCGAAGCTTCTGATAATGATTGTCATGAAAGTCTATGATGTGTGGATTTCCTTCGTTTTTCGTTGTATAGGCTATTATGCAATAGAACTTTTCCAAAAATAGATTCCTATTTCTCGATATAAAAACTATGTTAATTTGCAGTCTATTTTTTGCACACACCGCCAGCACATTCAACAACTCGCGAGCTTTGACTGCATATTTCGTAATTCCTAGTTCCGCAGGAAACAATTCCCATGCAAGCTTGCAATTAACCAACGATACGCCCTAACGCCCTTTGATGAGTCAAAGTTGTGCAAGCCAGGAACACACACACCATATTACAAATATACAGCTTATTATTATAAAATAATTATAAATATTGGCCTATATATATAGCTACGGCATTAAGTGTATGGTATTTTTATTTTGCAAAAGAGTCAGAAATAACTTTTTCAAAGAGTTCAACGGTAGCAATGATAAGTATAGGATATTTTTTCGGTGTTAATTGTTAGGCGCTCTCTTGCTTAGAAATCTGACGCTTACCAATAGCGCTAAAATAGTTTTTTTATCAGGATGTCTTCCATATTTGCAAGAATTAACATTAAAGACTATATTAGCTACTATAACTTTCTCTGTTACCTCCCATTTATTGCTGTGGATGTATCTCAATGCATGCATGGCTATCCTTATCGATCGTTTCGTAACATACACAATAGGAAAACTTTCATTCCCGTTCGTTCCTTTCCAAAAACATAACGCGCATTATAATAATTTGTTGGGAGAATGTTAATGGCAGCATGCAGATATTGACACTGTAATATGCACATGCAGTTCTAACGTAATTCACTGTTGAAAGCCGTCTTTTACAGGGATAAACGTTCGATCAACAAAGATTAAAGATTGCATGGGCGGAAAAGAGTTGTTTCATTGCCTTTGTTTGTCGTATACTAAAGGGCAGTTGAATTTATACTTTATAGAGTTATCATGCATGCACAAAGAGTAATTGTGCTAATAACGTTTTCCCTGCGAAACGAGCGGTTATAAGTGTTTCAGATCTAATACAAATACATGGGGCGTGGTTTTAATTGCTGAAAAATAACGGGCCTGTAATTCGTTAAATTCTAGAGTTTTGGCAACTGAAAATATCTTAAATTGCCGAAAATATATATAAAAACCTGCAAATGAAAACTTTTACGTGTACTGGATCCCAAGATGCTTTTATACGAACTGTTGTGGACGATTCAAATTTACTTCGTTCTACTACTTTCAAACCGTTGACTGACCTTTACCTAGAAATGCACTTTTATATACTTAAGAAGAGTATATATTTATACTTCAAATTCGTATAATCTTTAAAGCTTTTCTCTAATCTTCTAGCTCTCAGGAAATTGTAACCACTTAAAGCTAAAGCCTAATAAAATAGTTCGTTTATATGTTAACCTGAAACTGTCATCACATATCAAGGATCATGCATGCAGCTCATATAACGCGAATATATTTTAGGATGTGTGTGCGTGTTTTTCTTTTCATGTCGTCAACCGTATCAATCCGTTTATTAATAGCCAAAATCTACCGGTACTAGCATATTTGATTCAATTAATATTATACTTATGTTGGTTTGAAACCTCGAATGAAGTTTTTTGACGAAAAACGGATAACTGAATTGCCTAATCCGAGAGATCTTTTTTATGACAATAATAGCCCTCAACCTATTTATAAATTCTTGAAATTGAAATTAAGCCCTAAACCTATTTATAAATTCTACATTTCTTCCCTTTTCACTGATGTCATACACGTGAGGCTTCACAAGCACCGGCTGCATGAAGGCAAGCTCTGAGCAAATTGTCGGTTGGCTGGGTTGGGAAGAAATATATATATATATGCCCACTATAATTAGATAGCGATGATTTTAATATTATGATATAACTTCCGTCTCTATATTCAAACATTAAGAGGAGAATATTTCATGGTCAATATATACCTGGAAATACACCTAATCGAGAAACTTATATATACATGCATTTATTTAAATCGCAGTGCAAAATATTAAACACATATAAGGATTATAAACAAACAATTATATTTGACATCATGATATAAGTGTAATCTCTTTTAAATCGTATACACACCCATATAAAGATCATTATAGTGCCCACGAACTTGAAAATTTAACGGCTCGCGCACACTTATTCATATATGCGTGGGTTAATGGTTTGTGGATGCTGAAAGTGAAAGAACACGTTCTTTTCCCTGTTTCCAAGATTATTTCTTGTTGCACTGACATAACGAAGCATAAAAATGATCATTACAATGGATTTCGACATGTATGAAAAAAGTTATGTAATGATATATGAACTATATAGTTGCCTTGCGCGCTTCAACTTCCTGAACAAACGCTGCAACTTTGTTGGCTTTGACGTTTGTGAGTTTAATTGAATTCACAAGGCATCAATATGACTTGCGTCAGTTTATATTAAGTTCCGCATGCATCAGTGTTTCAGTCTTACTCCCAAACAAAGATTGGTGTTGCTTTTAATTTGATGCAATATAGCTTTAGCGTCCACGTCTATAGTTAACTATATATTAGACCTATATCATAAGAGCAAGGTTGTATATAGCTATTAATATAACAATGACGTTTCGAGCGCTTTCAGATTGGAAGGATATGAATATAGTTACTGTAATACTGATCTTAATTTTTTGCCTTTGCAATGGGCAAATTAAGATAAAAATGAAATAACACGCTTATGTATCTCTCTTGAATGAGTCAACTTGAATATTATGCACTGAATATGTAGTTTACATTTAGTTCGCTTGTTGAATAAAATGATAGACTTGCTTTCTACTTATATATCCACCCATGCAGTCTGTACTTTGTTCTAGAAAAAGTCAGTCTTTAGCAACAGTCAGGGTTGGCATGCATGCAGTTGTTTTCCATGCATAGAATGGCATCTACGCGTTGAACAATCAGAAATTACCTAAAAAGGGGAAAATCACTTCGCGACATTTCAAGGGTTTTCGTCAAGAGAGTTCATAGACCGCCCGGGTCTCGAAACCTTGAGTAGTTTTTTGTCTATTACATAGACATTTGTAAACATACCTACAATATACTATGCTGACGTTTTCCGTTGCCGTTGGCGTTGTATATATACTTTATAATTATTTAGAGTGCATGTTATATATGTCATATATAGCTTATATATTATTATAGAGAATAGCGTAAGAATTCAATTCCAAGCCGTGCTATAATATTGAGGAATATACTGTCTAGGCTTATATGGTTTTGAATCTTAAGGCGTTTTCTTTTATACGGAAAAAACGGTCAGACCGGTCCTGTTGTATTTCGGTACAGACAGATTACTGGTATTTTAGAGTGTTTCAAGATCTCTGCATTCAAGTATATCGTTATTTACATCTGCCTAGCACAGGAAATGCAGTTTCACCCCCATTTTCTTAACGAAATACTCAATTTCAATTTAAAATATGACCGCGGTCGGATCATTTTGGCCGATTAATGTAAAGCGCACTTAGATACAGGTTAGATATATACATAATGAATATAAGTGGATAATATATTTTTTTATTCTAACTTTTATTAGTTGTCAGTGATTGTCCAATGGCACGTATTTCCGTCTATATCAGCGTACAAACAGAATTGCGAAAGGGCGTTTTAAAAAGACTTCATTTGCATCCCCAAACGGATATTCATCCTAAATATCGAATATGGCAACATAGCGCCACAAGAAGGTTCGTTTCGTTAATTGCGATATGTATATAAAATGGCAACCAAGTTTGCTGAATAATTGTGGTTGTATATTTATATACGTCTATTGTTGACTGACATATTGTTGTCTCGCTAACCGTTTTTGGAAACGGCGTTTCGGTTATGTAACCAGCTTTATTTTTGCTTTCTCGAATCCTGGATACCGGTGTCTTAAACCACAAGGCCCGGTAGCGACAATAACGGTTTCAAACTATATTTTATTATCAAAAGGAAATCGAGATGCTCAGAGCCAAAGCAAGATGTTTAGTTTCTGAGTAATTTCATTAAAAAAAACACCTCGCATGTCCCAGAATACTACATTTGCACCATGTTAAGCAAATCATTATGTACGTCGCATTTTGGTCGCGTCGAATGCAATTTAATTTTTCAAAGTTCAAACAATAGATAAGGAGATCGTAAACCTTATTAAGCTTTATGTCATCTCATTATATCTATTGTTTGAATTGCATTCGTCGCGACCAAAATACGACGTATAACCTATATAGACCTTGAAGCAAAGATCATGAATAAAATGCTATACAAGCTAGTATAGATTGTTAAATGAGGTGTTTTCATGAATTTTTTGTTATAAAAGTTGCCTGCAATCTTTTATCATCGTAGGTGTTTTGTTAGGAAAGACTTTTCAACGGAACTCGTGAACTGTATTTGATAAAAGAAGACAAAACTAGAATTTTCTTTCTACTTCAGTTCAATAGAACCAGTCGTAGCAGTTATCGCGAGTCTCGTAGTTTTCCGGAGCCATATTGCATGGTTCTTGCATGCTATATATAGAATGACCACATACATGGATGCATGTAAACCGATTCACTCCTGTGCTTTTTTCTGAGTTCCCTCTCCGTAATATAGATCCTTATTAAAACCACGATAATTCTAGTTGTATGAAGCATATATATGATATACTGCTTTGGATGGATGGCGAGAAATTTAACCGCGCGATAAAATAAACTGCAGCTATAGCAGTAGCTATATAAATAGTATTTTAATAAACTCATACAGTACTAGTTTTTTTAACTAAGCCTAAGGGTCGCGTTTCTGCCAGGAATTTCTCGGTTGTGCCGGATGAGGATTCAGTCCATGCAGCAAACTACCTTGAGATGTTTCGTTACGTGGATAAGTAAATATAGGTTAGAGCTCCGGTCTGAGGTGACAGCGCCTTCAAGCAACTTCGAATAAAATGTGGTAAAATGGCTAGCCATACCTAAAATAGACAAAACACTTCTCGATGTTTCGTTTTGAGCCAGTTTTTGGTGATTTTCACCGGTATTTATTTGCAGTATGCATTGTCATTCAGTTGGTTCGTAAAATCCCACGTCTTAAACGTGATGGATTAGATAGAATATAGAGTTTATATACTGCTCGTGCCAAAAAAACTGACCTTCTCGTTAACTCTTAATTGATGACAGATTTACTAACAGCTATAGTCCCGTATAATAAGAGCTAGGGTTAATGCTAAGTGCTGAAGCCTTTCTATGCTGATATATGATTATTTGATTACATTGACTTTGAAACATGGTAGCAAATACGATTATACATTTAGGGTTGCTTCATGCACATAGATTAATTCTATAACAGTTCAAGAAATACTTAATTACTGCCACTGTCTATATACTTGACCTGCTCTAACATTCCTGCATGCACCAAATGATAGAATCAATATTTCACGACAATTGAAACTGTTTTGGGTTTTTTCTCCCATGCATTGCTGTAGATATATAATAACCGGTTCAGAACCTTAACCTATACAAAGCAACAATATCACATTGGCATAACAAACCTTGCGTGAGAGGTCAAGGAACTTAATCGCTATGATAATATAAAGACATTACTTAATATTTAAATATATATTTGGCTGTAGGATACTTGTGTCCTATGTCAATTTTGAAACCCACGCGATAATATCATTGCGTAAATTCGTGCAAGAGATCGCTGCCATTTACTGAGCGTGGCTAAATCCGTGGGCGGCTCAGCTATCGTGGGCGACGGTCGTTTTAGATTTTGGCAAATCGAATGCATGTGTGTAACACGTCCAAATTTCATAATGAAATTGCTGTACTTGTCGACAGACATTTTAAATGGAAACTTCAAATATGCAGGAGTTTCGTTTTTAAATTTCTTGTGAAAAGTTTTCGGAATGGTTTTCAAAATGGTCGCTCGCGCGCGGAATAAAGAGATTTTGTTGAAGAAATGCATCCTTTTTACGTAGTACACTTCCGAATCACGGACACATCCCAATTCGATTTTCGATCGATTCGTTATAAAAGGCCTCGTGAAAACGACTGAGGCATAAGCATTCGTTCGCTAACTGAGCAACAGTCAGAAAAAATTGAAAAGACTCGTCACCAGAAAGTCTGCGGTAGATATAACTTTGAAAGTTTGTCTACATTTTGAAGAAATTTACAACTCCTTTTTCAAGTCATATTACATCGAGTAAACGACAATGTGTGATATTATAAAAATATTGGTGAGTGTTTCAAATTCATTTCTATATACTACATGAGGTCAATGTTGATATTGCATTGAGGTCAAAATTGTAACCTGTACTATATATTGCTATGACAAGGGAACGGCGTGTCAGCGTCTTCAAACAACTTCGCATCACATGTGGCAAAATTTGTACATTTTTCGTAATTTGTACATGCTGTGGATTTTCAATAAAGGTTACGAAAATCAGATTAAAAGGGAAGGGAAATGCAAGCTGTGCATGACCACGCCTTTTCCCGAATGGGCGCAGCCCAGCAATCTGAATTTCGTTGCAAGGTGTCTAAACTTATATCTTTAAAACATGCATGAGTTATATTTACTATACTATTCACCAGACCACCACGTTTGAGACATCTTTCTCAGGTAGTTCAGACACAAACCACGACAACTTATTGTAGAATACTACCTACACTGGACCACCACGTTTGAGATATCTTTCTCAGGTAGTTCTGACACAAACCACGACAGCTTATTGTAGAATACTCCCTACACTAGACCACCACGTTTGAGATATCTTTCTCAGGTAGTTCTGACACAAACCATGACAGCTTATTGTAGAATACTACCTACACTGGACCACCAGGTTTGAGATATCTTTCTCAGGTAGTTCAGACACAAATCACGACAGCTTCTTGTAAAATACATAGTTCACCAGTGACGTATCCTTGCATGAAAAGTCTGTAAAACGGATGCTATATACGTATATGCATGACCCAGAGACCAGGATGTGGGTTTCAATGGGTGCGATCCCGGACAAATTCAGTGCACGTGCGTTTTAAGACAATTACCTCACTGATCACGAGCATGAGTGGAGTGAATGGTAACTAGGTTGTTTTTGAAATCGATCTTGCTGTGAATTGTTATACTTAAGTAGAAACGTCAAGTGGCGTTACAAAACTTCTTAAACATGCTAATGTCAACCGAATGCTCAGTGCCCTGTTTCAAATCAGCATATCGAAAATTCGCTATGGCTATACAGCCTTTTTTACAGCGAAACATTTTCCTTGAGTCGCGAATAGTTTAATCTACACGACCAAAGATCACTTTGAGCAATTCCTGGGAATATGTTTACGATATTTTATCAAACTTTTTGTTCGACAATAAATAAATATTAGGCTCTAGTTAGGCTCTGTTCTACAATAAATAAATAAATACTAGGTTCTGTGGTTTCATTGAGTAGATTTCTCAAAAATGATAGTTTTCTAAAGCTATATCAATTTCCTTGCACAAAGGTAATTTAACGCCGAGGCGACGAGACTTGTCTGTTTGAATAGCTGGCCTTTGTCGCGTTCAGGAAGCGAGCTAGCTCCACTCGTTCTCGAGTTTGTTCCGCATTTTTTTAAAACACAATCTGATCCTAAATTAATCTAATGTCGTAATTGAGGCTAAATTTATTCGGCCCGTGCGCATAAAACCCGAGTTCGATCCGAGTCTAATTTAATTTGAATCGTTCGTTGTGAAGTAAGTGACGGGTTTAGGTGTATTGTGGTGCATAATTATGGATTTACTTGGTGTAACATTCACGGTAATTCGAACTGATCACTTTTAATTCAATTATAGAGCAATTAATATGATACTATATGGCAATATGTATCTATACAGTTTCAACTTTGCTGTATATTTAGTTCATTAGCAGCTGCTTCTTAATTAAAAGATAATATTCTCTTTTAATTATAAACATTCTGTTTATAGCCTTGGTTGGCGATACTACAATTAATGAGACACTTAATTGCTGAAGCCATTAACCTATATTAGATAATCTAGTATAGGTCAGTGGCAGAAGCACATATGAGCACACTGCGTACCGGCAAAATGAAGAATTTACTCTGTTTTTCATAGTGAAGAATTTAACGTTATAATTCCTTTTTTATAGGCTTTTATACTCTTCCTTTTTATCACCATCTACGTTGAAGGAAAGCCGTGTAATACAGGAGGTAGCCAAAGCAAACGAGGTAACATAACGTACTACAGGAAAAACTTTTTGTTCGTGAAAGATGGCCCGCCAAAGATTCCGAACAAAGCCTCTTCAGGTAACCCGCAATCGGACACCAGCGAATGCCGCTGGAAATGGGTAATGAACACAAACACGACCCGTAAGCCAATCAAGATCGCTGAAGCAAAATGTCTGAATTGCAAATCACCAAGTCAAGCGTTGAAGTGCAAGCCAGTCATGTATAGCCACCATGTTTTAGTTCAACGAGAAAACTGTCGCACAGGAGAGAAGGTTTGGACCTGGAGATTCGTGGAATTAGCCGTTGCGTTTGTCCCTGTGTAATGCAGAAATGGAATATTCTCCTGATGGTCATCATTTTTAAGTTCGTTAATTTTTTATTATTTTGAATAGGTAGAGTTAATAATCATAGGCCCTGTGATTCAGTGTATTAAAACCAGGCACTGACCTATAGGTCACTGCAATCAACTGAACCGTTTTGCAGAAATCACTCCTTTTAACTTAAAGTTGAAAGTTTTTAAAATTCATGAATTTCGTAACTTTTGGTCGATAGACATACTCCTAAATCGCACATAGGAAAATATGGTTGTTCGTCACAGCTATTACGTATTTGTATACAGGTCCAGCTATAAATTCAACAACGGTCAGTTGCCTCGTTTCTAAAACACTGTTCTCGTAGGGAATATGGAGAGATGTCTTGTTTTAAAGACTTGTTGTGTAACAACGTTAAGTAGACTATTAGTAATCCCCTCATTTTACGAGGGCGTGTGTAGGTTAAATTCACCAAAATATATCGAAGAACGGCCTTCAACCATATTTGAAAATACCACAATTTGAAAGTGCATTTCTGAGATTTGCATCAGTTCTAAGAGAATGAACCTCGTTTTTTCTGAGGTACTCGTTAAGACGGTATTCTTTTCGCAACAGGTGATCTAAATATGGGCGGTAAAAGGGTGTGAAATAAAATCCATTTCTCGGTTGAACTAAACTTCAAATGTCTTGAAGTTACCTTGCTTCAGTTTGAAATTTATGTCAGAGCTATATCGTTCTTATAATTGAATGAACGTAATCACAAAATATCTAGACGTTTTATGAAGAAAAAAAAAGATAGAATGGATCAAAAACTACGTAATGGATTTCTCTTTCGACAACTCTTCTAATTTGACTAAAATATGAACGACAGATCACCTGTTATATGTGGTTGTTGGCAAATTCAAATTACTATTTAAGTTACGTGGGCAAACAGCTTATTAAATTTAAGTTTGTTTTCATTTTCGTGACATTTATACCTATTTATCAGTTAATTTCTGTGAAATTATTGAAAGTAATTTACAAACTTGTAAATCTTAGCGGTCGGTAAATTTGTTCAAGCATCGCGAATAGAACTTAGTTTTATCGCATGCATGAATTGAACAATTTTATTCCTGAGAGGATATATTTAAGCAAAGGTGTTTTTAATTATTTTTTTCTATAAATTGCATGGCTATTTAATATTTTATCTTTCTATAATGCAGGCACATTATAGTATTACCATTTGAACTGAATAAAATACTTTTTTATTTGAATTATTCGAACTTTTGAATTTTTAAAACAATTTATCAACCGTCGCGCGTACAATTGTTTGGTGGTATAATAAGTTCAGAGAGAGGTCAGAGGTCTAGACTTGTTTGGCGGTAATATATTGTCGTTGAGAGTTGTCTAGACGTGGTGAACCTTCAACGTAAATAAAGATTGACTGCCATCTTTAATCCACTACCATACTGTTCTTGACAGCAAAGGGAGTACATGCAAGATTTGATTGAGGGAGAAGATATTATTGAAAGACAATATCTTTCATGTTAAATTTAGCGCAGTGGTTTTAAAAGAACGGCGCAATCCTATAGCTCGATTATAACCTTCTCATGCAACTGCTGCGCTGGTCGCTGTTCGCCGTTTATCCATGCATGGAAGTGAATTATTTTCAATGTTCAATTCTGTGCGGTTTTAAAGGACGAGGTAATTCAATATGAATTTTGATTCTATATGCCTTATATGCGCTCAATTTGAATGCCTTAACCTAACTACCATATATATGCTATTTACCATGCATGCAGGGCCAGTTGTATGAAAGCCGGATAGCGCTATCCACCGGATAGTGATTTTGCAACCTTTCTGAAAATGCTTCAAAAGCAATAAAATTTTAGCTTTGGAAGCAAAAATTATTGAAGGGGATTCTCAATTTATTGTCCTGAGCGCGGTCCTATAAACTTTGATAATACTCGCTTTTGGTTCTGTTTCCACTCGCAACAAACACAGTGTGAGTCAATTATATTTATATAACTTTTTATTCCTTAACTTTCCAATAACAGTAATTAACGTCTCTATAAGATTATGACCTTAAGAATATAATGTATCTTTAAACGTTTGACTTATCTCTGTCTAAGCTAGCACAACTCCACAAAGGTCAAAGCCTTGTCTTCAACTTCAACTCCTTTTGTTTAGTACCTCTGCTTTTATACAATATAATATTTAGGCACTGAGGCCTTACGAAGAATGCTATACGCATTTCTCTGCCCGTGGTTAGTTGCGCTCAGACATCATACGCTTGGCTATACACTAAAACTACAAGTCATTTCCCCTACGCAATACAGTGTCAGTGCGTTGTAGCACCTGCATGCATGCTAGCTATTGTTTGTGTTTGGCACCTTGTTACGTGTTTTTGGGATAAGGTATTTGCTTACTCATGCATGTAAGTTTGACCGAAGAGAATGCTGTATCATGGTTGTATTGATATATTATATAAATTGTTATAAGATGATATAGTGATTATACGTACGTAATATTAGGATTACTAAGGTTTAACCAAAGTTTCATCCAACAACGGGCGATTTTAGAGCGATTGAAAAATCCCATATCCGACTTTCATACAACCGGCTCCAAGGGTTGGTTGTATCAAGCCCGTTAAGTTAGCTTAAACGGCGAATAAATTAAAATTAAATAACACTCTTACATCTCTCTTGAATAGTCATTTTTTAAAATAGTCAGTGATTATATTTTTCCACACAAACATCTCACAGTACATCCACTTTGTAACATATAGAATTGCGTTGCATGTTCTTCAAGTTGAATATAAATACAATAGGATTGCTTCGTCCCTTTAAAAACCCTTACAGAATTCAACATGGAAAAGGAAAACTGTTGTCTTTCAGTTACAGCAACTTGCAACTCATGTCAATGCATATAAATTTAGAAATTGCAGCAGTTAAGTAACTAATTGCATGTATGAGAGTTTACTAAGTCTAAAATCTGTCGTCTAATCATGTTTTATTTAAGTTTTGCTAGACAGTAGCCAACGCATTACTTTAGCAAGTAAAACCCGTCATTTGATACCAGTTTTTGTCATTCCCTATTTGACGTTATGCTCGGTATCTTTAAAGGCTAATAAAGCCTCCAAATTTTTCAATAACAAAACTGTTGTATTGCAAAATTTTCTAAAATACATTAAACTTTTGATGTATTCAAAATTTGCAGCCATACATGGTATAGGCACTTTAAGGCTGTTTATATACCAATATTAATTAAAATTAGTATGACTGAGGTATTGATGACGGGTTTTAATTACTTGCTAAACGGTAACGCTTGTCTAGGAAAATTTAAATAAAACATGATTAGACGACAGATTTTAGACTTAGTAAACTCTCCGCAATTAGTTACCGAACTGTTGCAATTTCTAAAGTATAACTTGCATGTTAAGTATATTGCAACCATACTACTATATCTATCCATGCATATATATCTATATTCATATATCTATTCCAAAATGATACAACTCTATCTGGCAAGTTCAATAAAAAGGTTAAAGTAAAGTGCAGCGCATGCAAAAAAGAGGGGGATTTCCTGCAATAAAATATGCCTATTGTTTTATAACATATTCCTTGCCGTTATGTAACGGGGGCTTTCTATAAATATATTTTTATTCATGACAAATAACCTGGCTTTATATAACTATATATATATATATATACATATATATATCGCCAGAAAATAGACAACGCTTATCATTCCCGCCTGATAACTGGAAGACATATTTGGACGATATATTTCAATATATTCAACGTACAGAGATGCGGTTGCTAATTGTGAATTATTTAAAGGTATTTGTATATTTCTTAGCAATTATTCGCACTTTCTGTTTAGTTAATTGCATAATACATTGTGTATAGAAGGATTAATAGCACACTTTAGGCCCCGTTTACAATACAATTAATACACTCAATTTATTGGCACGGCACGGCTAAAATTGGTAGCCGTACTCAATTTTATTAGTGTTCAGGCTACCAAAACAAATGAAATGGGCACGGATGCCCATTTTAGCCGCGCCGTGCCAAAAAATTGAGTAGTGAGTTTGGGAAATGCAACGGCAAAATATATTTACCAAATATTGTGGTATTCAAAAAAAAAATACGGGTAGTATTGACTTGATTTACCTCTTCAAGTTTCCTCTTTCTCTGAAACAGTAATTAACTATATAACCAAGGAGCAGCGTGGCAGCGTCTTCAAACAACTTAGCATCAAATGTGGTATAACAACTGCCTAAATAGACAAAACACTTCTCGACGTTTCGACCTAAGCGCCTCTCGACGTTTCGACCTAAGGGCCAACTCTCCTGACGAAGGCTCTCAGGTCGAAACGTCGAGAAGTGTTTTGTCTATTTAGGCAGTTGTTGTACCTCATTTGATGCTAAGTTATTAACTATTATAAATATGGTCGATCAGCAAAACTGCTTCTAACACTTCAAACAACATCGAACACATCAACTGTTGCCGCGTTGTCATGCACCGTGAAATTGCCAAATTGGTGTAAGTCACGATGCCGTTTCAGCAACTATGCGGCAGTGTGCAACGTTAAAGGCCACGTAGCTTACATTTTCTTTCGTCTTAATAAAGGATCAATGCCATTGTTGACAAGGACGTTGCCGTTGTAATTCCAAAACTCACTAGTGTAGTGTAAACAGGGCTTTAATATGCAAATAATCAGGCCTTTAACAGTTTAATAACGGTGTTTACGGATGTGTAATGTAAACATTTAAATTTCTGCTGTCAGCAGAATAATCACAATATTCTAAATGCAGTTTTGACCCTAGGGGATGAATGTGGGTCAAACAAATGTTTGTGGGGGGGCGGAGGTATTACTTTCGTGACATGCGATTTTTGACCTGCGATTTTTCCATAGCCAAGAATTCATGGACTTAATATTTCCTCTCTTATAGGCTTGTGTACTTTTCCATTTCGTCTCCATCTACGTTGAAGGAAAGCCGTGTAATGCAAGTAGTAGCCACGACAAACGTGATAACTTGAAGTACTCTAGGAATAACTTTTTGTTCGTGAAAGACCGCGCGGCAAAGTTACCGAACAAACCCTCAGGAGTTAGCAAGCAATCGGAAACCAGCGAATGCCCTTGGGAATGGGTAACGAACAGCAACATGACCCGTAAACCAATCAGTATTGCCGTAGCGAATTGTTTGAAATGCAAAAAAGGGAACTGCAAGCCTGTTATGTATAACCACAATGTTTTAGTTCAGCGAGATAAAGTTAACCATCGCATCGGAGTGAAGGTCTGGATCTGGAAACTGGTGGAATTACCTGTTGCATTTGTCCCTATCTAACGAAGAAATGGAATATTCTCCTGTTTAATAAGTTCGTTCATTTTTTAATCACGCCTGGTCGCCTGCTCCAGCTGAAACTTGGATTTACTTGCGCTAGACTTCACCTCACTCAATTCAATTCATAGATTTATTTATTTTCATTATTTTATTCACTTGGATTGAGTTAAACCAATGGCAATGTCATCGTAAGTCACAGTGTCACTGTAGTTAGGAGTTAACTATTCTTTCATTACAACTAGCCCAGAAAAATCTGAAACATGCAAAACGAAGCGGCTCAGGCGAATTTTAGAAGAAGTTAGGGCATATATTAAAAAACTATTTATTGTGCATGTAAAAAATATAGGTCTTATTATATCTTATATTAAACAAATTGAAGTAGATTAATTAAACGAATTTGACCACAAAAATTTGCAGTGTTCAGGATCTTTAT